GAGCTCGCGCGAGGTGACATGCGACAGCTCACGGGTGCTGATATGCCCGCGCTCACGCGAGGTGACATGCGCCAGCTCAGGGGTGCTGATATGTACGAGCTCACGCGAGGTGACATGGGCCAGCTCACGGGTGCTGATATGCACGAGCTCACGTGAGGTGACATGCGAAGGCTCACGCGAGGTGACATTCGCCAGCTCACGCGAGGTGACATGCGCCAGCTCACGGGTGCTGATATGCACGAGCTCACGCGAGGTGACATGCGACAGCACACGGGTGCTGATATGCACGAGCTCATGTGAGGTGACATGCGAAGGCTCACGCGAGGTGACATTCGCCAGCTCACGCGAGGTGACATGCGCGACCTCACGGGAGCTGACATGCGCGAGGTCACGCGAGGTGATATGCGCCAGCTCACGCGAGGGGACATGCGCGACCTCACGGGAGCTGACATGCGCGAGCTCACGCGAGGTGACATGCGCCAGCTCACGAGAGGCGACATTCGCCAGCTCACGGGAGCTGACATGCGCGAGATCACGCGATGTGACATGCGCCAGCTCACGGGTACTGATATGCACGAGCTCACGCGAGGTGACATGCGACAGCACACGGGTGCTGATATGCACGAGCTCATGTGAGGTGACATGCGCCGGCTCACGCGAGGTGACATGCGCGAGCTCACGAAAGCTCACCGTGGCCTCTACCCTGACCTAACCTAATATAACCTAACCTTAGTCCCAGACCTAACCCAATGTAACCTAACCTTTGGCGCAGACCTAATGTAATATAACCTAACCTTGGGCCCTGTCTGATAGTAATAACAGTAGTAGGGATAGTAATTATAGTTGCTCCCATAGTAATACGAGTAATAAGTATTAATTATATTAAAAATAGATTATTACTATTAATAATAGTTATAACGATAATACAACTAGCATTATTGGTAGTGATATAGGTTAAATTGATAATAATAAGAGCGATTAGGATGATATTAATAGTTCTAACTATTATAACAATAGTTATATATGTAATAATATAGGTTATATTGATAATAATAAGAATAATAAGGATAATGATAATAAGAGTAGTAATATGCGTGATAATATTGATAATAATAAGAGTAGTAAGGATAATAATAATAGTTCTAACCATAATAACAATAGTAGTATGAGTAATAATAGGTTATACCGAAAATAATAAGATTAATAAGGATAATTACTCTTATAATAGAGTAATATTATAATAATTATTATAAGAATTATATTCTTTGTAAATTACTTAGTATAATAATTATTCTTTGTAAATTACTTAGTATAATAATTATTCTTTGTAAATTACTCTTATAATAGAGTAATTATTGTCCAGTAATTGGGGAATGATATGTTTTAGGTCCCCAAACCTAACCTGATACAATCTAACCTTAGGCCCTGACCTAACATAATCCGACCTTACCCTGGGCCCTGACCTAACCTAATGTAACTTGACTCTAGGCCCTGACCTAATATAATATGACCTAACCTGACTGGTGGAGTATGGGACATTATTTAAATTAAAATACCAGAAAACACAATAACGTTTGAAAGACTAAATGAATTTACTATTTTGGAATTGCAACTGTGAAGTTAAATGAAGTTTAATGAAGAACTTCTTTAACACTCACTTTAAAGAACTTATTTTAAAGAAGTTCATTAAACTTGATTAAACTTCATGGTCGTTTTTCTTAAATAATAAATTCATTTAGACTTATTGTATTTAAAACGTTTTTCTGTTTTGTTTTATTTTAAATATAATAATCTTCCATATTCCATCAGTCATGTTAGATTAGGTTAGGGTGGGGTTAGATTAGGTCAGAAAATACTAAATAACATTAATGGATTTGGGAATCTAATCTTACCTGAAACGCAGAAATTTGTGGAATAGGATTTTTAAAAATTAGTAGAAATGGGAAATTGTGTCATCTTTTCGTCCAATATAATTTCCGGATACAAAGATTTCAACCTTGTAAATTTATGTCGGTAATATTTAGAATTTAACGTCATAAAAATTCTCAGAAGTGGCATGTTGTGTCACCTCCTCGCATGTTATACTCTCTTGGTGTAACGTTTCAGATTTTGATTCTCATATTTTGCGAAGAATTTCGTGTGTAAAATGAAAAAAAAATAGTTTCTCGCCACCTAGCGGAAATAGTTTCTCGCCACCTAGCGGTAAAACGCAGAAATTTGTGGAATAGGATTTTTAAAAATTAGTAGAAATGGGAAATTGTGTCATCTTTTCGTCCAATATAATTTCCGGATACAAAGATTTCAACCTTGTAAATTTATGTCGGTAATATTTAGAATTTAACGTCATAAAAATTCTCAGAAGTGGCATGTTGTGTCACCTCCTCGCATGTTATACTCTCTTGGTGTAACGTTTCAGATTTTGATTCTCATATTTTGCGAAGAATTTCGTGTGTAAAATGAAAAAAAAATAGTTTCTCGCCACCTAGCGGTGAAAACGAAAAGTAGTTTCCTATTTTATCCACATCGTACAGTGTTTGTATTGCCTTTAACTACGCACGTGGAAATTTGAAAGGTTGTGAATTAAGAAACAATCTAGAATAGTAATAAAAGTCAGGAAAGAAATATTATCAGAGTGTAAATAAAACTTTCCTTATTTTTTAACGTGAAGTATTGCATATTCTATAAACAGACAGCGTTAAAAAACTTGTAATGAAATTTCGTATAGGTTATCCGGTTCGTGTACTATTCTTCAAAATTTATCTTTAAGACTTTCTCTTATTTTAGCAAAATAATGAAGGACAAACGTGTTAGAAGCGTATCGAAAAAGATTAAGAAGCCTACTACAAAGAAACGTAAACCATTAAGTAAAGTAACAGTTGATGAATTTTTTAATCAAAGTTTTGAAGATGATGGCAGTAATGATGATGATGAATATAAAGATAAAGGTAAGGATGTAATGAACTCGTTGATGGAAGAAAAACATAGATTTTTATGTCTAATCAATTTATCAAAACAATTTTTTTATTGTAGATGAAAATGTAAATGAAAATGTAGATGAAGACGAAGCAGACAGTAGTGAAAATGATATGGATCCAATGGAACACAAAAAATCCTTAATGAAATTGAAACAAACAGACCCTGAGTTTTACACGTATCTAAAAGAAAATGATAAGAATCTCTTAGAATTCAATATATCGGATGATGATGGTATGGATGATGATGATGAAGAAGATTCATCAAATGAATTGGATACAAAACATATACCAAGTGATCGTTTAGAGGTACAAGATTACATAAAAAATAAAAATTTGGAATTAGAAAATGAAATGTATCTTTTTAATTGTAGGTTGCTAGTGATGAAAGCGATTATGAAGGAGATGATGGTGCTACAAAGGACAAACGTAAAATTACGTTACAATTATTGAAAACTTGGCAAACTGACATTCAGAAAGACAAGTACAATATTACATTTCATTCATGAAACTTAAGCTATGATTAAGAAGCTTGAAAATATAATGTTATGGTATACTTTAATTAAATATTCATATTGCTTACTAATTTTATAGATCACTGAAAACTATTAAATGTGCTATAGAAGCTTTTCACGCCGCGTTACAAACCGTAGTAGATGTACCAGATGCGGACTATGTGGGGTATAAAGTAGAGGGTGGTGCAGGTTGGTCTTAACATACATATTTAGTATTTCAATAAATGATTCCTATTTCACAAACGATAATTTTTTAGTTTTTAATGGAGTTGTTCAGTTATGTGTAATGTATTTGCCTGACGCGTTAAAACAATACTTAAAGCTGAACTCAGAATCCCAGGCCCAAGTTCATAAATCCAAAAGATTTGTAAAGATAAAAAGTATTTTAAAGTCTTACTTGACGGATTTAATTAAGGTACTTACCATCGATATTACCACTGAAAATCGATTCATCTGAATCGTATATAATTCGTGACCTTTTTTCATAGATTTTACAAAATGTAACTTCGTCTAATATTATCACAGTGCTTTTAAAGCATTTACATCAAATGTTACCTTACACGCAATCGTTCTCATCATTAAATAAAATATTGCTGAGGATATTATTAAAATTTTGGACGAGCGGAGAAGAAACTGTACGTGTTGTTTCATTTTTGTGTATATTACGTCTTGCGACGAGTAATCGAGAATCACTTCTAGAAATGCTGTACAAGGTAAGAATCCAATGTTTATGCTTGCATATGTTTAAAGTTTTTTATAATCAATTTCTGCACTTGTACATTCTAGGCAATGTATGTAAAATACGTTGAAAATTCCAAATTTGTGTCCGTAACAACTTTACCCGGAATAAACTTTATGAGACATTCTTTGGTTGAAATATACTCGCTCGACCATAATCTAGCTTATAATCATGCGTTTTTGTACATCAGGCAATTGGCCATCCATTTAAGAAATGCTGTGACTTTAAAGAAGAAGGTAATATTGTATAATATTGATAATGTGTATCATCTGTTAGTTTTTAATAATGTAGAGTATATTTTTCTAGGAACATTTCCAAGCTGTATACAATTGGCAGTATATAAATTCATTACGCTTCTGGTCAGAATTAATAAATGCATCTAAAAGCAATTCTATGTTACATTCACTTTTATATCCCCTTGTACAGGTATGTATCAATAGTGCACTTATAAATGTTAATATTGGCATCATTTGATAACGCTTTATTTATTGGCAGATTATTATAGGAACAATAAAGGTGATACCAACTCCACAGTATTATCCATTGAGATTTCACTGTGTACAAATATTAATAGATATTTCTAGAGAAACTGATACGTTCATACCCATGTTACCATTTTTATTAGAGGTACCATATTTGCATCTTTTTGTATCCCATCATTTATCGGGATTTTAGTTTACAATAATTTTTATTTTATAGATATTAGATTCGTACGATTTTAACAAAAAACATAAGGCAGTATCGATGAAACCTATACCTTTTATTTGCATATTAAGAATGTCTAAGTCCCAGTTACAGGAAAATGGTTTTAAAGATAACGTTATCGAGTCTATATACAAACTTATTTTAGAAAGTGCCGCAAAGGATAGTTATAAAATATATTTTCCCGACTTGTACATACCATGTATAATACAGGTAAAAAATAATCTTTTGAAAAATACTTCCTACAACTTTTCTTGTTTATATTTTTTAATCCATTTATTCGTTGTTTATAGCTGAAGGCATTTTTAAAGAAATGCCACATAGCAAATTACTGCAGAAAAATGAAACAATTACTGGAAAAGATCGAGGAAAACCGAAAATACATCGAAACAGAACGAAATAAAACCGTGATTGATTTGAAAAACATGCCAGCGATAAAGAACTGGGAGAACAAAATAAAAACAGAAGGAACATCACTGTCGAAATTTTACGAGTCGTGGATAAATATTCATCAGTCTCAGAAACTCAAATTACTTACAAAGAACGAGGAGTTAGCCGAATATAATATACCGACGATCAAAAAATTAAAGAAAGGAAAATCAAAAGAAGACAGCGCGGGAGAAAGCGACGAAAGCAGTGACTTTGAATTGAGGATAAAGTCCAATGAAGAAAAATCTGAAACACGTACCAAACGAAAGAAGAAGAAACCAAAAACTAGCAAAAACATCGAAGACATTGAGTTACCAACAGAAAATACTGATATCGTGCAAGACATAAAGTCCGAGGATTGGAATTAAATTTATTCAATTTGCATACAAGAATTACGCTAGTATAAATGACTATTAAAGTAAGATTGAATACGAAACGACTATATTTATTACATTGTATCTTTAAGGCTAAGGTAACAGATATATTTGTCAACTATGATTTCACCGCGTTACAAAAGTAAATAAACGTGTAAAACTGAATGCGCAATCGCTTTAATTAGGTCATCTCATTCAAACGTGCGCGGCAAAGACGCATAAGATATTAGTATGAGTAGCATGAGTCCTCTGCATTATAATAACCTGTATATTATTTTAGTAACGTGAAACATGAATCAACAAGAGCTACAAAACCCAATGAGTGACACGAATCAAGTAGTCTTATGACATTAGTATGCCACTTGGTAAGAGTGCGTCCGATATTTGCAGAGATTTGGTGAAAGTATTAAATTTACTTTCCTGTAATAGTGCAACATTGTTCAAAGGAATTTTGTACGCATAATACCGACTCTAGCAAATGTCGAGATGGTGCAATGTAGCGGAATATAACAAACGTTGTTATAATGAAAGAGCTTCTAGAAGAACGAAGATAGTTGACAGTCGGTGAAGTTTCCCGCCAACTATACTTGTAGTTATGTGTAAGTTTCGTCGATATTGCGCGGCTACTTTTCCCAACTCCTCATTTTGGCGCGCAAGTTCGAACGAGATGACCTACAATCTAGGAAGTTGTCGATTATGTATCCGATCTAATTTTGACATTTATTATTCCGATAAAAAAAGAAGTTTTTCCAAGAATAACCGCGATAAGGGACAGCATTAAACGGACGCTATAATTTATGTCTGGTATGGCTGAAGCCGCCGATTTCTAAGGTGTCGCTTTCTGATAGTCTATTTTTATCGAAGACGAGTCAAAGCAGTCGGGAAGTTGGTATAGCAACGGTTGGGCGCTATTATAAAGCACCGTGTGCTTGCCGTACCGTAATTCATCCAAGCGTGATCGTTTCATGTAAGAAAAAGGATTTCGCGGTTAGAGGAATAGCCGTGTTTTATTTACTGATCGTGCAAGTGACGAAGAGAAGCCTGAACACGCGACACCTTTATCATTTGGACGACTGCTAACTCGAGAAAAGGATTCAGTTACGTATGTACGGGAAACATTGAAAGAAAATGAAACGTTGAATCTGAGCGTGGAACGAATACCGTTCTGATCGCGAGAAATTGATGGCATTTCGTTTTGGTATAAAAATACATAAATTTTCGTGCATCTTCGAGACTCGGCAACGAATGGACCAGTATCAGCCGATACTGGTGCCTGCTGGCTACTAAGTGCCGCTGTGACGGAGTTGCCGTGGATCGTACGTGCTTAGTCGGCCACCTCTTGTGCCAGGGAACATTTTGTAAGATGCGATTTTGTCTCTCATGGCGAAGGAGCTTCCGTCGTGAGATTCGTCCGCTTTTCGTATCGAACGCTTCGTTCAAAGTATAACACGCTCGCGGATTACGTAAATTCGTAGGAAAAAAAGCGACGTAAAATAGGCAGGGTGCGAACTGTGTAAAACGTCGAAATGAGGAGAACACCTTTCGATAAGTAAACTTTCATTTTCTTCTTACGCTTTAGAAGAAAACTGAGGAGAAAGAGAGAGAAAGAAAACACTGGCTTTCCTGTTACTCTTTGCAACGACCATCTAATCCCGATTAATTTTATGATTAAAATTAATTCGCATTATTAACACCAGCTTTTTATGACGACGTTAACATGGGTCTCCGAAATAATTTTCTCCGAAGATCAGACTTTTAAATGGTCTATTTAAAGTACCGCACAAGCTCGATACAACGAATTTTCATTTACAACAAATAAATGTATTAATAAATGCTTAAAGTACAAAATGTTACGAATATAAAGCAAAATTTGATGTTAAATCGTTTAACTTTCTACCGAGACTTACCCCGTAAGTTGCGTCGATTAATTTTATCTTGTAAGAGGTGCTAATCGACTCGCTTTTTTTTCTTGCTCGCAATTAATCGAATATTTTCGTTCTAAACGAGTACAGCACTGGATAGTACACCCCAAACGTAACCGCTCGAACTGTTACCGCGTATTACGTTACAACGGATAAATTTAGCATTTCTTTTGCACGAGAGGACGTTATTGTGCCGCTGCCAATACCGAAACGCGAAATTAATTGACTGCTTGGACGGAGCCCAATTTCTTTCGTTAAAGAATCCGATCAGACAACGTCTCGTATATGAGATTAACGACGTGTTTCTCGTTTCGTTTGTACCCGCTAATCGTAATCTTTACTTTCATTTTTGCTTTTGCGAATGATAACTGCGTTGGGAGACTTCGGACAATCGATGTTTCAATGTATGTCAATATTTCAGGGCTTACATTAATATGGTGATTTAATACGGATATATTGTTTAATACAGAAATATTGTTTAATGCAGAAATTGTTTATATGAATAAATATGTAAATTAGATTTTATGTAGTAAATAGTTTTCAACTGTTTGTGCTATGTAGAAGTTACATTTATATTTTTGGAAGTTAAAGATAATTGTTCAATTTATTGTAAGTCAATATTCTGTTCTCTAATTAAATAGTTTAGCATATTGACTCTTAAAGTGAAAACTTATGTAGTGAGACATATCTACAATGTTATTAATAAGTATTAAAAAGGCTGAAATATTGACAGTAAATGTTAAGCATCTGAGGTCTCTATAACAATAATGAGATACTCTAAAGAATGATGCAAATAAATTAAATACTAGGAAGCTCTCTTTCTTCTTACCACGGATTCGCTCTTCGTCTCCAATTACTAGACTTGGGACATCATTAACTATGCTTATCATTAAAAAGAAAACATGAAGTTTGCGCGCGTAACTCATTTCATGTAACTCGATACGAGAAACATTGTTATTCGTAAAATATTGTAAATACATGTATAAGATAAAATGAAGACAGGCATAAGTACTGTAATATATTCTTCTTTAACATACTACATACATAATATTAAATTTTTTAACATACATACATATATAATATTTAAAATATTATAATATATGCATAATATTTTATTACATATTACATGTTTTATTATTGTATAATTATGTATGTATATGAAAGAAGTATATACCACATCATGTCAATGTCACTTAAATACATATTTACAATATTTTATACATAAAAATTCTTCACACCATGCCATATTTTAACAAAGAATATTTTAGGGTAGAATGTTTCTATTTTTCTATAAAGTATTAAAAGTTAAGCGATCAAAAAGCACGTTCATAAAAAGGGTATACTAAACGATCTCCATTTCGACAGCCACATTTTAAGCAACACATACAATTCGTATAGTGTTGCATCGAAAAATTCGAAGGATGCCGAATGCAAGTACAGCGTGAATTATAGCAGTAGACAGGAGAATCAGTATCTGCAGCGAAGTTATTCCGCGGACAATGTTGTAATACGTTCCCGTGGTTTTAAGCCCTCCGATAGGCACGATCCTGTCAAAAGGAATTTCCTTGAACATTTGACCTCGAAAATACTACATTTTGATATGGTAAGATCGTAGAATCGTCGAAAAGCAGTTGATGTTCAAACATTTTTAATGGGGTTTCCTTTGTAGGAGAGCAATGAGGTTGGACCGGTCAATTTGCAGAAATTACTCACCCCTGCGTCTGACTCGCAGGGGATTTTGCAATCGAAAAATAGTAAGCTCTAGATAGGGTAGATGTACTATTTGTGGACGTGTAATGTAATTTGCGAATCAGAGGTTTGAGAATTTAGAAATTGGGAGGTTTGGAATTTTTAAATCTGAAAATTCGGGATTCAGAAATTTAGAGGTTTAGATATTTACGGGGTGGCAAGTTTAGGAGTTTGGAAACTTGCAGGGTGGGAAATTTGGAGATATAGAAATTTGCAAGGGGGGGATTTGTGAGATGGAAAATTTCAGATTCGGAAATTTACGGAATAGGAAATTTGTGAGATGGGAAATTTAAGGATTTGGAAATTTGCAGAGTGGAAAATTTAGAGATATAAAAATTTGCAAAGTGAGGAATTTGTGAGATGGAAAATTTCAGATTGGGAAATTTAAGGATTTCAAAATTTGAGGGGTTGGAAATTTGTGAGATGGGAAATTTAAGGATTTGGAAATTTGCAGAATGGAAAATTTAAAGATATAAAAATTTGCAAGGTGGGGAATTTGTGAGATGGAAAATTTCAGATTGGGAAATTTAAGGATTTCAAAATTTGAGGGGTTGAAAATTTGTGAGATGGGAAATTTGCGAGTTGGGAAGTTCAGAGATTTAGAAATTTGCAAATTAAAAAATTTTGCAATTTCCAAATTAGATCATCTTAAAATTTCTAAGTTCCGTCTACACACTGCATCTAGATCCACCCCAATTCTCCTTCCAGTCATAACACAAGCTAATAAAGCACCGATTACAACGCACTGAACGCAAATATTACATCTACTCTTCCGAATATAAAAAGAACAGTAAACAGCTCGTCTGTGGCCACCGATCAAATCGAAATGAAAAAACTGGAAAACTTGTTTATAGGAAAAATGTTTGCGTCGTCGTATTTTTACGCGCCAACGCATCCGACCGTCGAGGATCAAGTTGAACTCGCTCGGCGAATTTCGCATTCGTTGAGCGACGTGAAAAACATGAAAAGTAAAGGTCAATCTATGTATGTGAACAGAAAAAAGCGGTCTGTTAAATGGATACACGATGGCAATGGTTCGTATATTTATTAATCTCGAGATTCAATAACGCCGCAGCGATAATGTATAATAGTTTAACACGATCGTTACCAGCGCTCTATTGGAAATTTGCCCATCATGAATCACTATTGTGTTAGACATTGGGTAAAATAACGTAATTTTGGGTTATTATAAAATTGACCTACCTACTGTTTTTAAAATCGTGTGAATGTTAAAATATTATGTTTGTTTTATTATATAAAATACATCAAATATTTGTACATTAAATAATACATTAAATATATCAAACATAAAAGATTTTGTATTAAAATTTTTGTATGATAAATGTTTATGAAGAACAAATTATTAAGGTAGATGTTATTAAATTAATTATTAAGGTCTCATAGAAAATTTTATAAAATAAAACATTCTGTATTAAAATGTTTGTATGACAAATATTTATGAAGAACATATAATTATATTCTCATAGAAAATTGTTATACATATTTGAGGCTGACAACGAACGTGTTAATTGCAACTATTGTAACACTTCTATGAAATGTATTTAATGATCTAACATTGTATGAAACACCAGGTGTAGAAGACGAGGAAGAACCTTCAACCGCAATTCACAGAGTAAGTGATACCATTTAATGTTCCTAGTTTGAACAAGTTCTTTCATTTTTATTTCTTCTCATCCCTCATTCTGTTTCTTTACCCTAAAACTTGTATTTGACCCACGATTTTCTGCCCGACAGGACAAGGTTCCTTTAAAATGCATGATGAACCCGCACGGAAAAGTGTTAGATATACACGGTATTCAAGCTTTGGGCGAAGAAGTAAACATTGAACCAATGCCAAAGAATCCTGAGAAACTCTTTGATATCGTGCGTGACCTGAATAACCAAAAAGGCCGCGGTAATCAGACCTTTCGTATCGATTAGTCCAAGAGAACATCAAGAAAACTTAGAGGAATGTTAAACGAAAGAATTTTGTTTACAGGTGCGGAGATATTCGCGAAACGTAGGAAAAGGTCGGAGAAATGGGTCGTGGACAGGGATCAACCGCAAACACCCAACACTCCGGGGACACCTAAGGGACTGGGGTACTCGGGAAAACCGGTAAAGTCTATTTTTTAAGAGACATACATTGATTTATATCATTCGTTCAGACCTAAGACTATGGATTGCAGAATAATTTCAAACAAAAATTATTGGAGAATAAATTTTATTTCTAAGGGCTCAGAGGCAATAGTAGTTTGATGGCAGTATGGATTATTTCAAATAAAATTTTTGTATAAAAATACATACTTAATTACCAATATATTTGCACCAATATATTTATCAATATATTTATAGTCATACCATAGCAGGAAGACAATAGTCATTGATCACCAAGGTGTCCAGCTGTGAATTAAAAAAAATGTCTGTCTGTAGATAAATAGTGAAATTTATATGTCTATGAATAATAATCTTTTTCTGGAATCTTGTTGAGTCTGAACGGATAATATAAGATCTGGAGAATATTAAAATAACTGGTATATGTACACGTCCAGGAAATGAATGGTTCTTCGAAATTTTCGACGTTGCCTCCACTCACACCGATCGCACCCGAGCCAACCGTCCAGAAACCATTTTACAATCCCTTCACCGTGGATTTGTCTTTAGACGACGCGAATACACCCACGACAGGTACGTAAATTATCGGAGCTGTGTGTTTCACGAGAAGTTGACGTGTTTATTTGGCAATGCTTCGCAAACATTGGCATTCAATGGCGTAACCCGGATTGGGGTGGGTTAGGTCACTTATCTTTGTTGGAGGGACTTTTGGAAGTTAGGTAATTTGCAGATTTGGGGATTTAATTTGGGGATTTGGAGATTTGGGAATTGAGAAATTTAAGGATTTGAGGATTTGAGGATTTAGGAATTTAAGAATTTAAGAATTTGAAGATTTAGGAATTTAGGAATTAAGGAGTTTGAGGGTTTAGGAATTTAAGAATTTAGGAATGTAAGAACTGGAGGATTTAGAAATTTAAGAATGTAGGGATTTAAAGAATTTGAAGATTTAGAATGTAGGGATTTGAGGATGTAACAACTTGACAATTTGAAGATTTAGAAATTTAGGACTCAATCAATTTGAAGATTTAAGAATTTAAAAACTCAGGATTACAAGAAAATTAGGATTATGAGAATTTATGTATTAAATGTTAAAAACTTCTACTTCCAAAAACTTGTAAATTTACACTGACCCTACTCCCAATCCAGTTGCGCCAATGGTTGCATAGTTTACAACGCAAACAATAACTTCCAAGGTCCATGGCTTCTGCTTATTTCCACTGCTGCCAAAATTCTCTTGTGTTACCTTGTAACAGTCTCAGCTTTGTTAAGACTGAAACGTATGGTACAAAACGAGACATTGATGCATTTCGACGTTAAAGTTAATCCGTAGAAGCTTCGTTCGTGGGTTCAATGACCTAAGACACTTCAATTGGCAAACGACGTCGATGTTATTCTCTCGATGCCAGATCACCGCCGCATTCTTTTTCACCGTATAGCTAAAATAAACAACGATCCGTGCCCGGTTGCCAATTGATTCCTTTACGTTGATTAAACTCTGCGACCTGACGTTGACGTTTAACATTTTGAGTGCCATTTCAATCATATCTGGGTGACACTTGAACTTTTAGCTTTATTATTTTTCTAACTATTTTACATTACTGTAAACTATTTTATTTTATCATTTGTGTAAATTTGTGTGATAAGAATGAGATGAAATTGTAAGAATTATTTGCTAGGTTTATTTGAAATAGTCAGGAGTTTAGAGTGGCTCTGTAATTCTCATCTTAAATTAGTAAAAGTAATATCAGTTTTTGTATAAGTAATTTTGTTAAATTGTATAGTTTTTATAGACTTGTGATTTGTAATAATTTTACAGTAGTATGCAAGTTTGAGATATGACTTACTATAAATAGAATTGTTATTTTATTGGTCAGCAAGCAGTAGTCACCATTATTATTGTTATAAAACAAAATGTCCAGACATACGGTTGTCATTATTCATGTCTCACAACAATATTTGTCTCCCTGAACTGATTTAGTCAAACTGCTATGCATTTCAAAATAACAAATATTGTTAGCCTTCATATATCACCATATCATATATCAAGGAATATTAATTACAATGATTACAGTATTTATTGTACTATACTCAGTTTATTATAACAGTCTAAAATTATATTATTATATGCTATGTTATACAACAGATTTGTGAAACTATCTCAGAATCATAATTGAGTAGTTATTAATCACTTCCTTGGAACTATTTACATGATTATAATTTGTTCTAAATATTCCAGGCAGAAATCAGTTTCGTTGCAACGGTCAAGAGTGTAATCACTCGAGCACCGAAGTGAAAAAGATATATCTGAGAGAAGTGGCAGTCGGCACCGATAATGATTTTGCTTTGGATGAATCTCGATCATCGATCATCGAAAAATCACGTCGAACCGCTTTCGATCCTGATAACGAGCAGCGCAATAATTATCACGCCAGATATAACGGCAGCGAAAATACTAACAAACGCAATCACTATCACAACAAGGCTTCGCTCAACAAATTTAACTACTCTAACGGCCGCCATGCTACTAACAAAGAAACAAAGCATCATCATGTGAAGGAGCAACGCATCACGGAGCGTATAAAAATCAGCGAAGAACGCGAGTTTGTAAATAATCAACGAGAAATCGACTCGATCCGCGTAGACAGCGATAAAAGCGAATACACACCCATACCGGTCAAACAGTTGATACAAGAATTCGAAAAAACTTGTAGGCCAGTTCTGCAGTATAAACAAATCAGTCCAAAGGTTATTCCGATTGTACAGCATTCTCCTATAGACAGCGACATTGCACGGTTCTTTGAAACGCGAAATTCTGTCAAATCTAACAACGTGGAAGATCATAGGAGGTGAGAGCTCCTCCATGAATTGTTATAGGATTTATGGAAGATAGGGCTGGATTAAGGATCAACTAATCAAATGATAAATTTATTCAATAGAAGTACTGTAGACATTGTCTGTTGTTAAATTTACTATGGAATGTATTTTATAAAGTACCACAATTTCAAGTTCCAAAAATACCAAAGTCAGAAAGTTACACAATTCCAAAATTGCAAAGTTCCAAACTTACAAAGTTCTAAATTTCCACAATGACAATGAGGCACCAAAACTATAATTTAAATTGTATAGCTGCATTTCAGTCTACATATGCTCTAAAATTTTGTTAGTATCTTTTAATGACGCTGAAGTTCTTAATCCGGCTCTGAATGGAATTTTATGCTTCTGATCGCAATCTCCGCCACGTAAACTGATTAGTATTATTAGTTCTTTCTAAAGGATTGCTTTAATCTCTAACTCTAAGTTGATTAACTCAGAGTTAATTAGAGCGATAAGCATAGAATTCTATTTACCTTAATTCGAATCGATCAAAAATGTCACGGAATCGAAACTTTCCATTGATTTGATCACGATACAGAACAGCTGGTCAGCGAGCGTACGAGGAACCCGTGAGGTTTCGAGATAATTGCGACAACGTTTACCTGTCTACCGATGACACGGAATACACAACGGACGAAACCGATTCGCAGACGAACGATTATGCCAGCGAGGAAATGATCTATCGCGAAAAATCGGAGACCTCGAGCGTGATGAACGGAGATCACGAATATTCGACGATCTACCGAGAAGAATGTTCGAGCCGTCGCCGATCGGTCACTTCCGAGGAAGTGGAAAACTTTTGCAACAACGGGGACGGAAAGTTTAGGAACACAGAGTCGGACGTGCCCGTAGAAGCAAAGTCGTTGCTGCTTTCGATGATCGCTTCGCAGGAGGATATTTTAGAGACCATCAAACATTTGCGAAACACCCCGGTTTTGGATAATCTTTTGCACGGCGTTTCGCCCGATATCAAATTTGATGTCTGTCAGGATGATGGCAAGTTAACCGCATGCGCTTTTAATGCAAATCAGCTTAGCTTCAGCATTACTTAACTGAACTGTATTCATTGACGTAATTAGACTAATTTACTGAAGTATAATCTAAGTATGATATAAAATACTATGTACATTTCATATTAGAAAGTTATACATTTTCAAAGTTACAAACTTGCAACTCATTATATTAAGCACTTCAGAAAGTACTTGAGTTACGTCAATGATTAAGATAATCAATAGAAATCATAGTTTAAAATCAACTTATAGGCTTTTCTTTATCTGCAGGTAAAAAACTTTACGAGAGCAACACCTATTCAGGACCGAAGTTAGCCAGCATTCACAACTTGACGAATTACAACACGGCACCACGTGGCTGGGATCAATCTCTAACCTTCTATCGGCCAATAAAATTCGAGAAACCGCAGGAAATCGTGTATTCAGACTTTTAGATGCACGAACCTGATTATAAGTCGCTCTTTAATTCAAGCACGAAATTAGAGTAAATATGTATTCCTTCTGGGAGAACGAAGCCATATGATTATTATCTCCCGAACGTGGCCCCGCAGATTATAATTAATTTGTTTCTTTATTAATTAATGAATTTACCTTTGCCCTGATCTAGTCAGATAACGATAATGATATCTTGAAAAATAAATTCAACAAGAAAACGGCGCTACACGCGTTGTAATGTTGTGCTTGAACCTACCTCTCCCATTGTTGAGACCTCTTTATTTATGCTTCTCGGTGTTATGTTGCATTTTACTTTATAGTTATTTAAATAAATGTTGTTTTCGTAATACAAGTACTTTCGAGTACATGTCGAGTTTGTTTGAGAGGAGAGAATATACATTTAGAGCCAGAAAAAATCTTTTCAGCTGTAAACTAATAATCATGATAATTACCTACTGATACACCTGAAACATTTTTCACAAAATTACTGAGCCTCTTTATTCGTTCTTGTAATTTTAATAAATAATTTATGTCAGCTAAATAAAAATGTTCTATTCTGTATATATAAGTACAAGAATAACGAATGTAATTATGACATCAACTTGTACTCCAAAATAGAATTTTAATTGGCCTTTGAATGGGTACTATTCATTGTTTCAAATAAAGACTAATTTTGTTCATAAACGTATTTCCGCATCAATACACAATGCCTTTTAATAATTACAATGCTACTTTTGATAAAAAATGTGCAATCGTTAACACCTAGTCATTCAGGAGAGTTATGTCAAGATCATGCCATCAGGGTTGCCTAAACGTGACCTTCAGCTGTTTGTTTACACCTCTGGGCTACGTTTATAATCGTAAATAATGTAACAGCGTATAAACAATGTAACAATGTATTATGTAAGAGTAATAGTCAAATTTTTCCGGGTGTTAATTTACAAAAAAATTTATCTAAATCCTTACTCCAGGAGTAAGTGGACGGTAAACACGTATTCTAAAGAGGCAACGTATCTGTTTGATCTTGTACGCAGTCGCAGTAACTTCGCCTCGGAGAAACAGTATAAGTAATAGTAGACTGGACGATTATTTCATTAGTTGTGACTGGAAGCGTACTGTGATAGATTATGTCACGGTTATCCGGCATCGTGTTTCCATTGTTTTTACTGGTAGCGTTGTTAGGCCATGGGCAAACGGCGAGCATACCAAGGAGGTCGCCGGTGCAAACCTGTGGCTATCAGGTACTCCTTCCTTTTTTAAGTAATCGGTTACTCTTATCAAGTCTGCGTTATATTTAAAAACTGCATAAATAAAGTTATCTCGTTCGCGCGTTTATTTACGCGTTCTTGCATGCGATATTCAATCGATGATTTTATAGCGTCAGCAGAAGAGGATTGCAATTTTGAAAGAAACTATGTCACTGTTTAAAAAGTTGCTTTTCGTTTATGAACAGAGTGTTTATAGAATTATTACAATTATTATATAGAGTTATTTTTGCGGATTTTATGAAAGAATTTCGATGTACATTTTCCTGAAGGGAATTGTTTTTCGGAAAAACTTTGATGGTATTTGTCTTCTGTTATTCAAAATATTCGTAAATTTGTAGGCATGCCCTGCGGTAGATCCTGAGAAACTAAATATTCACCTGGTTGCTCACACTCATGACGATGTTGGCTGGTTGAAAACTGTTGATCAGTATTATTTCGGAAGTAAGCGTTTATGAGTATCATTGTTAAACTTAATTTTCTGAAATTAATGTACCTCTGACGCTACGTAAAAATTCACTTTCTCTTGTTTTAATAAAGGTCGGACAACGATTCAGAAAGCGGGAGTGCAGTACATTTTGGACAGTGTGATACAAGCGCTGTTAGCTGATCCACAGAGAAAGTAATCTCAAAATATAATTATTTATCACAATTTCATACTTAAGAACAATCAAAGTAACGATATTTAATTACTCGTTAGGTTCATTTATGTGGAAACCTTCTTCTTGTGGAAATGGTGGCTGCGCCAAAGCGATGAGATGAAAGAAACCGTGCGAAATCTGATAAATGAAGGCAGATTGGAAATCATCGGCGGTGGATGGAGCATGAACGATGAAGCGGTCACTCACTATCATTCTCTCGTGGATCAGTATACCTGGGGTTTTAGGTGAAAAGATTTTTTTCCCAACAATCAAAAATGATAAACGATGTAGTTTGCGTTCATAACTTAAGATGAAAATACCAATTTCAAACCTTCTATACAATTTAATTTTACAGTAAAATAGTAAGGGAGAATCATAGTCAATTTAAATTAAATAATACTTCTAAATATTCTAAACTTTTATCAGTTAACTCAGCCAATGGTCATTGAACCACCATTTTCTCCAACATACTCTTCTTGGAAGAATAACAATATTTTATATTTTCCATTAATATATTGCTGCTATAAGTTTAAATTAACATTCTCACAGTCTCAATCAATTTTTATTTTCACATTGAATTCGATATGAAAATAAGTCATTACATATTCAGCCTAACGTGAACTTGTCAGAACGTAATTATGTATTCCAGGCGTCTAAACGACACTTTCGGTAGCTGTGCAAGGCCACGTATCGGATGGCAAATAGATCCTTTCGGCCACTCTAGAGAACAGGCGTCCTTGTTTGCTCAACTTGGATTTGATGGCATGTTCTTTGGACGACTCGATTATCAAGATAAGAGCCAACGACTGGAAGACAAAACTATGGAATTCCTATGGAAAGGAAGCCCAAGTTTAGGTAATACATTATCAGCCGCAACTTAGAAAATTATGGGAATAAAAATTAAACGAAAAAATCCATTCCCTAAAATCGTAAACGATCAAACATTACTGTGTTTTAAACAACAGAGAAGTTTTTAAAAAATTTCTACATTTTCTTTAAACTTCTTTGTGTGTTTTATAATTGTTTGAACAATTTTTCTTTTCGATATCGTTAAAAGAAAGAGCAACGTGGATTTACATATGAAAGGTGGATTTTTAAGTTGAAGATCGTTTCTAATAATTTTTAAAGAAAAGAGAAATAATTTTTAATAATCTTTTCAGGATCTCGTGCTGATCTCTTCACGGTTGCACTGTACAACACTTACAGCCCACCCCCCGGTTTCTGTTTCGACGTCTTATGCTCGGACGACCCCATAATCGACGATCCTAACAGTCCCGACTATAACGTGAAAGAAAAGGTATTCAAAGTTTGAAGAACCCTTTCCCTTCCTTCTGATCGCTTCCACTAAACTTTATCTCGTGCAAAACAGATCAGTAAATTTTTGCAATACTCGGAGCAACAAGCACAGACGCTACGTACGAATAACATTATACTAACGATGGGTGGAGATTTCACTTACCAACAAGCGGAAATGTACTTCGTCAACTTGGACAAATTGATAAGGTACATTACTCGTTAAAGTACATCGTTTATTTATTGCGTGGAAAATAGTGGAGAAGAAAGGAAGGGAAAGATCTTGCAACTGTTATTTTCTTTTGAATCGGTGAGTAAAATTGTGGTCCATCGACAGGTTGAAAAGATTGTCGCATACGCGCGTACTCAAGCAAAGTCTTATAACACCAATAACGTTATTTTTACGATGGGTGAAGACTTTAATTACCAACACGCCGAAATGTGGTTCACTAACTTGGATAGGTTAATGAGGTAAAATATAATGGTGTCTAGGTCGACCAGAAATTAATTAAAAATTAATTGTTCAAGTGTAAGAAGAATTTTAGACATCTTATTTTATGTTTGTTGGGTTCAACAGATACGTGAAGGAGGAGAAAGGTTCCGAGGTGAATATATTCTACTCGACGCCATCTTGTTATCTGAAAGCGGTTCACGACGCTAATCTTCAATGGACCACGAAAGCCGATGACTTCTTCCCTTACGCGAGCGACCCTCATTCGTATTGGACCGGTTACTTCTCTTCGAGACCTGCGATCAAGTTTTTCGAAAGAATGGGAAACAATCTTTTACAAGTAAGAAAGAACTTTGAAGAACTTGCAGAACACTTGCATAGATTTATACACTGTTACATATTTTTGTATGTCATTCAGTAACTGATACTTTATCACTTTTCATAAGTAAAATAGTTCTTTAAATATTGACAATTTTATATATTTTAGATAAGCAAGCAGTTATCTGTGTTGACCAGTTTGGAGGGACACGAGGAACATTTAGTGAACTTCCGCGAAGCGATGGGTATAATGCAGCATCATGACGCTGTGACTGGAACGGAAAAACAATTGGTTGCTGATGATTATTCGCGTTTATTATATGAAGGCATGCAACATGGAGCAGATATTGCTTCTAACGCTATAAGGTATTGTAACAATTAACTGTGGAACCACTTTGTATGCCACAACAGCATCCTTAGTGACAACTGCATCCTTGAAACCCAAGAATTTGATGTTCTATAAATTTGAGAATTTGAAAAGTTAAAATTTATGAATCTGTAAAAAATAAAATTAAGAATCTGAAATTTGTTAAAATTAAAAATTTAAGAATTTTAAGTAATTTATGAATTACTCTTCTGGCAGAGTTTGTGTTCTATCTTATATTATATGGTTCACAGAAAATGGAAATCAAAGGGCGCAGCAGAGCTCATACAAGAAGAAGCCTACTCATGCATGCAATTTAATATAAGCACATGTTCGTACACCGAAGACGAAAATTTCTTACTGACGATTTACAACCCCCTAAGTCGAAGAATCTCAACTCCCATTCGTGTGCCCGTAAAATACGACGCATACAAAATCCTAGAACTCGGAGGTTTGCATTTTGCAATTTGTGAATATTAATGTAATCGTTGTTTACTTTAAGGATTCTAATTTATTTAATTTTGTTAATTTCAAGGTGGTGTCGAAATCGTTTCTCAAACAGTCCCAATTCCTAAGTCCGTTCGTGATGTACCCGGAAGGGTGAGCGCTGCGAATAATGAACTTGTGTTCGTGGTATCGATACCGCCCTTAGGTTTCAAGTCTTATAAAGTTACACGAAAATTGGAAAGCGGGAGTCAAGTATCCGATGATCTTTTTATTGGTAACGAGGTAATGTATCAATGAGGACGAATTATTATAAATTTAATGTAGTTCATGTAGTTTAATTGTAAAGTGAAAAATTTCATGCATTAAACCTATTAATATATGTATATGTAATAATGAAATAATAGAATACTAAAATGATGAAGTAGTATAATAGTAAATTTCCAGTACATGAAATTGAATATTTACAATTTATATCCTGAGATCAAATTTAAGAGATATGATTTTTATTTCAGTTTTACAATGTGTCGATCAACGACGACGGAATAGTAGTTGACTGGAAGAAACAAAATAATATGAGTTTAACTCAATCCTTCCACTACTACGAAGGAATGGAGGGTAACAATGAGGTAAACAAAAACAGATCATCCGGTGCATATATCTTTAGGCCCAAGAGCGTGTCAGGAAAGAATTTCGCGAATACGGCAACTTATGAAATTTACAAAGGTAAAAGTTCTGCACGGAATATTTTAAAATATGAGATTAAACTTCATACTTATCGAACTAATCGATTATGAAGACTTGTTCAATTTGATTAAGTTTTGGATTTTTACAGGTCCAGTGGTAGAGGAAATTCATCAGGTGGTCAATAATTGGGTAAGTCAGGTAATTCGAGTGTACAAGAGACAGGAATACGTTGAATTCGATTGGCTTGTCGGACCAATACCTGTTAAGTAAGTATGTGTTATAAGTTGTCATAGTAAAATTCTTAATGTCAGTAAAATTTTACCAAGAGTTTGTTAGTTTATCAAGAGTCTATACTTGATTAGAGAACGACAATATATCTTTCAATTTATATCTCATAGCAAAACAATAATTTCGCCCACTTTCAATTACAGAGACAAGATAGGAAAAGAAGTAATAACGAAGTACTCCAGCAACTTAAATTCCACCGGAGAATTTGATACGGACACAAACGGCCGTGAGACACTAAAACGAAAGAGAAACTTCCGTCCAACGTGGGACTTGGTATTAGAAGAAGAAGTATCCGGCAACTACTATCCAATCACTTCGAAGATCTCCTTGACGGACAAAGAAAAATTACAGAAACTCAGCGTCTTGACTGATCGTGCTCAAGGTGGATCCAGTATGAAAGACGGAGAAATCGAAATGATGGTAATTGCTGCATTGTGAATGCATTTTGCAAATGAAATCAATTTTGTGTCGTTCATATATTTTATATACGATTATGTCACAGATTCACAGAAGGCTTTTGAAAGACGACGCGTTTGGAGTAGACGAAGCCCTCAACGAAACTGCATATGGTAAAGGTTTGGTAGTCAGAGGCTCACATTATGTTATTGGAGGAAGCGTCAAGAGTTTGGACGACTTCGTATTGAAAGAAAAAGAATTGGCTCTTCAACTTCTTCTTCGCCCGTGGCCTCTTATTACACCTGTACCAACGAATTCTGTAAACGAGAACTTCATGGCTGTCACACAAGTAGGCATTCAAGGAGTTTGTGGAACATGTTCCAAGTTTCTAAGTTTCTAAAGTTGATATTTTCTTGTAGGCTTCTGGTCTAGCTAAAGGTCTGCCACCGAACGTTCACATTCTAACTTTGGAGCCATGGAAGGACAACAAAGTTTTACTGCGACTGGAACACATTTTCGAAGTGGGTGAAACGGAGACCTTATCGAAACCCGTCGAAGTTAATCTACAGGTATAACAATACTCAATTTATATTTAAAAAAAAACTCTTAACACGATTATTGTTTCACAGGATTTGTTCACAACATTCACGATAACATCCATCGAGGAAACCACATTGGGTGGCAATCAATGGTTGAAGGACATGGATCGTTTGAGTTTCAAAGCCGTTAACGAAGACGTTCTTCAAAAACAAACAAATTTGGATGTTCCCGTTGAAATTAACGACGGTGCTATAAACGTTGTTTTGAATCCAATGCAAATTCGAACGTTCATCGTTGGAGTAGAACCAAAAAGCAATTGAACGTTAGAGTAAAATGTCGAATATTTTTGTACCTTTAATACCTCGTACAATAAAGTATAAGTCTTTAATATTCTCAAATGTTTATATTCACAAGCTTCCAAATTTCGAAATACTCGATTCGCTCTGATTTGTGACTACAGAATCGAATGTCAACCTTTTTGACGCTTGCACCTTATAACCTATTAAAATGTAAATCCTCCGTCCCAAAATTTACGATAGTTCTTTAAATGTTTGGAGAAGTTTGAGATGCCTTTTCATAAAAGTACTTCATAGAACCCGTAAGAAGTAATTCAAACTCTAAGGTAATAATTTAGTTCTTCTTTTAACCTTCTTCTAAATTTTGTCTTCACATTTTACAATAAAAATTCAAAAATTCTGCATATGGTAAATATTTAAATATTTACAGTTTGTACAGAAGGTTTGTACAGAAGGTTGAATGCAGAATATTTTAATTTATAAATGCATTTGTATGACAGAAGTATTTGTTACTAAAAAATGGTTGAATACTTTGTGCTGTTTCAGAAGTAATTTCAATTTAATTTTTAAAGAAGTTATACAAATGTAATTTATTTATAAACTGCATAAAGATTGTATGAAAGTCAATTTTTCAATTTGTGAAATGCTTCAATGTATTCAGATGACAACGGAGGACGATACCTGGGCCCAAACTCTGGTAACAGTAACCCCTGAAGACGATGCAACAATCAGAGAAATTTCGGACACCGTCACATTATCTTCGCCATCGGATACCCCTTTGATTCTCGATCCAGATAAAATTGTATTCCGACGATCAATCACTCACCGACAGTTCATAGACGCTAGTGAAGACGCGGAAGCCGAGGACGTAATACTAGAGGAAGAAACGGTAGAAATACGAGTTGAAGAAGTGGAACAACAAGATGTGGAACCGAGACAGCAAGATGCAGAAAATCAAACGTATCTGCAAGGAATTCCTACGGTTGACATCCCCAAGGAATATAAAGACCAATCTGCGCAAACTATGTATATGGCCACACCGTGTCCTCCTTTGACATACTTCCAAGATATCATGAGTACGTATATAGAAGAAAACCTAGGTGATGAAAATGTTTTTACAAGTGTAAAGAGTGTTTGATATCAATATGTACATAAATTGTTTGTATAGGTACTTCTTCAATTTTGAATATTTGTCACTATTTTAATTTTTGTCAGAAGTTAAAAGAGTTTAGATACTTTGTAAATGTCTTCTTTATTTTCATATTATACTATTACATTTCTAGATTAATTATATTTCAAAACTAAGATGTAGAGATAATTTCATTTATTCTAAGTTACCCAGTTTTGTTCATAAAAGATTTTTTAGAATACAATTTTGAAAACTCCTATTACAGTGCGTTAATTGAAAAGATAACATGACTTTAATATGAGAAAATATGTAAAGTATTATGTAAGTATTTAAATATTATAAAATATTTTCTTGCGTGTTCAGCAAAAATGGCGGACGGAGCTCTACCAGAAATGAAGAAAACGATCACAACTGTAACCGTCACTACCTTCTCTCCTGAAACACCGCAAAATGTAGTAACAGAAGAGTTATCCACCATCGTCCCACAAGAAGAACTCGAAGAATTCGAGACTGAACTCAGCGCCGAAGAAGAAGCAGAGACCGAAATAAACGACGTTCTGAATTTTGTAATAACGCGCGCGTTTTGGATAACTGATCCACAGCAACCTCAACCAGAAATGTCCGATAAAGAAACGCAAACGTTCATCAGATACAATCACTTCACGCACACTGTTTTTGTGGATAATCAAACGCAGACAGATTTAACTTGCGAACCGAAGAAATCCAACACGATGCTTCTGGCCGAATACAAAGAAACGAAGAGTATGATTTTGAATTACTTGGAGGATCGTATCTCTAAAGGACTCGAGGTTATTACGATAACAGAGGATACTATCGATGAACTTATCGACAAGTGCGTTGAAGAGATTAAGTACCCCGCGAAAGAACAGGTTGTACAGACTATAGCAACGTATAAGTCGAACGAAGGGAAAGAAGATGTGATAAGGAAATTGAAAATGGGGGTAGTTGTGGATCCTTCGGAAGCGTCGATTATTGTTGAACCTTTGTTGGAGGATTTGGTGGAAACGGTTTGTGAGACTGTGTCGAAGAATGCTGTGGTGGAGGTTCAGAAAGTTTTGCGGCAGATACTTCAGCGTACGGATGCTGTCATTGCGAAGCTTATACAGATTAAGATGGAAGCGCAAAGTTAGTACTATTATGCTTTGTTAAAGGAATAATAGTTGTGGAGCTAAATTTCACATTTGGGAATTTAGGAATTTTTAAATTCCCAAATTTCCAAGTTTTTAAATTCCAAATCCCCCAAATTCCAAGCTCTCCAAATTCGAAATCCCCCAAATTCCAAGCTCTCCAAATTCCAAAACTCCCAATTTCTAAATCCCCCGAATTCCAAATCCCCCGAATTCCAAATTCCCCAAATTCCCAATCCCGCAAATTCCCAACCCCCCAAATTTTAAATCCCCCCAATTCCAAATCCCCCAAATTCCAAATTCCCCGAATTCCAAATCCCCCAAATTCCCAACCCCCCGAATTCCAAACCCCCCAAATTCCCAAAATCCCACCCCATCAAATGCCAAAACATAAATTCTCTAACCCACCCCTCATAATTTAGCAAACCGAATAGGTGAAGTACTAGAGAAAAGAAAGAAGAAAATCATGCTATCGATGTTGAAGAAAGAAACCGAGACGCTCGGTACACAAACGAGCGTAACAGGGATCTCGGAAGTGAAGAGAATCGAGGAACCCAAAGATATATTATGTTCCGTATGCAGAAGACAATCGATGTGTCAGTGGTGTGTAGCTGGTGAAGACACTGAAGATGGTCCGCGTGAAGAAGTTAAGATACTTCGTACTCAAGATATATTATTAGCGTATAAACCTTGTTACGTTATCAAGAAAGCTCCTCCAAAAGAAGAAAATCTACTACCTGTTTGTCCGGAAATTAAAGTCAAATTACCTCCAAGACCCCCGAGACGACTATTTAGATCGAAGGAGTCCTCGGATGTATCTGGAGACACGATCGATGTATTTCTTTGTGCTGACAAAACGCTTGAACCGCGAGGTAAAACATTTCTTCAAAAGAAGTTTAGGAAACTTTTAAAGATTACACATGCCGCCATCTTTGATTTTCTAATTATTTTCTAGAGTCCTTTAACGAATGGTCATATGTTACCGATGCAACCTTGATGAAACCGTGCTCGATAGAAGGTAAATGCTTATTCATCTTATGTTTATAAAACAGAAATCTGTTCATCACTCGTCAATTTATCGTTCAATGTTATTGCACGTTTACAGAATCTACGAGTAAAACGAGTCAAACATCTTCGTCGATAGACAAATCGATCTCAAAAGTATGTGAGAATACATCCGGACGCACTGTTTTAAGTTCGGGAGCGTTCAACGCTTTACAAATACTGAAGAATACGTTTTGTACTCAAGAAAGTTGCTTTGCTTCGCCTCGAACTTCGAAGCAAAATTATTCGTGCAAAGATGATGGAAGAGTACGAGAGAAATCGATATGTACCGTGTGTTCAAGTAGAAATGATATAGAAAATAAAATGTGTGGGTTGGAACCATTTTGTACGGAAGAAACTTGTGGAGCTTTTTCAAATTTGCATGTGCCTAAAACAAGTGTTTATGATGTAAAGGAGGCTTGTTCTGCTTGTTCTGTTCGCACGAAGTCTCATGGTGATGGATTTAAAATTATTCCAATATGTCTTTCTCAAGATTCTAATATGTAGATATTACAGAAACCGAAGTTCTTTCGTAATCTTTAATAATTGACAAATAAATGCAAATACATTTTTACGCGTTCTATATAAATATAACATCAACGACAACGTTCAGTATATCTTTTGACATTAATAAACGTATTTACATTTGAGTTTCTTGTAGTTCGCGACACATTCTGATGATATGAATAATATCGTAAAAATAATATTGTTACTATTTTTCGTTGGTTTAAAAAGTAACGCGTAACAGCTTTTCATTAATATCGGTAAGGTGTAGGCAACATTGGCGTAATTAGATGGGGACCAAAATTGAGAGATTCAACCCACTCCATATACAAATTCTAACTACGCCAATGGTAGGTAGTACTGAGCACAAATTACTTTTAATAGAATCTCACTGTTGGCAGTTGAACTTAAAGCATCACAAACAAAATGTCGATGTATAATTAAAATTTCGCAAACTCAAGAATTCTACTACCACGACTTAAATCAAATTTAAATAATTGTGCGTTGTACGAATTCAGTCGAATAAAGTTTTGTACTACGTTTTAGCTTCTACGTTTAAGCGTACGCATTTGTAAAATCGAATTATAAATTGAAACGTTATACACAAATATAAAAATTTTTATACTAAAAAAGACTATGGTATTTGGTAATAGTATCATACTCCGTTTGTATAGATTATAAAAGGCAAAATGTTCTTCCAAAAATATGCGTACGAATAATTAATGTCTCCAGTTGTTTTACTACAATACTGTGGAGTGATTAAACGAATTAGTTTCTTTGGTCAATGACGATGCAAATCGCGAAAGAATCTTATTAAAATACCGCATTATCGCTCTGCGAAAAAAAGAATCTTATTCGTAGTACCGTTGTTCGTGTGAGATCATAATTATTTATGATTATTATGATCATCATTATTATTATAAGCGCTATTAAAATTTACTGGTAAGTAAGATAGCGCGAAATTTCAGGTTAGAGACGTGCGTTTTCTCCCGGCTCGTCTTCTTCCTGTTCCACTTTTCGGTCAGTTAATTCAGTTATTTGTTTCTCTTCATCGGCAATAGCGTCTCCTTTGCTTTCATTTAGATTATTCCACGGTTGTATTTCCGTTGAACCGAACAACCAGAAGAATAATGTTGCAGATGTGAATACCACTGCTGAGATCCAGAACATAACACGCCATTCCTCTACCGTGTTCTGTGCGAAAAGAAGAAATATTAATTCAAAATTGTCAACTCAATTGTCAAAAAATTACTCCTTACCCTTTCATTGGTTAAAGCACCGATTATAGGTGGAATAATGAATCCAGGAAAGCTGCCGAAGGTGTTCATTATTCCATACAGAGAACCTGCATAGTTCGGTGCGAGATCTTGATGATTCTGTAGACTCGTTTGACAAGCAGCACCATTAAAGGTCAATGCTAATATTAACATCACCATTGCAGTTATGGCATCGCAGCCAGCATACGTCATTACTATTAAACAGACTGCCGGGCCCACGTGTGCTATTGAAAACGAAAAATTAGTATTACTGTCATATCAATGAAACGTTTTTTCCATTAAATTTTTCTTACAGAAGATCATAAATATTCTTCGCATCCATCCCAAAGTCAAGAATTTCTTCCTTCGTACATAGTCACCAGCCGCAGCGAACAGTACTCCAGCGCCGAGTCTGGCGATATAAGGTAAACCCGTAATCGGACCTCCCTGAAATATGATTGCATTATTTTACGACCCAACGAGAATATTGTAAAGAACGTGAGGATGAAACATTACCGATTTCATATCGAAACCGAGAACTTCTAAAGTGTATTTTGGCCCATTGGTAGCGATGAAGTAAATACCCCACATGTTTGCAAAGTGCGCCCATAGAAGAACTATAAATGGTACGGAAGTGGCCACAGCTTTCACAGGAAGTTGTACCTGCAATTTGATATAAATGTTCTTAATCTTAAAACTGATATAATTTATGTGTTTGGTGATACTTTTATGTGATCAAATCGTGATCCACATTTTATATGCACTGACAAATACTAGCCTTTTGTTTAGAGACGGTGGTACCTATTTGCTCTTTGATATAAGCCTTTTCTTTTTCTGTAATTCCTGGATGGGTATCAGGAGTGTCGTAAATAAGGAAAACCCATAACGCGTAGAAGATCAGTATCAGTCCACTAGTGACGTAATACGCAGCCTTCCAACCGAAAGCACTAATTATTTGTCCACATAAAGAGAAAGTTACTACTGTTCCAAAGGGACCACCTTAAAAACAATTATCCGTAATTAGAATTTGAGCTGGTGTAATGCAACCTTGTACGTAATATTGGCGTAATACCTTGCATCGTCCATACGAACATGCCCTTCTCGCTGGGAGGAACCCATCTAGCGATCATCGCGTGAAGAGCTGGATAAACGGCTCCCTAAATATATATTTTCTGATAAAACTTAAATTACATAGAAGTCTATATAAAATAAAAGATAAACTAAAATAAAACTCCTAGTTACTCCAATGCCTAATAATTAACTTACTCCAAAGAAGCCCATCAAGAAACGAAGAACAAACACAAAACCATAATGAAAGCCAGCAGCCCATGGCATCAAAAGATTCAACACGGCGGGTATCAGAGTTGCGAATCTATCAGAAAAAAGAAAAGTATTTAATATTTAATTGATACGTTTACACGTGTTGACGCTTATATAACACACTTACGCTACCACTTTAGAGCCTCCATATTTTTCAGCTAAAAGGCCAGCAGGTACACTGGCTGGTAGGACTCCATAAAAATAGCCGGACAGTAAAAGACCTTGTATATGTTGATTCCATTCGTATCGTTCACCGTACTGAAAAATGCACATGCGATAAAATTATAATGTGAGCAGATTCCTGGAACTGGAATATATTGCAACATTGCTATTATTTTCTTTAAGGAAGATAGCTCATGTCTACCGACTCGGTAGCCTAGGGCGATATTCACTAACGTGATTATACGCAAAGTTATGAGTTGAGAACCACGATGAGTATTTAATAATAATAAACAAATAGAAGTATGTGTATCTATAACTAATAAACGAATAGAAGTATGTGCATCACTTTTGTTTATTATTATTAAATACTGTTTTCTTTCATACAATGTGTACATATACATATTTGTAATATGTATATAGCTTACATCTTTGAGCACGGCAGCTTGTCGACTAACATTGCCGCCTTCGTAATTACAAGCCGCACCGACATTTCCGCCTTCTTTGGTTGTATTTACCATAGCAACTATAGTAATTGATAAATTTGTACGGATCATATACGAGAACATACAGGCTAAGAACATCATTGCTCCCAGGATTCCTCTTCGAGGTATCCTCTCTAAAACAAATATAAAACTTTACTCTCAGGATACGTTTAACATGTTTTCAAATTTACCGCCAAAAGAAACAGGACTTTTTATACTTTTACTAAAACTACAACTCGTACGCCGCATTTAGAGGTCACAGTAACCTTACACGTATTATGTTTGCATTTCTACTCTCCTCTGTGTGTATTGACAGTTATACACAAACATATCGAATGTGTGTTAAATTTAATATATCATTTGATACTGCTGTAGGTCAAAAGAAGCTGGTATCCGATTACCGGGTCATTTACTAAGGATACAGCATTCAAAGGTTAAATTTCATGATAAAAATTTTAACGAATGAGGAGGCAATCTATGTATAAAATTCTATTGAGATATATTTCCCCAAGCCGACACACCACAAATAACTTTTCAAGGTAGAATACCGTAAAGATGATCTTGTGTTCGCATTTACGTCACATTCTGGATTTGTAAACGATTAAATTCCCTAAATTCTAAAGTCAAAAATGTTTGAGTCAAACATTTTTTAAATTTCAAAATTGTAAAATTTATACAATTTTTAGAAATTAAGAAATTTCTAAACAAAGTACTTAACAAATTTTAGAGCGAATCGCAAAATTGGCGCGCAACAAGCGTCCGCTTTAACTTCATCGATCGTTCGCTACCGTACGAATTTAAAATACTTAGCATATAAGAATTCTTAAAATATATCTATCAAATATTGCGAGTCGGAGAAAAATAAAAATCTTCTGCGTATCTTGTTCGATGCTTATTATGTACCTCGTTCACTAAACGTTCACTAAAATAGCAATTATTGCATAACATATTTATGTTGATATACTTGTGTCAGACTTTATGAGCTAACAGAGAAGTTTAATGAATGAGCGTATAAGTGACGCAAAATTCTTCATAGAAGGAGTCCGCATTAAGTGCAAGCATAGTTCTCGTAATTAAGGAAAATCAGTTCACTTAATACTTTACTCGCGAAACAGTATAAAGTTCTTCGTACACAAAAATCATGGATACAGAATTGCAAATAAATACTTACCGTTAAGCTTCTTAAAGACAGCCATATCTTCTGCCACGGTTTGTAATCGATGAACAATACGCCAACTTATATCCTTCGAATCTTTCAAATAGACTTTGTCTTAAAAAATAATGACAGTTATTAATCGCTAATCGTTAACAGCATCCGACCGGGAGTATTTAAAAGAGGTTAGCCTGTGATTATATTTATTTAGGATTTAGTCAAACTCCGTGAAGCATTAGTTCAATTATATTACGTCATACTTTCGCAATTGTCCCCCGATACACTTATCGTGATACAATTTTACTCTATCTCCAATAAATGACGTCTTCGTGACTGAAGTCACGTGTTTCTGCAGAGATGCTGGAAAAGATACATTAATGCCACTATTTTCAAAATCTATATTTAATTTATCGTGAAATATGAATTTGTCAAACATTACGCAATATTATGTTTTATGTATGGTACGCAGAACGTTTTACGAGCCAGGGCCGCATAAGGAAACCGGGGATTTTGATTTCTATGACACCGCATTTGACCGTTCTTTACAAAAATAAAAGAAACCGCCGAATTATAAATAAAAATAAGATACGTATACTTTTATTTCCCATGAATTTAAAAACAGATATACATGTTAGGAATTTAATTAGCTGAAATAGACTTGATGGAGACCATGATATGCCTGGGGCCTTCAAAACAATAAATGCAGCCCTGTTACGCAGAATGCGTACAAATTTTTACGTCGCTAAATAATACGGTAATGGCCTAAAAATGTAGCTTTCGAGGCAATTTACGATATGCGGTTTCTACAAAGTAATTCATAATTTAGTTTATCACGTATACCGATAATACCCGTATCGCACAGTTGATTCACCAAATAATCAACATTTTTACGTTTTCACGTAATACTTATCGATGTGATGCATTTTTTTCGATTATTTGATCAGATTTAAACATTTATTTTGAAAGTGATTACAAGTATGAAGATGAAAATGATTCGTACAAATTTCTTAAAAGTTCCGCTAATTTAAAATTCAGATATCCAGATATGTAAATATCACTGGCATAAATTAGTATTATCTTCCTATGACTATGAATTATTCAATTAAAATCGAGCGTAAATTCATAGAGTCTTTGTATGTTTTATTAATGATTCGAACAAGTTATATTTCATAAACGAATTATTTATAAATGATGGAAAGCACAAATACGAAAAAAGAATAGAACTGAAATAACATAGAAAAAAAAAATCAATATTATAACAAGGATTGTCAATTATCTTCTGGATTAATTAATTTAATTTTACTGAAATATTTAGTGTGAATATGTTGATCGCATGCGTTGGTCAAACATTTTTTAAATTGCTAACATAACATTGCGAACGTTCCACAAATACAAATAATATTTGCATCATATGTTTCATTTTTTATATGATTCATTATCAGACTAACCTCTATCAAACGTTGTTTTCCTTGTATAAAATTGCAAATAAAACGACGTATCTGTAATTTATGACTCAGTATTTAAAAGAATCGATTCGTGTTATTGTGCTTGTAAACTTAGCGATCCTCTTCTGTCTAATTATACGTGCACGTTGTATATTTGAGATGATGAAACAAAAGTAAATTCCTATTTTACCCACTTCGTTAATTCACATGATAAAATATAATAACACTGCACGAGACACTAGTCGTATTGTACTCATGTTATGCACAAACGCGACTGAATTTCTGTCATTGTACGTCGCTAACTTTTTTTAGTTTCCAACTCACGCTTCGGTTTCCCCTACCTAAAATCACTTGTTGAATGTGTGTGTACGTATATGTATATACGTGTTAAATTGTGTGGTGTAACGAACTAGGATAAGTAAACCGCGTGTAACGTAGGCTTCCTTTGGCTACAGATGAACGTAGGGGAGAACCTCCCTCTACTTATATTTAAATAAAATTAAATATATAGACTTGAACATTTTTCAATTCCCAAATTTCTAAATTCTTAAATTCTCTAAATTTCAAATTTCTCGAATTCTCAAAGTTCGAAATCTCTAAATTTCCAAATCAAAAACTCTACAAATTTCCAAATTTTCAGGTTCCAGTATTCAAAAGTTCCGAAATTCCCAAATTTTTCAAGTTTCCAAATTTTCAAAATTTTAAATTCGAAAATTTCTAAACTTTATAATTCATAGTATTGAAATTTTGAAATTTAAAACTCGGAATGTTAACGATATATCAACTACAAACAGATGAATGGTGGATTCATCTTTCCCTATACCGCCATTTTCCCTAGTGAGATTCAATGTGTCGCCAGATGCTTACACATGTTGAATATTATTTCTTCAAATATGTGCTTTTCGACATTTGTTGAGGATTTCATTCTTTGTTTGTTGAACTAATATAAAGTTAGCTCATAAGGCATGGTGCCTTCGATGTGACAGATTAATCAAGTGACATGAATTTAATTAAACGCATAACCTTTTAGGAAAAGGAATTCAATAATTTAAAAAATAAGATGTTACACATATTACAATTTTATGTTAAAATATTTATTTAAATATTTAATTTTACAATTAGAATCTAACTGTAATACGTAAAATATGAAGTAATTGGAAGACTTTATTATATTTATTGAGAGTTTGTTTTTGTGAACAGCCAAAATATTGTAAATATACTTATTGAATTACATTTTATTATTCGTAACAAGCAGCTCCAATTTCGATGTAGAAACTTTGACGAGATTTTCCAATGTCTTGTAAAGCTATATCTATTATAGGCAACCTTACAGGTTTATCGGTTTCGTATAAGATTACTGTTTTGCCTGATTCTACCTTATGTGACTGCAAAAAATGATAAAACATTAGTTTTGTTAATATTGCATTAAGATCTTTAGTCTTTTTTTACATACCTTACATTCATCTACCATAACTTTATATCTGAGACGTTGATTTCCATACTGAGTTAATTCAACATCGTTCCACGTTAAAAGTTTCATGCTTTTCCTGTGTAGTTCTTTGTCTGAATCTAAATATGCTATGGTATTTTTACAGTAGTATGTTATATTTTGATATGCATGTTTTGATAGTAATTGTAAGAAGCCAATTTGATTACTATCTGCTTTATATGTAATCTACATGACATAAAAATTATCTTTAGTCATTTATTTTATGCTGATAATATAAACAGAATAATGGATATTACCTTCATTCCATTCTTTATCTCACTTAACCAACTTTCTGGTTGTTCAATAGCATGCCTAATTTCTGGTGAATGTGTGGGACTTGGTAACAAACAAGTTGCACGTTTTTTAGCATCACAGTGTACTAAAATTGCATCTCTTGTATCACCTTCATTTGGATCAATCCAGTATTCTCCTAAAATAATAGTATTTCCATAAAATGAATATTATTCTTCCAGCAATTTATACAAAGTAATACTTATAGTAATATTATAGTTAATATTAAATTTTTTTGCAAACTAACCAGAAGGTTTATTTGGATAGGCAACATAAAGGTCTCTGCAAGTTTTAGCTGGTGAATTCTTTTCTCCATTTGGTTTTATAAATTTCTGGAACGATGTCTTCAAGTGCTTATATGCTTTGAGAATAAGTTTTTGTTTTTCTTCTTCTGTCATATCTTGACTAAACATTCTAGGTGGTTCATCTCCAATCAGGGGATCTGGCCCTTTAGTTTGTCCTTGTCCTATTGAACATTAATTTCAAAGCATTTAACAATAGAAATATTACTCATAAATGTAATGAAAAATTAATTACCTAACAGAGCAGCTAAAGAAGCTGCATCATATCCTAATCCAAGTTCACCAGGTGGTCCTGGAGGCCCTGGAGGACCAGGTGGACCTGGTGGTCCATGGCGACCTTCATCTCCAGGAGGACCTTTTGGTCCTGGGTTGCCAATTAAACCTATTGGGCCAGGACTGCCATCTCGCCCAGGACTGCCTCTAGGTCCAGGATCTCCATCCTTACCAGGTGGTCCAGGAAATCCTATCATGCCTTTCTCCCCTGGTAAACCAGCAGGTCCAGGTAGACCTTGTAAACCGGTAAATCCTCGGTGACCTTTAGCCCCTTTCATTCCTTCCTCTCCGCGATCACCTTTGGCACCTTCTATCCCTATAGGTCCTGGCTTCCCTCTAGGTCCCTAAGTAAAAGTTACATAAATTCATATCGTTGTTTATCAGATTGTAACGTGATAAAATGTACGTGAACTATAAAACTAACTTGTTGGCCTTCCACACCTTGTGGTCCCGTTTCCCCTTTTGGACCTCTTTCTCCAGTTGGTCCTGGAGGTCCTGCCTGACCCGGTGGTCCCTAATCACAAAAGTGTATGTGTTTATGATTACTATATCACTATTATTTTCCATTACTGTATATTTCCATGTCTTACGGTTGGACCAGGTGGACCATGTAATCCTGTTTGCCCAATTGGCCCAGGTGGTCCTTTATCTCCTGGACGTCCAGATATTCCAGGAGGTCCTGGTTTACCGGTGGGTCCTTCTGCCCCAACTTCTCCAGGAGGTCCAGGAGGCCCAATCGGTCCAATCAGCCCGGGACTTCCAGGTGGACCTTCTGGACCTGGTTTTCCAGGTGTTCCAGATTCACCCTGTCGTATCATACTTGTTAAGTTAGACATAACGCAACACGCACTTAAGTTGTACTTACAGGAGCTCCTCGCATTCCTCTAGCACCTACAGGTCCAGGAGAGCCTGGTAATCCAGGTAAACCTCTTTCACCAGGAGCACCCTGGGAACCTTGAGGCCCGGGTGGACCTGATGGTCCTGGAGAACCACTTTCGCCTTTGTTTCCGTCTGCACCGGGTAGACCTGGATTTCCAGGCGGTCCAGGATTTCCAGGTCGTCCTGCTTCTCCAGTAGTACCCTTAATTCCCGGTAATCCGGATATTCCTGGTGGTCCTCCTGGACCTGGTAAACCCTATTAACATTACCAGTTTTAAAGTTACTTAATTAATATTTTTACACAGTGCAGAAAGGAGTATAAATTTGAACCAAAAACATACTGGTGGTCCTACTAAGCCCGGTGATCCAGGAGGTCCCATTATACCCGGTTCTCCTCTAGCACCTGGTTCACCCCTTACTCCTTTAGCTCCTGTTAGTCCAGTCAGACCTTGTGGCCCAGTTTCACCAGGACTACCTACGTATAAAATCTATGTTTGATATAGCACCCTAATTGATTTCTTTTGTTTGTATGTGTTTTTTAAGTACACATATTTCTTATATTTTTAATAACATATTTAATAGTACCAGGTGGTCCAGGATTTCCTTGATCTCCCTTTAAACCCGGATAACCACGATCGCCTTTTAATCCTGGCAATCCGATGAGCCCTTGTGGACCTGAGAAGCCTTGTAGTCCTTGTAGTCCTTGAGGTCCTCGCTCGCCAGGACTACCGGGAGCTCCAACTTCTCCTGGAGGCCCAGGCAACCCGGGATCTCCTCGTTCAGCTGGTTCACCAGGTGGTCCAGGTGGACCGATCTGACCTTGGGGTCCTCGTTCTCCGATGCGTCCTGGAGACCCTTCAGGACCAGGTGGACCAACAGACCCTCTGTCTCCTTTCGGTCCTGGTTCACCTGGAAAACCTCGTGAACCTGGTAATCCTACCAACCCAGATGGACCTGGGATTCCTTTGTCTCCTTTCGGCCCGGGTGGTCCCTAGTATATTTTCATAAAAATAATAGATGTCGATTAATAGAAAGCGGATGAAGAAACAAATACTAAGAAGCAGTAACTTACAGGAAAACCATCTGCTCCTTGTGAACCTGCTTCTCCTTTTGGTCCTATTAATCCTGGTGCTCCTGGGGTACCTCTTTCACCAGGAAATCCTCGCTCACCTCTATTACCAGGTACACCTGGTGGTCCAGATGGTCCTTGAATACCTGGCTCTCCATCTTTTCCTGGAGACCCTGGATTACCAGTTGCGCCTGGAAAACCCTAATTATAACAAATTATTTAACAAAATTGTGTCTTTTTAATTATTTACATAAGCAAATGCAATTTTACTGAAGTATAAAGAAACATACTTGGAAACCTCTAGGACCTGAAGGACCTGGAGGTCCCCGTTCACCATCAGCTCCTGATGGACCAGGTGGACCTTGCAAACCAGGTGGTCCTTCTTTTCCTGTGTCACCTCGTGGACCAGGTGGTCCTGGATTCCCCGGTTCTCCAGCTTTACCAGCTTCGCCCTTTCAATAAATATTCTCGGTAGTAATGTTTACCCATAATTGTGTAGCTATAAAGAGTAAATATTTTTAATACCGGATATCCTTTCTCTCCTGGAGGACCTATTGCACCGGGTAAACCTTGTGAGCCAGGCGGACCGTGTTCACCAGGTTTTCCATCAGCCCCTTGAATTCCTCGCTCCCCTGGATTACCCGGTTTCCCAGGAGCACCTGGACGACCCATTAAGCCTCGTGCACCCTATAACATTTCGTCGTATGAAACAATATAACTTTTAATTTATTAAGTAATTCAGTAGAGAATGCTAGAAACCTGAAGACCAGGTGGTCCTGACCGACCAGGATCTCCTGTTGCACCTTTTGGACCGGTTGGACCTATCGGGCCACGTTCTCCAGGTTGACCTAAAGAGTACATGGTTATTATTATACATTACATTATTATTAGAGTCCAAAGTTTCACTGATGGATGCAACAACGTTAATATGAACCTTTCGGTCCCATGGGCCCATCTGCTCCTGGAACACCTGGCGCTCCTGGTCCTCCGCGTTCTCCAGCAGGACCGGGTGCCCCAACTGCTCCACGCATTCCTCTTTTGCCTCGTTTCCCCTCATTTCCAGGAGGACCAGGTACTCCACGAGGTCCTGGACTACCCATGTCGCCTTTAGTTCCTGCGTCTCCTTTGAATCCTCTTTCGCCAGGGAAACCCTATAGGTTTCAATGATATATTCTTGAATGAAACTATCAATTAATTTCATTAAATAAGAATGTGAAGTAGATATTTACAGGTGCTCCCTTTGCTCCTGGGATACCAGGGTTGCCCGCTATTCCCGGTTGTCCACGAGCTCCTGGAAAGCCAGGTGGTCCAACCGAACCAGGCGCACCCGTGCTCCCTTTTTCTCCCGGTACTCCATCTCTTCCTGAAGGTCCCTGCGGCCCTGATTCACCGGGTTGTCCAGGGCGACCAGTTTCACCTAAAAAGCAATAAATGAAGTTGTTATTAGAACATAAGTGGATACGTAAAGTAACGTTAAGTGATCATACCTCGAGGTCCCTGTAAACCTTGACTTCCCTTCGGTCCTTGAGGTCCTTGATCACCTTTCGCGCCAGGATTTCCCGGGAAACCAGGAGGTCCCGGTTTACCTACCGCACCCTATAAAGAATATATCACCGATAGCATCCATCTATTATTTTTCATATTCCTGATCTACATTTTGAACTTACAGGTTGTCCAGAAGGTCCAGGAATCCCATCCACTCCTCTAATTCCTGGTGGTCCAGGTGGACCTTCTCTACCTCTTTCTCCACGCGGACCTGCAGGACCCTATCAACAAATATCCACAGTTCATTGCAAATTATGTGAAAAATTTTTAACGATACTTACTATAGGACCTATGGGTCCCATTGGTCCAGGCGCACCCATGGATCCTTTGTCCCCGGATACACCTTGTTCTCCTTTTGCTCCGTCCAGTCCTGGAAAACCACGATGTCCTTTCATGCCGGGAAGACCAGGCATTCCTGGAAGTCCTCTTGGGCCAACGGGACCAATTGATCCTGGGGGACCAGGTTCTCCATCTTCGCCGATATTTCCCTTCAAATTGAATAATTTGTTATGAACAATTAAGAATGATGGATTAATCATACTTGTAAAGACTGTTGAAAGTCACTTTGAATCCACTTGCAAACTTTAAGTTGAGAATTTAGGAGATTCAAACATGTCAACCTTGTAACATCCTCCTCTGACATCATGTAACGATAGATGATTGAATACGTACGTCTTTCCCGGGTAAACCAGGCAATCCTCGCGGTCCAGGTGCCCCTGGAGGACCTGGGGATCCCGGCTCTCCCGATTCTCCTCGCACTCCTTGAAACCCCTGTGGCCCAGGTGGACCGGGTGGACCTATTGTTCAAAATTTGCAAGGTTACAAATGTTACATACAATTGCAGTCTCTACATAAGAACAGAAGAATCACCTGGTGAACCACGTGGACCAGCGGGACCCACTTGAGTTTGTAAATAAGCATCTGGACCGTATAATGGCGCTGCTAGCCCTGTTGGTCCTTTATCCTGATTTGCTTGAGATAAACCCAATTGTTGGTAGTACAGTGATACCTATGAATATCAGTATATTCTTATTAAATAATAAACGTGGATATAAACAAATACTCACGTCTGGTACGGGTCCTGGTGGTCCTGGAGGTCCTGGAATACCTGGAGTACCTGGCTGCCCTGGGAATCCAGCGTCACCTGGACGACCTATATCCCCTGGACGCCCTGGTTCACCCTAAGTTGCATTGAGTTAAACAGAATTTAAAACTTGTTAATATATTCTTCATTGTTACTCCACGTTGGATGAAGTAGAGATGGAGACCGTATTATTACGTGATTAGTGTATGTACAATGTATTGATCATCTTTACGAATATGAATTAGATTATAATAATTATTTTCATTGAAATATTTACCCTTGGCCCAGGTACAGCGACCGCGTTTATCAGATTACTTTCATCGGGTACAATTTCTGTTTGCGGCTAATGATAAATATTTTCGTTTATTAATCTATTTGCGAAATTTGGAATTTTTGGATGCTTACCGGGTGGTCGCGATCGGGGGTGGTATACGATTCGTTTGGTAATTCTGTAAGGAAATAGGACCACGTTATTAAAATTAATAATTTAAATTACCTGTATTAAACGGAGGTAGAAATATACGTCTCGATGTAACAAATACATATTCTGCTTTTATAATAAAAATTAATAACTCATGGTACCTTGATTGAAATATCGGGTAGGCGTTGGGGTTGGTAGATCCGTAGACAACGACGCCCTGTAAAGACTTTGCAGTCCTTCCGCAGGTAATCCACCCCTATCTTAATAATTTACAAAACAAATATTTTATTTCTGCCTCTATTATGTTCCATTTAAGAAAAAGTAAACTTACTCGCAATATTGGATTCATAAGAAGTGATAGGTGACGGTGTGGTCGTGGTTCCAGTTTCTGAACACAAAACCATTATTTAAACAATAATGTGTCTGCACAAAATGTAATATTTCATAAACTATGAGTAACAATTAGTTTATCAATCGTTGAATTTATTCGTATAAACGTCGATAAAATTATTACAACCGGAAAATAGCCTGCAAGCATTCTTGAAGCGCGTAACGCTTAATGGGCTATAATAAAAACTTTAATTGTTCCTTTCTATCAATTAACACAATTGATTGATTACATTAAGCAAAGCGCTAAAAGCAGCATCCGATTCTGCTCTTCCGGTGTTAATTACGTAATCGAGTAATGCATGCACTTCCTTTATGGAGATCTCTACTATCAATATTTAAGGGCTCTTTATGTTTGATGATACTAAAACATTTATAATATTGTGCTGACAATATTAATTGTTATAACTGTTGTATTATGTAATGTTACATTATATAACAGATGTAATATATTATTTTAATTGTTACATATTATACATTGTTATGTATAGAATACTGAATTAAAATATAAATTGTAAAATTTAGGATAGCCATGATTTCGTGCATCTTGTAAGTTGGCAGCTGGAAACAATTCAGATCCTACCGGTTGACATGCCAACTTATCAGACACACGTGAACTTTTCAAATTTTCCAATCTTCAAGTTTCCAAGGACTAAAGTCTACATTCTCAAATTTCTAAATTCCTAAATTGTCAAATTTAATAATCCTAATTTGAAAATTGTAATATTTGCAAATTAGCAAATTTGTTTAATCCAATGTTCACAATTCCTGTTCTTGCCTCAGACTATTGCTAATTTTCTCCAGGGCAATCATTTTTTATCGTACAATTTAGAACATTCTTAATCTCAAATCCTACTAATTAGTTACTTTCACATTTTCATCTAAAAACTGCATATAAATGCATGCAAATAAAAATGCTTGAACACTTCATAGTCTTTTTATTTATCGCAATTGAATTACATTAAAAAAATTGTGAAGGAAATACTCACCGTTTCTGTCCTCATAGTCATCGTAACTCTCGTAATAATCGTAATTGTAGTCGCCGTTCGCGGGTTCCTGAGCTTGCAGAGACTTCGAGCGCTGTTTCCTCAATTTCGCGCGTACGGAATCCACCCGCAGCAAAAGAAACTGAAACACGACGAACGCCGTGGCCAGTCGTAGGGCCTTCGGCCCCATGAAACGGCTGAACGATGGCGAACAACTAGCAAAGTGATCCTAGAGCCAACCCGTCTTCATCTGAAGCTGAGGGCAACTAGACTTATGACAACTAGCGTATCATTTATTTAGCAGATGCTTTGTAACTTAGGGGAGGTCATCATCCTCCGTTTTACGATGCACACGCAGTCCTCCCACTGCTTTCCTTCAACCTCATCCCTTCCCTATGATCCCTTCTTTTCCATATTAATTTTCTTTTACTCCATTTCCTTCTGATTCCTTGTTATTAACTTTACCCTCTCCCTTCTCTGTTTCTACACCCGTTGGTATATAACCATGAATTTTGTGATCTGGATGCAACAACGGTTTAAGCAACTGTTTTTGTACTTCTCTATTAATTTCTTAATTGCCAGACTGTGATATATGACAAATTTTTAAAAGTACAGAAAGATATTTCTGTGTATACAAATATGTAAGAAATATATTTTTAAATTTACAAATATGTGATACATCTTTGAATGTATAAATATACAAATATGTAAAGAAATATATTTCTGAACATACAAATATCTTAGAAATATATTTCTGACATATATAAATATTTATGATATATTTTTGAATATACAATTTAAATGTGTATGGTACTGAATAAACGGATAGAACAGATGATCGATATCAATAGAACAGAAACGTTATTCCAATGATAGAACCTACGTAATACTTTATTCCAATGAAAATGTCCCCGTTTAATGGAGTAGTTGGAACTACGAAAGGAGATTAATAACGCCTATCTGATATTCAGCGTTTGTGCCTAGAATATTGCGAAAGCGTAAACTAGAACATAAATTAAATACTCTGCATCGCATGTTGTCGTGATATGCGTTCTCGAGCACATGTTCGATGTCCTAATACGCACGTACGATATACACGTTAGATCAGTGATGGGCAGATCAAGTACCCCGTGAAGACATCGGCGTACATGATGCATACATTGCAAAAATTTCGCATTTTATATTTACAAATTTAAATATACAATTTTGCAAATTAAGAAATATCAAATTTTTAAATATTACAATTTTGTAATACAGGAGTATGTTATTTTAAAATATTAAATTTTCGAATTAAGAAACTGAGTACGTCTACTATCGACTTTTTTGCCCATCACTAGACCATCTGTAATATGCATTTCGTACAAATCATTCATACAGTTGATCCTCGCAAATCCTTGCTTTGATTGTTATCATTTTGAGTTGCTACTTGTTCGTCGATACAAATATGCGTCATTTCCACTTAATCGGTTTATTAGACGACGATCATTATTTTGGCCGCATTCCCGGAGCGCGACTTACTTTACAAAGCGTTAACCGTAATAGACTACATTGACCCAAGTTTTAACATCGTTACGAGTGACTATAAATTAGAGTTGCCACTATTTCTAATAGTACAACAACTAGGCCAATACAATGTCGGTATATTTTTTATCTTTATCATGATCTGCAGTATCATCTTAAAGCATTTGTTCATGGTTATTTGCTATACTTGTTTGACTTAAAAAAAATAATGGAAGACAAAATAAATCTATAACACCTTTAAAATCCTAGATTTTTATATTTCTATACTAAATCTCTATATCCCTAAGTCCCTACGTCTTCAGACTTTTAGATCCCTATATCCCTCTATTTTTAGTGAATGCAAAAGGGGGAAACATGGAAGTCGGCGCATAAGTAACGATGATTTAAAGAAGAATAGTTTTTCATTATATTTTGTCCTCATACTTTAAATAAATATTTTAGATTTATACAATGTATGAATACATTATATTTCAGTTATAAACCATTAGATTGCACATCTTTCTTTCAAACGGATATGCCGATAAAAATAAATAAAAACAATAAACATATCATGAATTATTAAATTAAAACAAGTTGACCACTGTATACCATTTTTTTCCAGTTTTTCTTAGATTTGTACAACGAATATAAACCTTTAAACGCGTTAGTTACAAAGAACTTGTTTTATTATTCCTTATCACATTGCCTGTGTTAACTTTTTTCTTGTATACTTTGAAAGTTGCTCCTAAACAAAGATGATCACTACCGACCGCAAAGTTAGGTATCGTAGGTAATGTGGAGCATTCTGCGACTGTCGGTAAAGTGTATTTCTCGATAAGTTTTAAATCGCTATAAAAAATATAATCAACCGTGATCCATGCATCTTGATTCGTTGTTGCTTCTCGCTTTCCATTCTTCTTTTGGTGCTTGTACACGCTATGGAAATGGAACGGATGCGTTAAAGTACCAGAGCAGAACTTCGCCTGACAATCGCGAGCAATTTCTATCGTTTGAAGATCAGTTGTGTCTGTATTCACCTCGCGATAACTGGACGAAGCGTTTGAAGGATTTTCTTCTGAACCGGAATTTTCGCTATTTTCTAACTACAAAAAATAAAGAGGAATTGGTTATAATAAACTTATGAATTTAAAGAAATGATATCTTGGAAAAATAAATTTATCCGTTATCAGAGAATCATACCATCACTCTATACGGTCCGTCGCCACGCAACCGATGCCTTAAAATGTTAAAGTGTTGACAATTATCGGTAATATAAAGACGAGGGGGAATTAACGAATTCGAAAGAGTTCTATATTCTGTTTGCTCAAGATTTCTTCCTTTTCCCCGATACTCGAACGATCCCCTCATGATGAATTTGTGTACTCCAGAATTCGGTTCTAAATTGAAGTCACCCGTCAAAATAACTGGAAGATATTTGCTTCCTGCCCTGTTTAATGTTTGGAAAACATATTAGACATTATTTCAAACGGGACATTACGATAATTTTTAAAAGTGAAATTTACTTACGGCGTGTTTTCCAAAAAAGCGATTCTTTCAATTTCTGCTAGAAGTAGTTGCGTCTGTCCTAATCGAACGTCGTTTCTTTTTGGATTATAAAGTAAATGAGTTGTAGCAATTACTAATTGTGTTTGAGGACTTTCTTTAACTGCTAATTTTGCAACGATCCCCACGTTATCTCTACTTAAGAGTTCTATGCCCGACTGATAAAGTTCAACCTTTACGTGTTCCATTAAAATAAACTGATCGGCACGATACATGAAGAGTAAACCATCTCTTTTATCATTTGTTCGTTTTTTATATAAATAAGCATAACCCAATTCTTTGAACGGAACTAAAAATTCTTCCAGATGATCTTGTTGCATCTCTTGAAGACAAATTATCTGAAAAATTCCATAAACCTTCTAAATAATTTTATTTGAAATTAAAAGAACATGGAAATTGAACACTCAATTTTTTATCATTTCGCGAAAACGAAACCGCAGATTGCAAACGATATGAGGCTATACATCTATTTTTATATAAACTAGTTTAAGATTACATTTAAAAAACGTATCAACAATGAAAATGAATAGAAAATAAACAAACATTAGCTTGTGTTCCTAAAATCTCTTGCAAGAGAAGCTGCCTCCTAATATTCCAAGATAGTGCCCGTTTGTCATGTTCCTTGTATAGAAATGGATAAGTTTCCAGCAGATACTGTGCCAATATGTTGAAGGATAGTACTCTCAGGACAAAATATTCTTCAGAATTAGAGGTCAGCTTCTCTGTAAAAATTGCACAATGAATATCAATTCTTTCATAATACAAATCCTATGTTTACCTTTCAATACTTGTTTCCAGCGCCTCATTGCTTCATATCTTTGTTTATCTTCCACATATTTGTCTTTCAAAAGCATTGTTGTATCAATACACGTATTTGTCTCAACGTTACTTTCGCAATCTAGATTTTCTACTTGAAATGAGAATGGAATTTCGTGATTGTTACTAGAATTATAATATGTTTCTACAAATGGTTCCAATGGTGCTTGACCAAATGGCTGCTTTGCTGCAGAATTTGCCATTGTTCCCATAAAATTACAACACAACGTCAGTGCCTTAGGTCCTGATATGCTTTTGCAAAAGTTTCTTGAAAATACTTGATTTCTTGCTAATCCATACATATGAGAAGTTGAAAATGGAGCTTCATAGTAGCAATGCTATAAATATGACAAAGTTATTTATACAAAATATAATTTTTTTAAATATTTGTACATGAATATCAACGCACATTAAATTTTTATTTGACATTTAAATTTGATTACAAACAAAGAAAACTTAAAAATTTAAACAGACTCGAAACCACATCTCAGCAAAATAAGTTACATAAGTTGTATTCAATCATAAACAGGTATATTATACATTAATTTCAGGTACTTTTCATAAGATAATGTCTAATATCTCTAAACTGTATCTTTAGTATTTGCATTTAGGATACCATCATCATTAATATAATAAAAGAATAGTGGAATAGCTATAAAATTAATGTTTATTTATTTCTTTTGTAGTTTGTTTACAACAGTAGATGATGCAATATTCTCTTCCAAAAATTACTATAATACTTATTTGTTAAAAGACAGTTGAGAAATTATATCAACATGAATTTATAAGTATAAAGTCATACGCACGTATAAATGCAAGAAACGCGTAAACACTCAAAATGATGTAAAACGTAAGAACGGAAATGTATATAACGGTGTATTTATTTTAGCGATAAACATGAGATGTTAATATTTGTATAATAAATTTTTATGTTATAGTTTTTTTATGAATAATTTTGCGACATAAAAAGTAACCAAATAAAAATTACTGATTCGTTGATATGCAGTGTGAAATTGCATAAAAAAAATAAAAAACGAATAATTAATATTACCTTATACTTGTAACGTAAAAATTTGAAGATGTCAAAACTTCTACTGTAAATTTTCCGCAGCAACTTGCTACCAGTATTCATTTATTTATGAAGTAGTGGGGATATTAATACACGAGTATACTGAAGTGCATAGGTTAGGTTATGTCATCCGTTGTCATAAAAGATGGATACTTTTCACATAGTCAGATGTAGATAATGTCGTCACAATGCAGAATAGGCAATTGATACAGTAATCCGTTTTCAAATTCCATAATTATTCGATTCTATTCAATGCTTATATTTTCAGAAAATCTCTTACCAAATAAAAGGAGAATGATTTTTTAAATAACACATTCCATTAATAATACAATAATTTAAGATTTTATTACAATTAGGTATTTATGGATTGATAGATCATAAAAGATTTGTAATAAATGTGTAATATCTTGCATTACAATTCAATTTTTTGTACGTAGTAGATGAATTTGACTCGAAATTTTCTATATACCAAAAATTTTGACAAATATATTCTAAAAAATATGCATATTACAAACAAACATGGTTTTATGTTAATATGGAAAAGTCATAGGTGAGATACATTTTTTATAAGGTTAATAAAGACGATGAAAATTAAAAACTTTATATTCTTATTAAAAAGTCATAGGATTAAATTTACTATTCAACTTTTAAATAAATTTGAATGACAGCATTTTCGATTACAAAATTGACGGATATTTTTAATTTACCGCCGCTCGATAACAGAGCATACTAAACTTGAAGCGATGTGAACATACCCAACTAAACGATGTGAAGTGTCTTTAACAGAAATAAGTTCGACTAATGTGTGTTTGGGAACAACGTTTTTGAACCTAAAAAATTCTATTGAATTCTTTTACGTTGTATATTGTACTAAAGACGTTTGCACGTATTTTTTCAATTTACATTGAGATTTGGTTTTTATAGTAATTCTAAACGTTTGAATTCTTCATCGAGTTTGTTCATTTCCAGTAATTTCTGATCCTTCATGATGAAGCTTTTATTGTTCCTTTGCTTCACTGCAGTCCACGTTTTAGGTATGAATTTTTCAATATTTATATATAATTTATAATTTTTCAATATAGCTTACGATTTTTTATGTAGTGTTGTAGTATTTTTTGCATTTATTTCTTGTTTCAAATTACACAAAAAATTATTTAAATATATATAGTTCTATACATTCTAAAGTAATTTTAAACATAAATAATAAATAATTTAAGGTATTTGATAGCTTTCTTAAAAAAACTTATTAAAAAAATGAATCTCCTAAATAACAGTAAAGAACAAGTATAGACATTCGTACGATCAGAAGTTTCAAGAATAAAAGCTTATTTTTGGGACAAAAATCTATAAAATTTTTAGAAAATACGAAAAATTGTATTACAATCAACAGTTTTGTATTTGAAAATTAATTTACGGGACTTGATCTCGTCAACATGGATGCGAAAGACAATCATAAAACATGGCCGATTTTAGTCTTCACTTTTAACCAAAAATTTTGCTTTTTTTTTATATGTATATATATTATCTGAGTTGATTTTAAAAGTTGCCATTATTGTTGGATATGGAATGGATGTATTATATTGAAATAATTAAATAACCTAATCTTTCTTATTATTTCAAAATAGGTGAAAATACAAAAGAGGTTTTAATTGACAACAGCAACAGTCCTAGTAGATTACTTGCGCTAAATGATACTGAAGTTCATCCTGAAGCAAAACCATCATCAAAGAAGACGATAGATCTTCTAGAATCTATATTACCTTCTTTAGATACGAATGAAAATAAAACAAAGGCAGATAAAACAAAGCCAGATAAAACAAAGTCAGATGAAACAAAGTCTACTACTGTCATCAATGTTTCAAGTTCTATGGCCACTGAATCTCATACAGAAGTTACAACACCAGATTTTACAACTGTTCCCAGTACCACAACAGATAGATTAACTGAGCAAACATTAACCACAACAGTTAATCCACCAACAATGGTCAATGTTGCAAATGTGGCAGCCTTATCTGCTGCTAAACCTGGCAAATGGATAGTTAATGGAACAGATAATAAAATTTGTATCGTGGTGCAAATGTCTGTGGAGTTTAATATCTCTTATGTGAATAACAATCATACGGTTGGTATAATAACATTTATATATGCTAAATAAAGATCAGGCATGATAAAATAAGAACGAACAGTAGTACCATGTATAATTATAAAATTCATGGAGAAATTTATGTATTATATCTGTTAAAAATGAATCAATTACACCTTAAAATTCTTAAATACTTTGCAGAGTTGTAACATTAAATTAAGATTAAAGCAATAATACAAGTAACTTTTCAGATTTCCTATAAAACATTTGACATGCCAGTGAGTAATGCAACCACAACAGGAAATGGAACTTGCGGTGCACTTGAACAAAATTTGACACTAGCATGGTCTTCCAAAAACCAAACTAATAATGGTAGCATGACAATGCACTTTTTGAGAAATGTAAATGAAAGTTATTATTCATTCCATCATTTGGAGGTTATGCTTCCAGCAGCGGATTTCCAAAATTCGTCTCTAAGTAAGAATTTCACATTTGTTTTGAAGTAATTTAAAAATAATGAAAATTAATTTCCATTTCATGTGATTATTAACAGATGAAACGATGATATTGGTGCATAATGCATCCCACATTACGGTTGGATTATCTAATTCCTACAGATGCTTGAAACAACAAATTCTCTATTTAAAACGCAATAATACTAATGAAACAGCTGGCTATTTAACAATAACAGATCTTCAGTTCCAAGCATTCAGAACAGACAATTCTACCACCTTTAGTGTTGGTAAGTTCTAGGGTATTTTCTTTAATCTGTAGCTTTTATTTTTTTTTCCTTCTCTGTGATGGAAGAATAATATTATGCAGAATAGCATTATAGAATACCAATAGAATTAATGTTTTATTTATCAATTAATTTACAGCTAAAGACTGTGCTTTTGACACACCGGATGCCGTTCCGATCGCTGTAGGTTGCGCACTAGCAGGATTAGTAATTATAGTATTATTTGCATATTTGGTTGGTCGCCGACGAAGTGAAGCCCGTGGTTATGTTAGTATGTAACTCCTACGTATATCATTCTTCAATTTTCGTTTTTTAAGTAAGTTGATATTATACTTTTGTGTATTCCGAATCAAAAATTATTTTTTTCTTTTTGTAAATCTGTAAAGTTATAGTTTAAGGGAACTTTTGATCAAACAATCTTTTCTCTTTTACGCAATAAATTTTAAACAAAAAACAAAAAAAAAATCGATTACATCTTTTTAAGAATTGCTTGTTTTCTGGTTTATTACTAGTAAGAAGGATTTCATAATTATACACTTTTAAATAGTATTTTATATTAATCTTTTGTGAAATTGTGAAAGGTTTATTAGACAATGTATCATTGTTTTACTTTGTGATATATGTTACAAGATTAATTTTCAGTAGAAAGCGTTATGTTAAATGTAAAATTTAACAAAATGTATTTCTAAAGAACAAAAATTATACGAAATAATATTCGAGAAACGAACGTACTGCAATAAAAAAATTAACTATGTAAAATTTATAATAAACGCAAATCATTTATGATACCTTCTTCTGATAGTAAATGTTAAAATTGAATTGCATAAAATATGATGAAATATATGTATAAAATGTACACGTTTTACTGTGATAATAATTTTAGAAAAATTCAGTTATGTGAATAAGCATCTGATTATTTATGTATAGTAATATTAATTTTTAAGAAATCAGTTTTTGTTATGATGGTACGTTCGTTGTTTGTCAGGAAATATGCTCCGTATATTCTTCATTTTTATTGATATTAATAATAACTATAATTCTAGTAAAAACCAGCGTATGCATTATATAATAGTATAAAGATTTCTATGTTTGCAAATTACAAAACTTGGTTGCTAATAAATAAATTACTATATATATTTAAAAGATAGTCTGTTTATTATTCTTTCCATTTCTTATCATTTTGGAATTCAAAATCTGAATTTGGTATCAACATCACGAAAAAACAAAGAGAAAATCTTTTTGTTGATATGCATTCAAATACGTAAGAGCTTTTTATCTTGACCACTGCATGTGCACGGTCGTCGTTAGGACCGTTGTAAAGGCGCGTGCACATTGTTCACAACCACATGCGCAGAATGAACGAACACTTCATTCTGCCGCTATTGTTGCTTCGGAATTGAAAACATGAGTTATCGTGTTTACAAAGTTAATTCATACAAATTAATGTTGTATGAATTATTTTCGTAAATTCTATTAAACATTTTTTATTAATTGTGATTATTATAAACATTCGTAATAAATTGTACATATGAGAATTAGAAACGAATTTAGAACCAATACGTACATGCTTATATTGAAGTAGTGAATTGAAGGTTAGAGGTGAGAGCATTCCCATTGGATTGCACTACAAAATAAAGTACAAAAAGTTCAAAGAAATCATTCTTACAATATATCATGGCCCTTGCAAATATATCTGGAATTCCTGATAAACATTGGCAGCCACCATTTGTTGTATTTGAAACTACGTACGTATATAAAAAGAATTGTATTTAAAAGATATGTATCTGGTCTGCAGAGTCAGAATGTATTAATGTATATCCTTTATCTTCTAAAAGAAGACCTATTATAAGAAGATATTTTTACATTGTTAAGAAGAATATGAATTTAATATGAAAAATGTGTAAAATGACTTTTGTTAAAAGAAGTGGATTTAATACATTCTGCCTCTGAAGTTTAAATATATGTTGGTAAATAATTAATAATAAAAAGAAAGATTAAAATTTTATTAATAATATTTTATTAAAATTTCAGAATGGGAGAAATTGTCATTGAGCTATATTGGAAACATGTTCCAATTACATGCAGAAATTTTGCAGAACTTACACGACGTGGATATTACAATGGGACTAAGTTTCATAGAGTAATAAGAGATTTTATGATACAAGGTATTGCATTATTGTTGTAGTATATCATGTCCTTATAATTATATTTCTTATATTAATTGCACATGTGCCCATATATTATATATTTCTTTGTTTAATATTTATCATTGTTCATAGAAAAAATCGTTTTGACTATTTTATTTATAGATTACAAGATACTGTTTATGCAAGATATCAAAAGGTCTTATTGATTTAATATTTATTTTGCATTAAACATTATTATTGCTACTGCTCTAGGTGGGGATCCCACAGGAACAGGAAAAGGTGGTGTATCTATCTATGGGGAATGCTTTGATGATGAAATACATGATGATCTAAAGCATACAGGTTCATATTTTTCAGTGCTTGAGTATGCTAATATATTTAATAACTCTTCATTTTTTAAACTTAATATCTTAAATTTAGGTGCTGGAGTAGTATCTATGGCTAATTCTGGACCAGACACGAATGGATCACAGTTTTTCATTACATTAGCGCCCACGCAGTGGCTCGATGGAAAACATACAATTTTTGGTATGTGTAGTTTAGGATCTTATCATATGAAATAATGTTAATTAAAAGGATTTTTAATTTCGCCCTATATAAAGATATGTTTCTATCGTTTTCGAGGATCGCATAGATCGTACATCCAAAACAGATTTGTTTTTGTCATTTAAAACGAAAATAGCTTGTTACCAACATATTATTAATGCATTTCACCTTGGGAGTTTTACCGGTATAAACGAAATTTTCATTAGGGTTTTTTCGTTAACAGGTAGAATTCACTCCGGCATGGCAATAGTCAAAAGAATTGGTCTAGTCGAGACTGATAAGAATGATAGACCTGTGGATGATATAAAAATTGTTAAAGGATCCATAAGAAATGCGTAATAAATAAATAAATTTTTAATTACCGTTCTTATTATGCTGATATTGTATGATATGAATAATGATATGTTTAATTATTTCTTTTGACGCGATACGAACTTTCTAAACAAATTAACAAAAACTTATTAAATAATTTTTCAGTAAAAATTATTTTAAAAGTCTTCATTTAAAAATTATCCAAGTAATTTGGCAAACATGCTATTTTCTTCTTAATAATACTATAACAATGGAATTATCCAATTATGTCGATATATATATACAGTATAAAATATACAGATTCAGTATAAAATTAATTATTCGCTTATTAACTAAAAGTAATAATCCTTTTCAATAAGGAATACAATAGTTTCTTGAGCATTATTTATATTTCCATCATTGTTTTCTAAATATACGAATCTGTTACTTATTGTGTAACAAATGTTGAATTAGCTTCGGACGGTGTATTATCATTTTCTATTCTCGCAATACGTTCAACAAAACAAAATGTAATAGTACCAACAATGATACTTATCACTAATATAAGAAGTTGTATATAAAGACCGATGACATTACTGTAAGCAAAGCTCACTGCAGCTGCAAGTGATTGGCAAAATTTAAATAATGCAAATGCTGATGCATTGTTTTGTGCATAAAGTGTTCCTAATAACGAGTACACTTGCGTATTATAACAAGCATCTCCAAAGCCTAAAGCAAGACTTCCGGCCATGGCTAAAATCGGTGAAGGATTAATAAACCCTACGTCAGTAGTATCACCGAAGGGGCAGTCATTTGGCAGATTCAGAAAAATGGTAAGGAAGGCAAACAAATGTACACAAAATCCCGTAAGCACGACTGTCCATACGCCGCAAACACGAGATACCTTAGATGCAAAGATACCAAACAGAGCTCCGCCGATCACTTCGCCAATTCCGACGAAAATACCAGATAGACCAACTAAGCTGACACGCAAATCACCAATTGCTTCAGTAAATCCAATGCTCGGTGAGTAAACCCCAGAATAAAACGTTAACACGATTCCAGTATACACAAATGTAAAAGATAATAAAAGCATTTTAGGAGTAATGAAAAGTTTAAATGCGTCTGCCAATGCATTCCAAGCGGCTAACAATGGTTCCTCTCGTCTCGGTTCTGGTATTTGAAGTTCTCTATTTGCACCCTCAATTTCACCCAAAATAAGTCCTCGCGATGACTTTCTTAAGGTGGCAAGTAAGCATGTACCAACAATTGCTAACGCAGTAAGAACACTAAATACAATTTTTCTCGTTGAAGCGTTAATTTCAGATCCAATAAATAGAAAATAAACTAAGAGATTGCCGGTAAACATTGAAGTTTGAAATATGGCCCAAAATATTCCTGCATTTCTGGACATTGTTTCAGAGTCACTGTTCTCTGTTAAATACTGCCCATGTCCTGTCCATATCAAAGCAGCTCCAAGACCTAGGACTGCTGACGCGCAATAAAGTAGAATATATTGTGGCCAGAAGAAAATTGCTATGAAAAAGACATAGCTGAAAGCACCGGTAACTATAGCAGCTCTTGGCCCTGTCATGGAGATGTACGACGGCGCTAACCAGTTGCAAATGGCTAAGACTGCATAGATTATTGATAAGCTAGTATAGCCTTCACCAGTGAAATTTGGAGTTTCCTTCTTAATACTGTCCAGCACGGTTTTCTGTACAGAAAATAAACCTAATATGATACAACGCGTTAACGCACATTCTATTAAAACAAATAACAATTCTAAAATCTTATATATAAATTATGCCCTGGATTAAAAAAATCTTTGATACTGAATGAAGATAAGTATATATATGTATTAAAGTGGAAGTGATACATAAATCAATTTTATTGCATGATAAGATTATCTGAGAAAATAAGCTGGGTAATAATAAGTAAACTGTACCATTTAATTATTATTTATTTATCAAGATAAGGATATAGATGTTAATGGATATCTTATAATAAATCTAATACTGATAACCCGCTATTGCTTACACGTGCAGAATGTACAAAACATACTCAAAAATACGTTTGTTAATCTATTATAAACGCAGTTTTGCATATTAATAAATTAATTTTTATAAAACAAATATTATTAAAGTTAAAATTTTATACATAATAATCTACGTATATAATGAAATATAAAATTTGTATTTTTAAATCTTTTAAAATCTGTGTAAATAAATGTAAATGATGTATCGAAAAATTTTGAATTTAAATTCGGAAAATGAAGGAAGTAGGGACTTTATGTACCTATGTTCAGAGCGAACTGCAAGATTACTTGTTGCGCAGCCAGTCTGTACGTGCTACCCATTTTAAGCAAATAATATTCGTTTTCTTCACATTTTCAACTTTATTTCGGAGATCGAAAAATTAATACATTAATCATATGAAAAAGTGAATGAAAACTATATTATGAAATTTAAAAAGGTTCATTAGATAATTGCGCGGGTGTAATCATTTTTTTTATATAAATAACTTGCAAAAAGCTTAGACAAAAAATGACAGGTGTTGCGCGTGCAGGGTTAATCGTTAATCCTTTAAACTTTGCCATATGTGATTTATATAATCACGAAAATATTTTATGTACGTATCCGTAAAAGGTAGGAATGTTTTTCATATAAAATAGGTGTCATTATAAATTTACAAAAGCGACATATTGTTAAAGCTGTCATTGCGTTAATACCTAAATTTAAGACATAATACATACATACATGTATATCAAACTGCATGCGAAACAAATGAATATTAAAGAAAATCAAACAAATATTAATTAATTATATTAATTCTTGTACTCACCTCAATATTGCCCATTGTTTGAAATGCTGTAAACACCAGCATGAAACCCCAACTCAATGTTATTACGTTTAAAAAATTTCTATCTAACGTCATGATGAACAAGTTAAAATGTTTTAAATGAAAAACAAAAGAATAAAGAATGTCATTAATTATTTACACGTCAAGTTCTAATATTCATCACAGTACATGTAAAGCAACAAATTAAACGTGCATATGCCAATAGTATGTATGTGGGCTAATAACCACAGCAGTCGACGCCTATAGTTTAAAACAATCAGTATAACTTGAATGAAATGATTTGAAGTTGTTTCAAATATCAACGATATGACACGTTGCGATAGTAAATTTGTTATCGATACATCGACAGGATTTATACTAAATTCAAGTTGTGGCTGTATAAAGAGGATTTTATTTGTAACTTTGTTCCACACATAGGCAGAGAAATCAAGCATATAAAATGTTTAATTTAGTTTATTCATTTGTTTTCAACCGAAAGATGGCGTTTGAACGCATTACCACTCGTTTCGCCCTGAATATAGTCTAAAATGTTTTATAAAAAAAATGTATCAGCATTCTGAAGATATTTTATTCATTGCAAGTGCAATAAACATAGTTTAGGTAGCATAGTTTTAATTTGCTTAATATCGTTAACCAATACTAGTTTTATCTCGATATTATAAAAAATAATGTAATTATTTTGAATTTTCCGCTATTGAAACGATTTCTCGATATAAGTGAAATCATATTCGGAAACGAAAATGGCCGACTGCGGCCAGTAAAAAGTTGTGATTGTTCCGTTATCATATACTTCGACGCAAGCCTAACAATTACTTAATATAGAAAATTGCTATCTAATTGAAGTTATAAAAAAGAATGCGTCACGTAATAGCCTAAACTGAATTTCTTGCAGATGTTCGATAACCAATGGCTAATAACAACATAAAATCCCGTAATTATTATTTACGAAGTTTAGACACGTTTACAAACTTAAATATTGAGTCTGGAAACGTTCTTTAAGAGTGGAAACTCATTGACATTACAGAACAATATACTATTCACAACGTACTATCCGTTCTCAGCAGAGTGTGAGATCATTGTACAACCACTATGACGAATTGCTGCATTTGGAATAAAACGAAGAACTTTTTTTTCTATCGTTTGTATATTTTTAGTGCTGTATGATTATATTAAAAATGTATATTCATGAATATTATTAAATCAGTCAGTGACAAGTGATTATATGAACAGTTCATTAAATGAAAATATAATTTTATTTATATAATACAAGTTAAATGCTTATCAATCATGAAGAAACAATTCTTTAGAGTCAAACAGCTCGCTGATCAAACATTTTCTAGGTAATTATTTTGTACTTTGATTTAAATTTTTGCATAAGCTATTAGTATTCTTTTGTTAAAGTGAATGCTTTAAAAACAACAGTAATTTAAAAGGAAGTGATATATAAATAACACTCATAGAATATGTACCTATATGTCAAAAAATTAATTTCATATTTTAATATTTAATAATAATATTATAAAGAGTGCAATTATAATTTTTGTAGAGCTGGTAAGACAGAAGTTCTCACGGATGATTTACAAGCTGCGGACAAACATGTAGAACAAATTAGACTAGCTCTCATCGGTTTAAACAAAAGACTTGGTAATCTACCAAATCAAATTATAACACAAGACTCTGTGGTTAAAGAAAAACGATTGGTAATATCAGTAATCATACAACATTTTTAGCTGTCATGTATTTTCAATTTTTTAATATATATTTTCCAGAAAAAATGCCCAGAATATATATTAGGGCAAACAATGTTGGAAAACGCCCCTGAAGATGGCCTCATGAGTTTCACACTTTTGGAATGTGGCCGTGCACAGATGCATTTAGCTACTGAAACAATTGAACATGAAGCAAAAGTTGAACAATACGTTGCAACACCTCTTCAACATATTTTAGATACAGATGTACCAAATATATTAAAACATAAGAAAAATTTAGCTAGGTTAATCTTAGACATGGACAGCATGAGAACAAGATATCAACAAGCCAGCAAGCATAGTGCTGGTAATAAATATTTTCATTTTCACATTTTTAGCTTATGTACTCCAAGAATTAGATACAGGTTTCTTAAGTAGAGTTCCCTAAGTAGAATTCTTATTTTGAAGGCACGGGTGCAACGAAAATAGATAATCTAAGAGAAGAATTGGAAGAAGCTGAAGCTAAAGTTGAACAATGTAGAGATCAATTGGCTGCAGAAATGTTTCAGCTCATGTCACGAGAAACTGAATTAGCAAATACTATCATTCAGTATGTAAAACTTCAAAGAGCTTATCATGAAAGTGCACTGCATTGTCTTGAAGATCTTATTCCTGGGTTAGAAAGATACATTAGTAAGTATTTGACTATGAACATTTTAGTCATTTATTGTATTGGAAATTTCTGTTGAAAGTAATTTCACTTTATAATTACAGATGATAATCAAATGAAACCAGTTTATGGTTATCCACTTGAAGAACATCTCAGAGTAACTAACAGAAAAATAGCATTACCTATTCAATTATGTGTATCTGCATTATTGAGATTAGGTATGGAGGAAGAGGGTCTTTTTAGAATAGCTGGTGCTGCGTCAAAATCGCGACGTATTAAATTAAGTTTAGATGCCTGTTGCCTTACACTCCCAACTGCACTGGAGTATAAGGATCCACACGTAATCGCTGGTGCACTAAAATCATACTTACGAGAACTTCCTGAGCCTCTTTTAACTTACAAGTAAGTACAGAAACAATATTTTCTACTACCATATATTATTAATAACGTAAAGAAGAAATATAAATTTTTCCCAATATATTACTTCAAAGATTATATTCCGAATGGATGGCAGCTGCAAAAATAACACATAATGAAGCAAGATTAAGAGCTCTTTGGGATGTACTGCATAAATTACCACCAGCAAATTTAGAAAATTTAAGGTTCCTAATCAAATTTTTGGCTGTACTTACTAAAAATCAAGATGTAAACAAAATGTCGCCTCAAAATATTGCAATTGTTATTGCACCTAATTTAATTTGGAGTCCACAAGAGGATGTAAATACAATGGTGTAAGAATTTATTTTTTTAAACGATAATTAAAATAGAGGGAACTTACTGATACAAGCTAAATATGTTTGTTATTTATAATCTATATATCTATTATCCTAGTTATATTTATTATTTCAGGATGAATATGAGCACAGCTAATAATTCTAGTCTTATAGTTGATCAGTTGATTACATATGCAGATTGGTTTTTTCCTGGTGAAGTTGATTTCGACCGAGATTTAGAACTTGGAATTATAAATGGTTCAGAGAATCAAACTACAACTATGCGTCGTTGCATTTCTAACAGTAGTCTCAGTGATCATGGTGAAAGCCCTCCTCAAGGTAGTCCCAAGCCAGCAGTCCGTAGAAAAAATAAGCCAGCACCAACACCACCAAATAACACTACACCAGATAAACATGATAAAAAACCTGACGATAAACCACCGCCTACACCTGATAAGCCACCTAGACCTTTAACGTGTAAGCTTCAAAAACATGAAGTGGCTAGTACTGAATCGACGAACAAACATGAAACTAATACAGAAAAACAAGATGGGAGTACAGAAACAGAAAACAAGCAGCAGAGTACAGAAATAAATGTTGCTATCGATTCTCCATCATATACGTGTTTGACACATGTTAATGAGATACAAAATGAACCACATTCGCTGGACACAGAAACGGAAAATAATAGTCAAGAAATCGAAAAACATGAAAAAATTTTAAATGTTTCTGAAAAAACAGACAATGCACCATGTAACAAATCCATTGCGGAACTTGAGAATTCGGAAGCTTCTACGCATGGACTAAGAATAATCCCAGCAGAAAAACCACACCCTTCTACTTTGGAAAGAAGAAGACCGGTAGCCGCTCCAAGAAGTATAAACAATATAGTACATAATACAGGTAAATATTATTTATTAATGTATTTATTAATGTAGTGTGAACTATTTAATATTTTCTTATATTTTTTAAAAGAAACCGTAGAGTTGCGTAAAAAACCAGATATCAGTAATTCCATGTGTGTAAGTACACCGGAGAGAAGTAGCAAGCCAGCCATACCGGAACGACCGGTTGGATTAATCCGGCCTTCAAGTCTTATCAAGCAACAACCACGCCACAGTAACGAGAACTTAGATGCTGAGACAGGGGTGAGTATTAAAAGTTTCGAGGTGTTATATTTATTTTCAGTATTATATGTAAGATAATTCTTTAAAATAAATGTAGTTACTGCCAATGGATTCAACAAATATCTCTGCCTGGATATTGCATTTTGAAATACAATAACGTAAGCTATAAATGAAGTGAAAGATAAATCTGTTAACGATTTCTTGTGTTTTAAAATGTTAAAGATGTAGAGTAATTATTCAGAGATATTAATGTATTTTCCCCTTTTAATAACCTCTGTAGCCTTTAACTTTGGAAAGAGCTCATGTATATTCAGTGGACAAACAGCAGGTCAGTATAATACAAGTGCGTGGAAATGGCAATGCATTCTGCACCTCGGGGAACAACAATGGCAACGCGGCTTCGAACTTACAGAGAAGCCCCAGTGTAGGTAGTCGACCTTCGTCTATGTCCTTGTATGGTGAACGACCGGAGAAGCCTACGAAGTTGAATGCTCCAGAACAAACGAAAGCTCACGTGCGAACCAGATCAGAAGGAAACATTATCGATGTACAAACACAGACTGAGACGGTAGTAGTTCTTAAATCACCGCAACAACCAGTTCCGGCTTCCCCAAGATTTCATCAGAGGCCTCCACGGCCTCAACCTCCGCCACCGCCTCCACCCACAACACGAATTAAATCGGAGCAAGAAAGTACTAATCTTTAGGACTGATCGTACGATAAGTAATTATTACATTTATAAGAGAACTTTCAAAGAATCACTAATGTTTTTAATAATGACAGCTATATTTCTTACAAGACAATACGAAATTTAAGAAATTACTGTATAAAGTTTTTGATAGTGTAAGCATTTTTATTTTAATGTTAAACGACTGTTGTTTCAAGTTCAGTATCTTCGTTTTAACTGGTATATTAGACCAGCAAAATTTCGATTCATTTTTTGAAAATTTTTTAATAACTGAAATTTTTAATTAAGAATAAGTATAAAGTAACAAAGGAATTATTTTGCAATTTTAGCTTAAAAAATTCTGAATTTTTTAACTTTATACCATAAACAGCTGTTTTCATGTTAAAAGAACCTGAGCTGGATATATTCCTTTTTTCGATATCAAATTCTTCACAGTTCTTTAAATTACAATTTAGAAAACTTGATTGAATTAAAAATATGAAAACGCTGATATATTACATTACTTAGGAAAAAGTATAAGAACAACAAATCGAAGTTTTATTTATGTTAAATAATTGTCAGTATTCAACATAAATGTTCACTCTATAACCAAAAGTAGATCAAGCGATTCTATAGTATATTACTTACCATCCAAATAAATTTTAATTTGTCATTAAAGAAATTAACAATTTTAATACAATAAAGTTTTCAATTTTTTTTATAATTTTATATATTTAAATACTTACAGTCATTTCTTTTAATTTGATAAAAAAAATTTCGTATAACATTAGATGGTAAGTAGTATATTGAAAGTGAATTATTAAACACGCTGAAAATTATGTACAGAAAAATAATATCTGTGTTTTGGTTTTATAATGTACAGATACATAAATGGGCAGTTTTAATAAATTATATTACTTAAGGGAAATAATCGAATCGTCCTATATGTATAGATGCTTGTAACTGATTGCTTGATGATACAAATTTTTCCGCCTATGCATCTTAGTAAATGTAATTAATTATAAAACAAAAAAGACTTGTTATTACTGTAACATATTAATATGTATGTTTCCAAACATTAAGATCATGCCATTTAATAAATGGATACAACATTTTTGAAATAGTTTGTTGCATATGCAGCTATATTCTAAATATATTTTTATAACTAAAATGTTTATTAATCTATATAGTAAGACTTCTAATCCCTGAGGGATACATAATAAGGTATTTGAAAAGCACAACTTTTTTTCTTAGAGTTTAAAATATTGCAAATTGTTTGCATTATTTTTGTTTGTGTTTAACAAAATTTTAATTATACATTAAATAATACTTATATCATCAAGCATCTGAGTTAGTTATTTAAAAAGAATTAAAAAAAAGTTTCTTATGATTTCCTTTAATGTAGTATGGTTTACTTGAGTTATCTGAACATTTATACATTATTTCATACGTTTATTTTTTGAATAACTTATGTGCAATTGTTATTAGAAAGGAAGTGAAAAATTTTGTATGTTTTTACATTAATTTAAAATTATATTCGTAATAAAAATACACTGTTCTCTACGTATTGTTGTTAAAAACAAAAACATATTATTTATGTTTTGCAATAAGCATCGTATTGTTATGTAAGATTAAAAAAAGAATGACTTTTTGATAAATTGTGCATTTACCTAAGGAATGCTTAGGCTGTGAATGTAATGAAAACTGTTAGAGGATTTTCTTGTATATAAATAAAAATTTGTAAAGTAAAATTATTGTATAAAACATGATTTCCATAAGAAAACCATTATTTCAATTTATTAATTTTCATTAATAAATTTAACTAGTACAATAGAAATACAATAGTATAATATTAAACGATTACACATACTAATATTTGAATATGTCTTTCAACTGTTCGTCAGCGATGTCTTTGGGTGTCATACCGTTATTATCTTCTATAAGTTGGGCACCTATAGAAAGCAAATATTTTACAACATCAAGATGTCCACAAGAAGCTGCATAATGCAAAGGTGATTGCCCATCTTCATCTTGAGAATTTATATTTGCTCCTTTCTTAATTAATTGTTCTATAATTCCCAGATGCCCCCTATCTGCCGCCCAATGTATTGGTAATAAACCTTCTGTATCCATCGAATTTACAAGTCTTGGTTCCTTATCTAATAGTTCTTGTACTTTTCCTTCATGCCCTTCTTTTACCCAATCCAAAAACGTTTTATCTATATCATTAATTTCTTCTTCTGTATTTATTAAACAGCTAACAGCAACCCAACTATTTGATTCAGATTTTATATTCTCTTCCCAATTAGGATCTAACTTAGTTAATTCTTGAATATAACTATTCATAGCAGTATCATGACTCATATCATTAAGGTTCTTCCATGCTTCCCATTTTTGTCTAGCTTCTATTTGATACCAATTAGGTTTTGAAGTATCACAAGGTCCAATTGTTGCTTGTTTATATAATGCATAAAATTTTAAAAGTTCTGTTGAATTTAATTCTGATGCTAATGATTGTAAATGATGAGCTGCTTTATCAAATATGTCCTCAAGATTCATTTTAATGTTTTCTACTACATTTAATGTATTTTATTTATCAAATATTTCTGATTATTAGATTATATCTTTATGTATATTTTTTAATTATCTTTGTGTTCCTCAATATGTGGCATTAGAATGTTATCAGCAAAATCTTGCATATTACAATTCCATTCAATATATAATTTCCTCTCATCTAGTATATGTACAGTAGAAAGTGCAGCCTTCATAGCGTTTCTATCATAGAATTCTACGATTCCCTTGCCTGTGTTTACTCCTAGCTTGCTAAATTTTACTCTTGCTAATTTCACATCACCAAATGTTGCAAAGTATTTTTCAAGATCACTATGAGAAATAGTCCAAGAAATATTACGCACAAAAAGAATATATCTACTATTCATGACAAAAGTCTCTTAAGTTGCACGTTGTATACTCAATAAGTGAATAGTATGATCTTGCATCAAATCATGTATATTTATATCAGAATCAGTACCAAGACCAGCCAATGATATATGAGTACATGTAAGATTCCATTTATTTAACAAGTGTTCTATAGACCAGTCTGCACTTCTTTCTTGGTAGGTACAAAGAAATTTTGCATTCGGATTTCTTTCTAATAAAAATGCTACTGTAACAACTATGTCTTCAAATAATGCTGGTTCATAAAAACAATCAGATCCAAGGATTAAATCTAATGGTCCAATGGAAAACAAGCTAGACAGAAATAATCCCCATGTAATACCAATAATTTGAACTTGAGATAAAATACCATTTAATTCACAACTTCTTCTTATATGTTGTAAACTTCTAGGAAAACTAGCAGAGTCACTTAAAATAACGGTGGCACCACATTTACTGGCTAAAATTCCTGGTAGGGCTGTGCCTGATCCAAGCTCCAAAACTCTTTTTCCGATAAGTTCTTCTTTATGTTCCCAAAGAAACCAAGCTAACACTGGTGCAGAAGGCCATGTATAAAAACTATAGTTGGCTTGAAGTAACTAAAACAAAAATTTAATATGAAAGAAAAATTACATTAAGGGAAATTATTTATAAAGACCTTTATTTATTTATTAAAGCCTTTATAGATTACTGATGAAAATTTATAACTTTGAGACTTTGGAATTTTTAAACTATGTAACCTTGTTCATTTAAAATTTAAAAATGTTGGGACTTTGGAATTCAAACACCCTGTAAACTGTACTACTGTAAAATTTGAAATTTTAAAACTTTAAAATTATGAACTTTCAAAACATTGAGACTTTGGGACTTTGGAAACCATTGGAAAAACAACTTCTATAATGCCCTTTGCTACATGTGCTTATTTTACACAGTAATAGTTAATCCAACTCTGATTATTTATAAATATTTGAATCATTTGTTCATGTCATAAATGGGACGTCATCTGTAATAGTGCATTAAAAAAATCTAAATTATTTGTTCGAAGGAACATTTAGGGTAACAAGAGTTTTAATTATAAATTTAAAAGGTATTTCTAAAAAAAGTACATAACCAAAAATAAACAATTATAACTTATCAATTCAGAAGTATACAACTTTATTACCTCTGGAATATAAATCTCTAAACTTTCGTTACACTGTATATTATCTTGAGTTTTCCTTGAAGTGAACAAAAACTTTTTTACTTGTTCGGAGGCGATTCCATCGGACATTAGGCTGTGCATGCGTGAACTAGTATCGCGTGATATACTTTCTTCTAAACCTGGCATGACTAATTATCAAATCGTTCACGCCAATATCTTTTCGTTAATACCTCATTTATTTCGACCGTAATTAACAAATTTTAAATAAGGATCATCAACTCATATTTTCTGCGTTGACAAATAAAATCTAAATCGAAAATATAATCACTATTTTGTCCAGAGTTGTCGATTTACACCAACAATAGAAAATGCAAATGTATAGATAAGATTTAAATTTTGAAATGGCGCGAACCGATACAAAAAGAATCATTATCATTCAACCAAAATCTTTATTATTAAAATTTCAAGAATTATACAAGTTATAAAGAATTATACAATTTATTGTTAATTTTTAAGAAGAGCATGTCAAGTTGAAAAGCAATTATACTATAAATTCATATATCTATTTATATATTTATAGGTATATGATTGAAGAATAAGAAAGTAGTTAATAATAATAATGCATATTACAGTATTATTGGTTTAAAAATGTTTATCCTAACTGGGTATGACATTTTTATTTAAAATATGAATATATTTTAGTTGATACAGTACTGAGGCAGTCGTTTAGATTAAACATGGAGGAAGCTGCTAGTGAGAAGTTTCTGTCAAGAAGACGTTCTGCTGCTTTGAAGGCTTTTAAAGTCAAAGATGAACGTGTAGCAACTTTTAAAAAAGTACATATGTATATTTTCGATATACCCTATTCAGTTACGATAATTTCATAGTAATATTCTTGTAAAATTTATGTATATCTCCCGGCATCATTCTTAACATGGATGTGCTGTAAACAACTGCTAAGACCTTACATTTTTGCACCTTTCAGGTAGCAGCAATTTTACAAAAATCTGAAACAGATAGAACCGCAGAAGAAACGGGAATACTTGTGTCTTGTAGTGATGTAGTAAAAGAGGTTAATTTAAGGTATAGCCATTTTGGAAATCATTGATTGCACATTTATGATCATATCAAATTATTTTGTTGTTAATGTTGTAACACAGAGTACGGACATTATACAGGGTGTCCCAGGTTTTTTCTGAAAAATTTTACCAGCATATTCCGCGACTAAAAAATAAGTAAAAGATGTTATATAAACATAAACTGTTAAATACGGTGTTAAAAGGTTGTAACAAAAGTACAAAATGACAATGGACTACTTTCTTTTTTGATATCACATAGAAATAATTTGTCATATTATAATTTCATTTCAAAATGTATGTTATTATTGATTGACATTTATAGAAAATAGAATTTATTCCATTATTAATTTCTGATTTACTTTTTTTAAGTGTAACACATGTGTCAAGAAATCGCATATTTATGTTTGATAAATTTCTTCTTTGCAGGTTTCTTACGATGCAGTTCATTACTATTTCATATTTTTGTTATGGCCTTTTAAGAGCATGTAAGGGCCTATATTTGCATAATGTATACAGTGATTTTTCTGAAAATCTGTTACGATTATTTCATGTTAGAACCTGTTAGTAGACTTATTGTTATTGCATTTTCAGCTGATGTGTGTTTTAGGTGGATACTACAGTAACAAGGAATTTAAAAGTGATATACATATGTATATATGGTAACATGTTTCTTTGTGAGCATTAATGAGAAAGTAAAAGTTCCTTTGTTCTTTAATTTCAAGGGAGTTATTGTTACATATGGAATGTTGCTAAAATTATGCAAGAAAAACTGGGACTTCCCTCATATTAATTTTAATAATTGTTGCCGGTTTTGAATGTAAATTTTAATATTGAATTATGTAGCAAATATTATTGTAAAAAAACATTCACTGTAAAATTATTTATTAGACAAGAGAAAAGACATAGAGTAAAAGCAAGATTAGAAGAAGTAGAAGATGCACCAGAAATATTAGAAGAAAAGTGCATAAGATTAGCTGCAGCAATTAGCAGGGCAACATCACTCGCTATTTATACCGGTGCAGGTATTAGTACTGCTGCTTCTATCCCAGACTATAGAGGAACTAATGGTGTGTGGACTCGTTTGCAACAGGGAAAAGATATCGGGTAATGTTAAAATATGTCTACTTATTAGACCATGGATATTTATGTACTTATGATATATCAAAGTCTGCAAAGTATGTATAAATCATGAAATCCATGGACTGTAGATTTAGTGCTATACAAATAGATGTATACTTTGCAAACTTTGATATATTATAAATGCATAAGTATCCACTGCCTAATTATTACAAACAACTTGCTTTTTTCTGTTGAGTAATATTTATATTAATTTGCTTTATACTTACAGAAATCATGATCTTAGTCAAGCAGAACCAACAGTCACCCATATGGCTCTTTATGCTTTATACAAGGCAAGAGTTTTGAAACACATAGTTTCTCAAAATTGTGATGGACTCCATTTGCGAAGCGGGATACCCCGCACACTTTTATCCGAAGTTCATGGCAATATGTATATAGAAGTTTGCAGAACGTGTAAACCTTACAGGGAATATTGGAGATTATTTGACGTTACTGAAAAAACAGCTCGATATTCTCACGGGACTGGAAGATTATGTCACAGGTGTAATTCCGTTTTGCACGATTCTATTGTTCATTTTGGTGAAAGAGGCAATCTTCCTTGGCCAATTAATTGGAATGGTGCGACAAGAGCAGCGAAGCAAGCAGACGTTATATTATGTTTAGGTTCCAGTTTAAAGGTGTTAAAGAAGTATCCATGGTTGTGGCAAATGGATAGACCAATTCACAAACGTCCATCGTTGTACATTGTAAATTTACAATGGACTCCAAAAGATGAAAATGCAGTTTTAAAAATAAATGGCAAGTGTGACGAAGTCATGAAAAGAGTTATGGTTCATCTTGGATTAGAAATACCGCAATATGATCGTACCAAAGATCCAATTTTTTTCCACGCTGTACGGCTCAGAAGCAATGAACAACAAACAACAAGTCAACCCTGTCTGGAAGAACCAGCCAATATGACTCTAAAAGAAATAGATGAAATTACTGACAATTTTCACGAAGATATTGCATCGGAAACCAAAGAGGAAGATTGTGCTTCGCCGATAAAAGTAACTGAACCAATGTCTACGTATTCAGCGCCATTTTTTACCGCATTACCATTTTTGTCCATGGGTTTACCATTTCCACCAATGTACATGTGTCCTCAATTAACACCATTTTTTTATTATCCATTTGTACAAGTACCCAATATGACTTCAGATATCGCAAAACCCAAGCCAACTTGTACCTTCTGTATGGAGAACGAGGGGTCACTTACTTGTCTTTATTACCAACGAGATACCGATAATACTCGTTTAATAGGAGCTGAGAGCAAGCAAATGAAAGATGCAAAAACATTGGTAATTCGTGCAGATCCTCCAATAGCGCCTAAAAATCCCGGGTGGTTTGGTAAAGGATACCGCAAAGGCATGAAGAAAAAACGGTAGCATTTACTCTTCTCGATATGGTATATGATTTTCCTTTTTTCTGTTACTCTATAAATATATGACATAATATAGTATATTATTATATACTATAAAACAATAATAATAATGTACGTGAATATATAATGTACGTAAATGTTTGATGCTTCCATATCATAATGGAATCTGTATACACAATTTAACGTGTGTAGCAATCTAATTCCAGTATTCAGAATTTTAATAATTAAACGAAGATTATGAAACTGAAAACAATGTTAAGCATAAGTCATTATTCCTATTTAGTAGTTACTTGAGTATTTAATTTCGAACGTAAGTTAAAAAGTGAGGTGACTGATAAATATTTAAATATTTATGTAAGTGTAATTTGAAAATTGTTAACTTATAAGTATTATCGTTATTTGTTTCTCGTGCAGTACACTTGATTCCAAGTTTTTTACATCATTAACTAATGATGTTGTGATCTTTTAATTATAAGATTTTATTTAAACAGCATTGTATGAATTACGATAAACTCAGAGCGACCAAAGTGATAATTTTTAATTATATCTTTTTTTTACTATTTTGTACTTTGTATTTGTATAGTCCGCTGTATCATACGATTTTTTTAAAAGGAGTGTATGTATGAATATAACATGTGCAAAACTTTTGAATTGTTTATCATGTTGATTCACCATTCCAGTTTTGTGAATATTATCTAAATACAAAAAATTTAATTTTATAAATACAGAAATTGTAATCAATTTTGAATTACAATTAGCTATCATTTTGTATTGACCAATATACAGAATAAACAGAAAGTAAGTTAGTATAAGACTGCAATATGAATCAATTTACTTTTTCTGTTGTCTTTTTTTATTTCGTTGAAAGGTAAAAGAAAGGAAAAAAAGAAGAAGAAACGATTGATATAACGAGGAAGGGAATGTGGCTAGAAAGGGGAAGGTTGAAAAAGCCTATAGTCTGTTACCATAGTAACCCCGTAGAGCGTCACCCTATTACCAACTTCGACGGCGCTTATTCTAAAGCCTCGTAGTACTTCGCCAATACTACGAGTGTGGTACGTCGACAGCTCATTGACTTCTTTACAACGAAATCTCGTTGTAAAGCACGTGGTGATTCTATTTCTCTACCGTTTTAAAAACAACTTTACAATACTTTATTAGAGAATAAAGGACAAATGGAAATAAAACCAATCGAGTACTTTATCTTACATAATTTTATTCGTAACCAATTACTTTTTAAAATTAGTAATTGTTACAATTATTCTTTGCATTTTACATTAAATACATACAACAAATAGATTGTAACATTAATTAAAAGTATTTATGTAAATTATTAGGATTGATAAATGTTAGACGTATTTTACAGGTTATATATAAATTTAATAAAAACAGGTTAATATAAACAATGAATAAGTGTATGTAACAATGAGTGAAAATATTATTTTCTTATAATACATTTGATTCACCGTTTAACAGACTAAAACAAAGTTGATGTAAGCTTTAGCATGTAAGATAATTGAAGATAATTAAGTCTATCATTCTGTTGTCCCTACATCAGCTTTTATATAGAGCAACAAGATAATTGTTAGCTTTCAAACGTCGTGGTGTAAAGACCGTAATCTTTTGACAATAAACCTAAAACAATGGATAATAAATATTAAAATAAAATATTGTCAGATAGTTTGTTAAAAATTATATTAAATGCAAAAATGTATATTACCTAATAAAAACATTTCTCCTTTCCTTTTTAAAATAGCTACTTTTTGAGTTAGTTTATTTTTATTTAAATTGAAGCATTCAATGCAGAGCAATGTACAACACAGAGCATAGTTGGTATTTCTAGGGGAAATGGCGATGTAGGGAAAAGAGAACCACTCGTTAGTTGCCGATTAGTAAATTTTCAAAATCACAAACTTATAAATTTGGAGCTTTTCAAAATCACGAATTATCAAATTTTGAAATTTAAGATCTTGAGGAATTTAGGAGTCTGTGAATTTGAGAAATATGGGAACTCAAAAATTTGAAAAATTTAGTTACTTGGAAATGTCAGTGATTTGCAAATACTTGAAAATGTAGGGAATCCAAAATTTGGAAACCAGAAAATTTTCTGGTTTACAAATTTGGAATTTGAGAATTTGGAAATTTAAAGATTTGTAACTTGAAAATATGGAAATTCGAATGGTTTGGAATTACAGAATTTAAAAATGTGATTTTAAACATGAAAAATTCCAGGTGTACATGTTTAATTTTGAAAATCGAAGACAATTGGTGGGAGTCCTCTCCCACTGTTCAACCAAAGTAATCTTACATTGCCCCGGTGTGTGCAGATCATAACAATAAGCTGAGTGAAAGAATAAGAGTAGCTTGAATGAATATACAATCAAGTAGGTACAAACGAAGAAACCAAGACAATTGAATCCCGAGACCTAAATCCATACACGAAGTAGATTTATCATTACCGATCGGTTGAGCGCTCTAGCGGTGGCATTGGTTACTACGACACGAGAGTGCTACGTGAGAAGTCGTGATGGAGTAGTTTATACCCTGTTTGGTCGCCGTTTCTCATTCGCGTTTAAATACTTCTAAAACTATCACCTTTATCGAAGTGCATTAATCGTTCATAGGAAACGCAAGCCTGATCGGAATCCTGTAAAACAGCATGTCAATTTTTCGCGGAACAACTTTTTGGGTGCTCGTGTTAACGTAATAGGAAAAGACAGTGCGGAAGGGTCAGGTTATCTTCTTTGTTCGAGAAAAGCCTCATCGGTAGGCAATGGCGCGGGAACCTCGCGTTCTGAAATCGGTGTGTGCATGGCGTAGGTGATGATCGGTGTTTGTACATACATATGGCATGGTGTTTACGGCGAGTCGGAAGATTTACGTGCCTCGCTGGATTGACCAGCCTCGTCGATTTTTGGACACGACCCGTGCCGTGAGTCGCCATGAGGCGCATTAGCGGTGAGTTAAATGCATTTTCTTCATGGTGTCAAAGAAAAATTCTGTAGAAAAAATTACACGAGGCATTTTATGAACAGCGGCGTTCATGTTTGATAGATGAACGGTGTTACAAAGAATGCTTTCAAGAGAAAAGATATATATTAGAACGTGATTCTAAACTTCCCCACAGGGCTGCGCACGCGTTCGTATCTTGAGCTGTTTTTGCAAATTTTTTAACATTTATAAACTATATTCGTTTTCGCACAGATTAAATTATATGTTCACTGTTTTGTGCACTATGTTTGGTTCTTGTACTTTTTGCAGGCACACTTTATTACCGTTAAGTTTTAACCGTGAACGTTTTGCAAAAAGTAATCACAGAAATTTTAAAGTTTGATAACTGACTTGAATACGTATATGTAAATTACACGAGTATCTGTTGGGAAAAATTGTTTACGGTAAAATATAAAAAGATGTTTGATGATTTTATACGACAGAATCGACGTAGCAAAGAGTAAAGCTAGAAAGTGGAGTTACTTGTAACTAGCAAACGTGTTTGAACCTTTCCCCTTCTACTGCAAGGAGGCTGCTTGAATATTTTCTCGTTCGTAGGGTCGAGTATAATATAAGATTCCTTTCTTGAAGTAAGAACTGTCATTAACCATCTCCTGATCGTTTAATTTTTTTCTTTATGGATACGGTACAGAAACGGAATCGTACGGAAATTATTTGTTTAAAATATTATCATTATGTTTGATCGTTTGTTATTCTGTTTTAAAGCTGGTTTTAAAACCTCTTTTTCGATTATTATCATTCGCGTGTTAACAAATTGTATTGTTTGCGCTTACGTAATCTTACATTTTAGGTAATCAGTATCGTGTGAATATTTCAGGATTCTTACGATCACATTATCGATAAATATTTAAAAATCCGAAATACTGATTATACAAATTGATTCTCTGTCGTCTTCATAACATGCGATGCCGAATGAACGTATAATTTGTATGCGTGGACGTATCTGAATAAACATCGGTCGATTAACATATCTCTGAGAACGACTACGTATGTGTTCAGTTCTGCATATAATCTTATAAAAAATAATAGACTACAATTATAACAGGCTGTAATCATAAATTAACCGGGTTAATTGGTTTTAATTCGGCTCTAAATTTTGGCGAACAAAATGAAAGGAAATAAATTAAACTCGCTTCGACCTCCTCTTCTTCTTTTACACTTTCTCTTACGATAAGAATAAATGTTTTTTTTCGAAGTAAGCATCGCTTATGCATAATTACTGGAAAAAAGCTCGTTTATCCGTAATGTTCTTTTCCAGATGTACAGCATTGACGGTGAGTTTGTTATATTTAAATATCGGCTGTTTAACAAAAGGATTGAAGGGGAAGAATGATGAAGGATGAGTGAGAAGGACAGGTGGTGGAGGGAGAAGTGAAGCATAATACTATAGAAGGAATAAAAGTAGGAAGAAGTAGAAGAGTATAAAGAAACGAAGAATACGTTGCGTTGATCTTCGATACATTGGACGATTCATTTTTTGAATATTAAAAAATGATTTCATTTCTTGTAGACATTTCTTCTTTGCGAGATTAGGGTTCTTAGCACTGTTATACCTATGATGCTAACTAGTCAGCAAATTTTTTCCATGAACAGTTACAAAGTACACTGACGAATACGTAGACTGTCTTAAAGAAAATGGCGATATAGAGGAAGTAGAATCACCACTATAGTTTTAAAAACATGAATATTCATCAGGTAATGAAATAAATTATTAAATTTTAAAATTTATAAATTTTTACATTATCAAGTTTTTAAATTAAGTAATTTAGAAATCTTGAAGTTTTCAAACTTAACCTTGGCGCGAAATGCCACACGTTATGAATATGCGTTCTCATATTTGTCAAATTACATACTTAATGACGTAATATTTGAACAAAGATATTCCAATAATAATATCTCTTATATCTCAATCTTCCCTAGATATCTATGGCACACGTCAATGAAATAAAATCTACTTTAAATCAATGCGAAATCGCAATGATAGCGTCACATTATCTTGATCATTTGATCGATTGCATATCTAATCAATCGTATTCAGTGCACTCGTAACTAGAGCAGTTATTACTATACTGGTATTAATATATACTATGGGTAAGTGTAATGTATAATGCCGCGATGAACTGGTACTATTTACGATAAATGTTGAAATATGCGTAGGAAGCAAAATGTGCAGAAGTATGAATGAACCACAAGAAGAATGAGTACGGAGCGTGCATCTAATTAACGAATAAGGGGAACGAAGTGGCTGCTAGTAAACGAAAGCAACGATGTCTGGTTAACGAGTTGTAACAAACATTAGGTGACCCAGAAACTTTGTACGGTTTTTTATACGTTGTTTAAATGATGCGTCAGCTGTTCATTCGATCGCATCCCGGAATTTGAACCGTTAATAATTTCGCGCCTTTGATAGGAAAGTTAAATCATCCGAATCGACTTAATTAGTCGCTTTAATACATGCGAGTGTCGCTTCAAATCGTGCGAGAAACATTTTTGCATATAAACTATTGTAAGTATTGTACACGGCTAGTAAGATGGCATACGTACCAATGTCCTAGCTGCCAACTTACTGGACGTGCACAGTATATGTATAAAGTAAAAATGGAGTTAGGAATAAATACTGTAATGTATTCTATTTTTATATATACAGTTTTTATATTCTTTCTGAGATATCACCTTGAGATTTTTCAAGGTTAGAAGGAGCTTCAGTTGACCTTGAAGTAGGACATAGTATTTAGTTTCAAAATATCTCATTGTCAAAAGAAGTAAGATATACAAAAATGAAATAGGATTCACTTGACGAGTTTCTTAGAATGGTATACTATCATATAAGACATTCTTTTTGGTGCAACTAGTATTAGTTTTTATAGATTTATTGCGTATGTTCCAAAGGAAACTTTAACTAAACACAGCATACAATTTTATTCATTTTTTGTACCTTTTATTTTGTACGGTTAATTACTGTAGCAAACAAAACGTGTAGCATTTATTTCATTTCATTTTATACACGGGTTCACAATGTTTTATGTATAAAAATGCTTCCTGCATCATGGCGTATTATTTTGGCCGGCACTCATTGTATAAACTCGCTTAGCGTTAATCACGAATAGGTGAAAGAACAATTTTTTCCACTATTTCAGGATAATAAGCTGTCGTCTGATCTGATCAGTCCATCCCCGCTTTGTGAATGTCGTAATCAAGAACGACGTCTGGTTTTGCTTTGTAACTGGCTCTTCTCGTGACCGCACAACAACGTAAGTTGTAGAGAAGCTGTGTGGCATGCTAACGGCATCGACGCATCATTCGCGTATCTCCATTTTAGGCAGCGCAGGTGCTTCCATCTTGCCGAAATTATTTTTCATTTTTTTTTTTTCTTTTTTTTTTCGAATCATCATCTTCCGTAACGACACTTGCTCGTGAAAGGTTTCGTCTGTTCGTTAGAGACAGCGAAGAAGTTCTTTGCCACCGGTGGTAATTATCCGAGCAGCCTCTGGACCGCCATAACGTCTAACTCTTCTGCTCCCTTTTCTCGATTACGTTGCCATTTCTCACGCATCGTCGAGCGAAGTATCGCGCGATACTTGGACGCTATAATTATTTAGCTCGTTATTCACAAGCGCGCGGAAAAGGTGGCGCGAAATTTCAAATATTCTTATTTCGATATTGACGAATTTCCAAATTTTCCAATCTCCAAATTTTCTAATTCTCAAATCTTCAAATTTCTAAATTTTCAAATTTTAAGATCCAAAATTACAAAATGATAGATTTGTAAATTTCTGAATTTCCAAAGTATCGCACGATGCTGCTATGCCATAATTATGTAGTTCGTACGCGTGAGAAAAATTAGAGCGAAATGTGAAAAGAGAAACGAATTCGAACGATCGGAACAAAGATGTGAAAAACATGTACTTTTTATTCCCTTTAAGGTTAAGGTTTGATAGTACTGCTTTGAACGGACCACGCCTCATAATCGATGCAGACCAGAGTGTAAAGGAATATAGAATTTTTAGAGCGTAATCACCGGGTTTGCGTTTCTTTGTGAAGCACGCGCATATTATTACTGCGATCGATAAATAAGTACGCATTATTCTATATTTTTACGTTTCCAAGTACAGCTGTTCTCGGAAAGTTTGCACAATTTTTTAAATAAATGAAAATATTTTCTACAAGGGAATCTTAATATCACAGAGTATTTTAGTTAATTAATTACGCTTTTTATTAACAATTAACAAAATAATTAAACTTTAATCACGCTTGAATTTTCTTTCATATAATTTGTAACTAGTCATTGAATGATTTTATAAACTAAAATTTAATACAAACTTGTTAAGATTAAAAGCTTGAAAGTGGTTTTGGTTAAGGATTAACTTTAGTTGATGTAGTTAGGAATAATTTAATTTTTGCCTTATTTTTTTCAAGGAGGAAAGCGTTATATGCCAGTTGTGTCATCAAATATGGGACACTGTATAATTGTAACGTTCAAACTTTTGTTGTGACTTACTTTTCAAGTATGGACCATAAGTATGGATCATAAGTTCTACATTACTAATTGTAAATCACCAAATCCTCTAATGTATAAATTTTTCAATGTGGATGTTTAAAATCAGATTCTTCATATCTGAAATTATCAAACTTATAAATTGTCTATATCAATTCTTATATTAAATGTGAAAAGTTCTAAATTTCTAAATGGTAACAGAGAGGGACTCTTGCAAAGCAGGTATACCTGTAGAGTGTACAGTAGCTGACTTCATATCGTCATTTTGTGTCAAACAAACCCTGTCGTACATCGTACTTACTAATAATTCGAATCTCCGCGGAGATTTCTCCGATCGAGTCCTTTCATCGTTTCCACGTGGAAAGTTGTTTCACGTGTCGCGTTTTTGGAAACCTACGCGCGTGGAAGCATTACCCGGGGGACGGCCTATGCCGTTCTCCGGAAACTTGTCCACCCACCTTCGACCTCGCCTCTTTGCATTCGCCACACCAACGACTCTTTGGGTGTCGCCAACTCGAATCTCTATCCAACGCTCTACGTTTCTGACAGTCTTATCCGGTTATCTCAGCCGTTTCCTTCGTATTATTTCACTGTAAAGATCCATTCCTAAAATCAGTGCGTTTTACTTAAACCGTGAACCAAAAAGTGACCATTCTCGATAACAGACGTACCACGTATCTTAACGGTGACAGAGTTCGTTTAACCTAGGCCGGATAACTCTGGTACCATAATTGAATAGGGAAACGTCAGTATTTCTTGAGACGTTACACTTTAGAATATTAAATTGGCTACCTCTCAGGAAGTTACAGGTCGTTTAAAGTAGCCTGGCGACACTCCCAGCGTTTTAATTACGGTTTTCATTTAATCACGCTTAATATAGGCGTGACGGGATTTGCACAGGTGATTAAAATGCAAATTCTAAAAAGGCATCGGTTGCATAATTAGTGCCGTTATATAAATCTATGAATGGACGATCATTCGTTGAGATAATGGAACAGTTTGGTTAGAGATATAAATCGAGAGTCTATTTTGAAACAAAGCGAGGACTACCATAAATGGCGATCACAGCCGTCACCAGTTGCTTGGGTCCTCCGCCCTTACCGCCTGGCAAACGTTTCCTGCAAAAGTCCTCGAAGAAGTTGTCCTCGACTTACAGAAGCTTCAGGGATCCGGCCGTCGAAGCTTGGATCTCGAACGGTGTTATCGAAATGTCGAAAACGAGACTCCAACGACGGGAACGTGGCCCCACGATTTGTACGATAGCCAATGGTAATTTGTTCAGAAGCTGTTCCGAAGGCAACCTGAGTGCACGTAAAACGACCGCGCTATTATCCGCTACTCCTCTCGATAAGTGCATCCAGGCGATTTATGGCAGCTGGAAGAATCTCGTGCACCGTAAGTGTAACGCTCCGAGAATGTTGCTTGACTAGTGCGGCTTGAAAATAGATTGAATAAATTATATGACAGGTTAATCGGTCGGAACGTTCTAACGCAACGAAGCATCAAAATTACATTGCACTTTTTTTCTTCGCAAATATTTTGTGACCAAATACATCAATTGTACACTAATCCATCTGCTGCCTTCGTAACGTTGTGGAGGAAATTAAACGACTTGCTTCAACTTCTGTGGACGAAGATCCACTTTTGAATTCCATTTACTTCATTAGATTGTTATGAACTTATTTTTACAAGCATTAAGTGTTGTCAGCATATCAAATGTCTCAAGTCCCAATTGTTCAGCCAGTCAGTCTAGTCAAATTATTTCTTTAATATTTCCTTCGCCAATTGTTACAATATTCTGAAACTAAGGACATATATTATAAAACGAAGAAATTATATTTCAGTAAAAGAATATACTTTTAAATACTTCCTGTTGTAATCCTTACAGTACCAAGACCATAGTATCTGGTAGTTAACTCTACGTCAGCACACTTTGGGAATCTCTAGGATATTTAGATATGTACATATCTGACCGAGTGTTCAATCAGTTGAACCTCGATGCGAAAGAATTTGCAAGATTTTATGGGACGCTTTTACATCGGTATCTGCACAATTTCTGGTATCGGCATTCCCCAACCGATGTACAAATTGTTCTCGCGTTAATTCCCAGGATTCTTAAGGTACCGTTGTTAAATTATGAACATTTCGAATATCGACGATGTTCTCCCACCTTGGCCGATGTTCCGTAAATTTCTTTTGTTACCAATCGCGGATATTTTAAGCTCAATTTCGTTCGAAAAGAGCTCGCTTTTTCCTGTCGGTAAAGTGAGTGCAAAGAAACCATCTCGTTTAACGAGCATGGGTCCCGCGTGTATTATACCTAACTTTCAAGTCCACTCCACATGGCGACTAACGGTTGAACTTAACGAGCGGGATTAGAACAATAATCCCGTCCAATCGTTTGTGGGTCCATAAACCATTGCGAAGTACGTTGGATAATCGAACCCCGTACAAAAGTATCGTTGCAGACACTTTTACGTTCGATTCGTTGGAAGTTTTGAGGTGCAACGTAGTTCAGTGTAAATGTGACCTTGCTATCTATCTTCTATGATATTGTATCGCTCGATAGACCCCTTCTGTCTGGTGTAATCCTTCTATGATAGATCTCATTTTTCTCTGTTCTGGTTTCTGATAGTCTTTTATCTAACGGTTTAATTATTTGGTTTATTTTCTGTTTATTTGGAGCAGCGTTAGAACTAGTTTCATGAAATTTAAACGACAAACATGTTTGTTTATTGTTTGAGATATTTTAAAATTCTTAATTCTCTTTATCTCTAGGTTCCACATTTTTAAGCTACAAAATGAGAACTAGGTGTTTATAAACTTTGAAATGTATAAATATAACAGATCCTAGATCTTGTCATCCCTTGTATTAGCTTGTGAAGTCCCTAGATTTCAAGATTCCCAGATACTGAAATTACAAGATCCCCTGAGATCTTGCTAGATCTCAAAGCTGCCATTATCTCGAAATTTTCAGACCCCAAATTTAGACCCCAATAAAAACCCTACATCTCTATATCCAAATCCCAACCCTCGTGTAAATCCTCAGCCACTAGATCTCCCCATCCTTATAAACCCACTATTATCCCTAAATATCCAGTTGTTCGTAACAGTGGTACTTTTTTAATCTTCTATTTTTAACTGTAACGTGAAACGAGAACAGTTATTATGGAAGTGAACGATTCACATAAATGCGTCGTTACGGTATATTCTCCGAGGCAAACGAAGTAAAAACGGCGAATGAATATTCTTTTTATGAATGGTTTCGTATAGTTCGCGTTGTAAAGAGGAAAAATAATGCGATCGATGCTAGACTTTTGTGCAACGCTGTACGCAACGATCCAGTTACTAAACCACGAGTTAGAATGTTATGGCGAGTTGAGCCTAGTTTCACGGGTCTGTCGACAACGATTACCACCAGATAGGGTCATTTTTCTGCCGCGATTCCATCGGTCGTTTAACGCCACGACCAAGAATTGCCTCGTTCAAACGAGTTCTATTTGTATACGATCGATTATGGTACGTTTCTACTGCCGTGACAATTTGTTGCTAAACGTGCTTAACGCGTTCACACGCTGCACACGTGACCCTAAAAAAGGCGATCGAATAGAGTACATGGAAATTGTTATACTCTTATATGTAGTTCACTTTCATTCTTATATGTATTACATTCTTATGTTACACTTACATTCTTATATTCGATACAGTTGATAGTCAAGTAACCCAGGATGTTCGTTTGAAAACATCCAGTCTTCCATTATCAATTTCCTACTTCGAGAGTGGTGCAGTAAATGTTTATCTCGTTAAATACTTTTTCAAGAGAAAGTCCGATAAGTATCCTTCTAGGTCCATAAAATAAGAATCTGCAAAAAATAAGTTTATCGTTAAATAACCTTGAAAGCAATAAAAAAGTAAATAGGTAAAAATAGTTGTATCTCACCCTGAAACTTGAATGCTATAGGTGTTAGTAAGGAAAAGTCAACGTGGAATTTATCGCGGCGATAAATTTCGCGTTCGAACGACTTAAAATGATATATGGATTTTTAACTTTAGGAGCAACGTTCCGCGTTATTGTTTCGTTGGATGTTTTTGTCATCCGAGTTTAAATTACCGTCATGAATCATAAACAGAAATCGTAACGCGAGGCACGAAGCATAACGATTACGCATCGTAAGCCATGTGCAGCATACGAGACCTTGATAAAAATTATCTCGTGCTTACACATGCGTTTGGAGTTCTCTGGATAACCGCCTCGAGATTCCACACGTTTATACAGATGTTCTTATATCGGTAGTGTTTGTGAATATTAAATAAAAAAAAAAAAAAGAAATTTTCTCACTAAAAGGGAAGACGCGTTCTGGAAAGTAGATTCCTCGGTCTTTGTGGGTCTTCGGGTTTCCGTATTTACACGGCTAACGAATTTACACGGTTAGTTGACTTTGACCTTCTCTCCCTTTTTATTCGGCTTCTTATCTCCCTTCTTCTTGCCCTGTGTATTTCGTGCTAGGTACTTCTTTCACGCCTACGCCTACCTTTCCGTTTCTGTACACTTCAATTCCTAGAACGATTTAACGGAATGACATTAATTGCTTTACCAAACATTTTTTTTTCCGTTTAAGGCACGTCGCTAGTCGTGTTACCTCTTTTACCTGGAAAACGTGCCTCACGTTCTCCGAGATTTAACAGTTTATCAAGTTATTCCGCTGAGAAGGATATTTTTCTCCAGCAATAACGTGCTTCTAGTAGTTGATGGCTTAAGATTCCATCTTCATTAAATCATGGGTATAATCATTTCATCGTTCAGAAAATTATTTCATTTCTATCGATGTATTAACATGTTCGTGCGATCTGTATCTGGGTGACATATCACTTATTTTAGTGGACATTTTACATGTTAAATCGTGTGTAATTTTATTGAGTACATTAAAGCTTCAGTAGAAGAGGATTAAAGCGAACATTGATTTATTAACAACTAAATTACTAACTAAAAATATCTTTCAGGATTTTAGGATTTCAAAGAAGACTGCTACTGATATAGTTTAAATTCAACAAATTGTTTACACTACTGAATTGTTTAAACTTCTGAATTTATCTTTCACAAGAATATTTCTGGATCATAGCTCAATCAGTTTACAGGATGTTTAAAAAATATAACATGGTACCTGCATCGTGTTGAAGGTCGTCGGGGTCCATGGATCAGATTACTTGGATGCGGGCGATCTAAAATTAAAAGAATTACTTTCTTACCATAGCTAAAATGTAGCATAACTTTTATATATCTTTATTCGTTTGTAACAAATTTTTGAACAAGAAGATAAGTTTGATACTATTGTAATATGTATACAACCGGTGGGGCTCTTAAGGATATAAAGATGGTAGTGTGGTTAACCAAACACGAACATTCAGATTCTGAAAATCTCTTAAAGAAGTATAAATACAAATTCCTTTGACTGCATCCTTTAAGCTACAAGGCTCTTTATACCAAGCCTGTGTAAAAGAAACAAATCCAGTCTTTCATGTTAGGTTAGGTTTACCTTTCATCTTTAAGGGCCTTTCAAAAGTTATATACTCCTGCTCTTTTGCACATTTGCAGAAATTTCTAAAGAACATACCTTACATGTTAGCCACATGTTGTGTAAAAAGGATTTTTAACAATCATGATACACCAAGTTATTAATGTTTTCTGTACACAATGGAAAATCTGCAAAAAGATAAGTAGTGTGAACAAATTGTTGAACTTAAAGTTTAATTGATAATATGAGATTATTGCTTATTTAAATTGTATTAAAAAAAATAAAATTACAGGAGATAGACCCCCATCGTATCAGTTAAGGGTTAATTTAAACTATATCAAAGTGGCGTGCTCCCTTAAGCATGTCAATCTGAATTAAAACGAATAACGAAGGGACGTTATTGTGTGTATAGTTGGCGGCATGAACCGGCCGTCCAAAGCTGTAACCCAGGCGAAGAAAGTGGCACCACCAGCTGTACCCGATGTATTTCGACATTCTGGTTCCTCTTTTGGATCCGCTGGATATGCGAGCAGCGAAGATAGCTGCTTCCTGCCCGGAAGTGGACCAGGAGGAACAACGGACGAGGGTTCTTACGGAGTGCCATCTGGAAAAAGTCCGGGACCTATTTTTACTCATCCTGGCTTTGCTTTTCCATCGGTTGTCGGCAAATATGCTCATGCCGAAGATCAAGGTGCGATGGTTATACCGTTACGTTCGCATTAGCGCGATAATGGTAGACATTTATAATCCGAACTAATGTCGATAATTACAATAATCTAATCTGTTGTAGGAATCGACATGACTCAAAGTCCTGGAAGAGATAGTCCAGGTAGTTCAGGATCAGGTTCTGGTTCCAGGCATTCGACCGCTTCGCTAGATTCAGGAAGAGCCTCGGGGTATCATTTAGGTCCTAGAGGACCTGGTGCTCTCACTTCGTCTCCCAGGTGTTCTATTAGCTCGCTTGGCAGTCATCCTGACAGACCGGCGGATCTTGACGTCGTTCATGCTTGGTTGACCGAGCTCCAATTCGAGGAATATTTCCCATTGTTTGCTTCTGCCGGTTACGATCTTGCTACTATAACGCGTATGACGCCGGAGGATTTAACAGCAATAGGTAATGGAGAGTGCTCGGTGAAATGGATTCACTGCAAGCAACGGTTTAATTCGAATAATCTGTTCACTTGCAGGGATCAAGAAGCCTAATCACAGGAAACGTTTGAAAGCGGGAATAGACAATTTAAATATAGGAGACGGCTTACCAGAGCATATTCCTGGCTCGTTAGAAGAGTGGCTTAGACTTTTACGACTTGAAGAATATCTTGGTGCTCTTCATCAACAGGGTATGCGTTCGGTAGAGGACGTAACGACTCTCACTTGGGAAGATCTGGAAGATATTGGAATTGTGCGTTTGGGCCATCAGAAAAAGTTGCTGCTAGCAATTAAGAGAGTTAAGGATATTCGTGCTGGTAAACGCATTCAGCCGCTGGATCTTGCACGACTACCGCCACATCCTGGACAAACACAAGTAAATAAATATCATTTTGTAACTTCCCGTTATAATTTATATTTTGCATTTAGTTGATTTTAATCGCGTTTACAGGATGTAGTCATTCAACGAGGTGGTCCTGATCTACCATCTCCCGACGAGGATTGTTCCTCGCCAGTTTTAAGATCTTTTCAAAGAGGAGGAAGCGATACTACGTCCGGGTCTGCATGGAGAAGCATGTATGCCGCTTTGCCAACCGATTACAATATCATCGGACGAGCTGGTTCACGAGGAAAGTCTTTAGAGAGTTTAGAGGATGCACCTCTTGGGTATCCTCCGTCTCCAGCTCCTTCCACGCACCCACAACAAATTGAATGGCGTCCACGTAGTTTCGAGGACGGAGATCTCACTCCTACTAATGATACTTCCGTGGTAGATGCAGGTGGAGGAACTCTTCCGCGCCCAAGGCATTGTCTTGTACGTCCACGACCTGTAGCCAAGGTAATACAAGACTTAGTCAATGGAGTTGAATTTATTAATGAAAGTTCCATTCGATTTCAGGTCGCCGCGACTCCAGGGCAATTCAAGTCACTGCCAAGAGACTTTGATAACAAGTATCAATTAACTTATGGTCTTGAGAGTAGTCCACATCTTCCAAAACGTTGTCCACCGTCTCCTCCGAGGCGCCAAAGCTCCAGAGATACGAGTGGTACCGGTGTTGTTGGCGTTGGAGGAACGGCAGTCGGGGATGTCGTGATAGATTGCAGCGGACCAGTACCAACTGCTTCTTGCGACGATCATCATATGCATCATCATCAACATCATCACTTGCTTCATCATCCTTCGCCTCCACCTCCTGCACCCGCAGCAGCGCCATCCACACCGCCGCAAATGAATCGACCACCTTCTTCCATGTCTCGTTCTTGGGGTAGCGTCAGCGTTAATGTGAACGAAGAACACGAGTTAATAGCTTCTCTTGCTTTACAACACCGTAATGGTTCTGACGCCAGTTTTAAGGTATCGTAGTTTTACGTATTTGAATATTTAGAAAACCTAATTACTGTTTCGGTAATGTACAGCTGATGGGGAGGACCTCATAACTAGGAAGAGGTTAAAATAACTTGTTATTCATTTTCATGTTTGAGAAATCCCCAAAAGCTGGACATTACCGTTTTCTTCCTAGCTACATCCTCATCTCAATTTTGATACAAGGAATAATGTGTTTAGATGTTAATAGCATTTTTTCTTACTTACTGTATTTTTAGTCACAAAAAACATTCTTTGAATGGGAAGTGAGGTAAATGTAATATTAAAGAAATATTTCGTTATAGAATATTCATCTTAGTTTCAAAGAAAAAAATATTGCCTAATGAAACACTGTTTTATTTTTTACTATTCATCGTTACTTATCAATACTATTTTTTTGCAGTCAAGTTCCAGTACAGAATCAGATTCTCTGCCTTTCGCAAATGAAAATGCTGGTACGATAAAACAAAGAGCTGCTCGCGCACAAGAATATGCAAGTGGTAATTCTAATAACAATATTCAAAGCCATGGAATGACCCATCATTCTGGTGGTAGCGAACCGGCGGATGTGTTGAACGACATTGGGAATATGCTTGCAAATCTCACTGACGAACTTGACGCTATGCTCGAAGAGGAAAAGCGTCAAGGCTTGACTTCATAATTGCTGCCTTTGTTTGCACCGTCTTTTCAGTTATTAACGGTATAAAAAAGAGCATCTTTAGCGACACAACTGATAATTAAAATATAAACTTCCCACGCTGTAAGGTATGATATAGTAGAACACGAGCGCATATAGGTTACAGGATTAAATTCAAATTTCTTCGATCCAAATAGCTACTATTTCGAAATGAGAACGCTCGGAGTTGGATAACTACTAGACTACGTTTTGTTACGTTGATCTATACATAAGTTGTATTACGCAAAGTAATATCCTGTTATAATTGTATTGGTTAGTATGGTGGATCATATATTCATCCATGCCATAATCTTAATTTTACCAGGTTCTATTTCCTTTCTTCTCTCTTTCTATAGAGCAAAGCTTCTTATTTTTCTATCGAAATATTATGAACTCGTGAAGTTTCCAGAGACACCTTGTTGCACAATTTTTCTAATCCTCGTATTCCTCTAAAGTACTTATTACTATACATTATTTTTACTTACGTTTATTACATTTGTACAAGATAATATTGAAATTATAAATATTTGACAGTTTGGACTACGACATTTTTATGAGGAATATACTCGTACAAGAGAAAACGTTACAATGGAAATACACTTAATGAATAAGTATAATCGATACGTATGCCTTATGAAAAGAAGACTGTAAAAACATCAGTGTAGTCTAGGTCCCTAAACTGAATGATTCCATCGCTTTATACAGCATAAAGACTGATCTTTTTTCTCTGGAAACTTCATTAGTGGCAGCATACATACATTCCAGGTAGTATATTTCCTTTTCCACTTCCGTCCTTTGCTAAAACGATAGCACGTTAGATTGGGACCTTCATAACTGTTGGAACTGTTAGACATTTTGAGATTAGTACAATACAAAGAGGTAAACTTCTGTATCCATTTTCCAGAATAAAATGATTCTTCCAATGATGACAAAGGAAAATATTGAGTCAAGTTGTTTTGATAACGAAGCATAATTATACCTTTGACTATATTGTGGTACAACATCTATAAGAGTTTATGATAGTTTATATGAAAAAAAAATTTACATCTTCCATTATTTGAACTTGAAAGAAGTTCTCATAAGACTGAGAACAAACCAACGTAGATATTTGACTGCCAATTAAATTTCAAGATTATACAGTTTAATACAGAATCATATGCACTGTAAGCCAATTAACATTTTATATTTATTAGCCGTACTAATATAGTGATGTATGTAACTCACTATTGTTATATGGTGCACAAATCATGTGGAACGTACAGAGCATCCACGTGTATCAAATCAAAGTAACGATAGTAGTAGAATGTTGTTGATAAAGTGTTCAGGTTCCCCCCACATCCAGACATGATATTGATACGTATTGAAAACTTGGGCGTAAAACTTTATGGCGTAAACTTTATTAGAACAATTTATGTGTATGTGCGAATGCACGTATACATATACATCTGTACGCGGTAACACTAAATCATTATTGAACATGAGTTTGTACTCGGTTTAGTTTGAGATTTCAAGTATTTTGAAGTCTGTGATCTTCATTAACTGCCTCCAATCTTTGTTAACAAAACAGTTTGTATGTACTACAATTGAAATGTTTCATTTTTTAATTCATATGTATAGCATTTAGAATTCTTATGCATACAGTTTCAGTGAAACGTTCATAAGGTATATAAAACTTGTTGTATCTGTGTAAATCAGTTTTACAACCGAATCGTGAAGAAATTAATTAAAATGAACTCGATTATATTATCATTGTTTTAATGAATTTTAGTTTTAATCTTGATACATGATTTGTTATATATCTTTAAATTCAGCTATGCCCTATTATTATGACACAAGAAAATGTGGTAGGACATATACAAGATTTTGAAATACACTTAAAACTTAGGTTAATCAACTAAACATTGGGGCTACGTTATTGTGGCCTGCAGACTTGTTAACTACTGTAGGTATACATATAATAGTATATACGTATATCATTTTAAGCAGTGTACTTAGGGAAACTGTTTTGCGGTGCTGCAAATTTATAAATTAATTATTAATTATGTTTTAATTCTTATTGCAGTGTATTATTATTAGATTTGTGCTAATATCGGATAAAGCTTTTGCGCTAAGTTATTTCTAAAGAAAAACTTGAGCAATACATTTGAATGGTGACGATTTTTAATGTCGCGAAGAAGCGAATAAGATTTTTATATTTATAAACAGTTGTTTAGACATTTACTATCCAACGGATTGATAAATTGCTTTTTAAAGTTAAGATTAGAAATTGGATACAGATACATGAGTATTTTTAAGATCAACTATTTACGATAAGAAATATACAAGTAATTCGTTTCCTTTAAAAAAAATTATTGATATAACAATAATTAACATCAAAAAAATGAAAACTATACAGTGATATTTCGATGCAGGTATTTAGACAGTATGAATGTTAATACGATGAGAAATTTTGCAAGTAATAAACGTTGGCAGGAAATAAAATATTTTATACTAACATTACATGGTCGAATAACCATATTTGTTTTTATAACATATAAATTGACAATTTTGATAAATGTAAATTAAGCACAATAGAATATAATCAACAATGTCGATTTTCGGACTGAAATTTCATACTTAATGCGATATGAAGAGATAAGTTCAATCAGAAATTCAAAACAACCTCTGTATAGAATTATGAAACATCAAATGTGTATAATTATAATAGATTTATTTAATATTTATTTGACGATCAATTCTTGATTATTAAGCGTATCGAAAATGTTATAATTTTATTAGTATTTCGAAAGTATTATTTTAAGTAAAACATTTTATTATGAAAGATATAGGTCCGCGCAATAATAAAACTTATATACAGTAACATATACATATTAATATATGTAGTTTAATAGCGTCACTAGAAATGCTTAAGACGATATAATTATTGCTTTTAGACGAACAAAAGTTTGTGAAGAAAACATTTTTTTATAGTATTATTCACATTTTCATTTTAACGCGAATTAACTATCATTATAGATTAAATACACTATGTTTACTTAAAATAATGCATTCGTGGCGTTCATGGCAGTTTGTGGCATTCCTTCAATCGATGAAACATATGCTATTTACTATTTTTAAGTCCTTATAGTTTTGTTTAAGCAAATAGTTAATATTAAGCGATATCATAATACGAACAGAATTCAATTGATGGCTGATTTTTGGCAGCTAATTCAGAATTCCTGAAGACATTGCTTCTACATGGTATATACATATTATATATATATATATAAATATTATATAAATATAAATATAAATATAAGTATGTATATGTATTTATATTTATATTTGTATTCACTTAGTCATAGTTTTTGTACAAAACGTATGCGTCGCTGCAGTTTTGTTCAGCGAATTCAATATCCGCCTAACTGCATTTTACGAGTCCTCGAGGCCCTTCCTACTTTTTGTGTTTGTTTAAATGCACGTTAAATACATTATTTTATTTATCAATTATGATGAAAATCATTAAATAAAACTAATTGACAGACTCAATTTTTAATGTTTTTTAGTGCATACCCAAAATAAGCCATTATTAATTTCTATTATATTAATTTCACAATGATTACACTAGATATCTGACATTTTTTAGATGGGATAAGCAAACAATTAAGTAAAATTTAAAATATTTAGTATATAGGAAGTGACATATGATTTTTCTATATTCTTATATAGAAAGTAAGTTGATTGATCTTCTTATCTGAAAAAGGCTGCTTCATCGTAATCCTATAGCTAGAAGTAGTTCAATGTTTTCCACTATGAAATGTTTAATTTTAAACATTAACGATAATATAGTAATATTATTTTTATGTGAGAATAAAGAAATCCATAAGATACTGATATATTTACATTCCTCACTCTTAGTTGTTAAGTTTTCTTTAAATATTTAGATGCAGATTATATGCCATGTTATGTATGCCATGTTCGTGTAAATTATATATCAGTTTCAATATAAAATTATTAAGCAACAGTAACTGCATTTTACAATGAACGAATTATCATCGACATATTGTTTTATAATTCATACCTGTCATACTTGTTTTATTACAACTTCAATATGACATGAAGTTATTCTGAAGGTCCATCTATTAAAGGAAAAATAAAAAAATAAGATAATTATTTTCTCGTCTTTTTCTTACGTATTTGAATTTCTTTTTCTTACCGTTCTTTTCTCGCATATGTTCTAAATTCAAATGTTCGTTCAACGAGAGATCGTATTCTATCTGCGCAACACGGCTAACTTCAGCAGGCTCCTCACTAATGCTTCCTCTTTCATTTGTCATATATATGGCGGTCAAATTATGTGAATAACCAGAAAGGGTAATAGTGTAGAACAAGATCAGGGCTAGTAAATTTGATAACCATAAAATTTCCAAAATCTCAAAGTAGTAAAAGCAGAATTTTCCAAATTCCTAAAATTTTGACATTTCCAAAGTGGTCATATCAGTGCAGAAGAATGCATAAAATAAAAGATCACCAAGTACATACAAATGATGTCAAAAGCGCATGTGCATTGAACTTGGTTGCCAAGTGTTTTTTAACCAATCAGAGGTAAGGTGCGTAAAACGAACGAAAATCCGTCGAATGGTAAATATGATCTCCCGTCGAAAACGGAGTATGCGAGTAAAAGGTGATTGGTGTTTTTTCTCTCTCAAGTTCTATTCTCAGCTACAGGAGTGCGCTCGTGAGCATTCTTGTGCCCCTCACACGGCAAGTTGTGCGCTTTGTGTACCAGTGGAGCTGCTGTCGCGGTCCGGAATGAGTGGTTGTTCCAAGTGCATTTCTTTCGAATTTGTGGCATCGCGTCTCGACCTATTTTTCACAGACATTAGTGGATGTTTCGTGTAAAAGTGTGAAAAATGATAATAACTAAATGCAATAAGTGTGGCTTATTCGGATAAAAGGTAAATTAGCTCGTGCAAGAAGTGAAGGGCCGTGATTTTGAGATAGAGGATGGCTTCTTTCTACTCGAACGACTACCATACTAGCTGCTACTGGTTGCCACGAGATCGTTTCGTACGGATCTTTTTTTTTAAATAAATTACCCAGGCTTTCTCAGTGACTAGCAGTATTTTCGAAATCAGGTTAAAAAGTTAGAGATCTAGTTGTTGTTTCCGTTGTGAAAGTATTGGTTGTGCTCGAACGTAACATCTACATTTCCAAATTTTCGAAATTCACGAATTTCAAGATTTCTGATATTTCATACCAGGTTCTCTCATTTTCAAATTGATTCTCAAATTTTTCAATTAAAATTGCCAAATTTTTATAACTTCAAGTTTCTAAATTTTCAAAACATCGAACTTCAAAATTTCAAAATGTCAAGGTACACAATCTGTGTTTGAAAGTACACACATATATGTGTGCATCTGTGTTCATTATTAATTATCAAACATCTAATTATTTTACACAATATTTGTATTAGGAAATGAGTGACAATCGATAATCAACATACGTTATAAAATTGCGAAAAGAATGCTTCATAGAAACACTGCTTTTAACACTCCTCTGTCTTCGATATCATAAAGGATATTTCAAATATTATTTTTCATAATAGAAACAGAATTCAATTTCGTAAACTAATATTCGTGTTATTTTCCTTTTTTATTTGAAACGCTCTAAATACTCGAAATGGTTTGTTTACCACAATTATTAGCTATAAATAAATAAGAATAGAGTCGAGAAAAACGTGACACGCCTGCACGCGCCAGATTTAAAAGGTGTTCGAAATTTTTATCGATAGTGGCGACTTTCGACTCAAACTTGTCATACCGCCGAATCATGTGAATCGATGTGTAGAGACGTAGAAACACACAAACACGAGAAGTACCGTTTCTCAAAACGGTCGGTCGCGAGAGCGACGATAATTTGCAACGTAAACGTTGGCATACAGTTAGTTTCAGGTCAGTTACGAGTTTCATCGTCGATGTCCATCGCTGTGAAAATACATATTAAATTGTATCGTGGAAAATTTACCAAAGCGTCAATGCTATCGAGGTCGATTCGATTCTCGCTCTGTTAACGCGAACGAGAAGAAAATGAGAACCGATCAGATTCGTTAGCTTTTGGTATACAAATTATATCGACCATCGCATTGTTATGTTTTCTGTTTACATAGGAATAGAAATCTGACGTACACTCGCGTGCAACGGAAGCTTTGTGTAGATAACAGAAGACATACATCACTTATGTTTAGTAAACGGATATGTAAATGACAGCTTCTCAAATTTCTTAAAGATCAAATTTCTAAATATTCAATCTTCAAATTCTTAATTCTCACATTGTCAAATCCTAAAAAATCAGGTATGTGGTTTCTTTCTTCTACATCGTCATTTTTCTTGGGAAAGTCTACTGTGCTATTGTACGCATGCGTTAACACAAAATTTGCGCGGCAAAATTTTTTCAGTTAAGTAGCTTCTTGAACAAAGGTAACAAGTGTTTGTGTTTAATCGACAGGGAAAAGGAACGTCGTAGGGAAAGAAAATATAGCGTACGTTATACAAATATATAAATCCCTAAATTATTAATACTTCTCGAGTGTTATAAAATGGTAGCAATCTTTTTTTCAACACCGCCATTTTCCCCTAGGGAGGCCTACCGTGTTTCGTACTATGGTACACAAGTGGTACACAGAAGAAAAATAAAGCAGTCAGCGTTTACTTTTATTGCCCTATGAATGACGGAACTGAAACGTTTCTTTTTAGTGAATAAAAGACCAGTAGCAAGAAAACTTCGGATTAAAAATGCACAACGGAAACGCATCGACATAAAATACATAAGAGCATACTCGAGGGAGAAAAAGGAAAATCGCGTCTGACGCGTAGCAAAGAGATAAAAGCATAGCAGTCGCGCTTTGATATTCATGACGGGGATCAATAATGAAAGAGAATATATATTTCTGTTGTAGCGCAAATGAAGAACAAACGGGGAAAAAGGAACAGTGGTAACCGAAGCAAGAAGATAGAAAAGATGTCCATGAAACGAAAATAAGGACAGAAGGAAGAGGGGATTTTATATCCTTACCGCTGGATAAGGTCAGAGGGGGCGGGAGGGAGGGAGGGAGGGAACTGGAGAGATTAACAGATCACGATACAAAGGCGGTTTCGCGAAGAATAATGCGACGAACGAACTTGAAACCAGAAGAGACGAAAGAATCGCGTTAAACTGCAACCAGACAAAAAGCATTTCAACCGGAACGAATGAACAGAAAGATACGTAGTAAAAGAGTACTCGATCGAAACAGAGGAAAGAGAAAGCCGTACCGCGAAAAGGCAGAGCAGCAGCGGGAGGAAAGCGGTTGGAAGAAAGGAAGAGGCGAAACCGAAGAAGACAAAGCGGGAAAGCAACGATTTTCGGATAAGCTAAACGGCAAGGAAGCAAAAAAACAGAGGAGGCGCGTTACATCCTGGAGTCCGATGTTCAGAGTCGTACGATGGCCGGGGCTCTATCCGAGAATGCCCCGAGGCCTGTCAGCGTCGTCGCGGTAGATGGTGCAACCGTTGATACCACTAGGAGCAACCAACTCAACGGACCACAGGTATCGTTACACGCAGGGCTGGATTACCAATTAGGTTAAATAAGCAGGTGCTCAGGATATTAAAACAGGGGACCATCTTATGGAAACTTCTCCCTTCTATTACTAAAATTATTATAAGCTATATCTCTCAAAGTCATAAAGTTTAAAAATTCCATACTTCAACAGCTCTGAAATTATGAAATTTTTAAGCAACAAAACCTTGAGATATTTTAAGTGAAAAAATTTCAAAGTCTTAAATCTAAAAAATTCTGAAGTCAAACTTATAAATTCACACTTACAAAGTCCCAAAGTTCCAAACATGGAAAATCTTTAAGTCTCAAAATTTTTAAAATTAAAAGTTACAAAGTTCCACTTTAAAAACTGAACTATTATATCATTGTCCACACGTTCAGCACTGACTTATAGTATTAATTTATAGCACTAATTTCAAATGTTTAGGGCCTTCATATGTCTCCGGCACTGGCACCTTGCACCTCACAGAATGGTTAGATGATATTAAAAATGTTAAGTCTTGTTTTTCAATGATGTAATAGTGGTAGATATTACTCGTTTGCACGTTGGGTTACCACTGTGGTAACCCACACTTGTAAACCATTAACATATACACACATATATGTGTACATAGATTTATTTGTTCTTTTGGAAACCGCTACCGTGCTTTCACGAGTAACTGTGGACAAATCCTTTTGGGCGGTAATGCATGCAAATGAAATTGTGCGGTTAAATGGGAATTATGTAAGGAGCACGATAACGCGGCGACGTGCGCTTATATATAGCGCATTACTCCTGAAACCTCCCAATCCAGGAAATCGAAATCGAAAGAATAATTACAGTTAGGAGTACGGTTATAGCTGCGGCTACCTGTTACGGTTTTCAATATGACGTAAACATGCGGTTTCGTAAGCAATTGATTAATTCGTTTCATTGAACAGTTCTTTCATTTGTTTATATTTCTAAACTTCTCCACTTTCATTTCTCAAGGTTTCAACGAAGTCGAAGCTTCAAGGTCCTATATTAACAAAATTTCACATTTCCAAACTTGCAAAGATTTTAAAATTTCGAGGTCTTGAAACTGTGCGATGCAGTACTTTGAAAATCTCTAGTTTTGCAAGGATAAATAATTAGGTATACCTTGATTAGCCGAAAGGAACGGGTAAGGTTTTTAAACCGCGTTCCTGCACGTCGGCGTGCGGCGTGGAATACTTGATGAGGATCTACCGTATAGTTTTGGGAGAAATTACGTTTTGGCCATCGCGGTTTTTTTGCAATTCCTTGGGCAATGTCCGGAGGTTTATTTGTTCGACATGGTTCGTGACTTTCTTTTACCACTTTTTTGCATCCTCGATACTACAGTAAATCTATTAATAGAATTTTAATGTCAGTGGTCTTAAATCACTTGATAAAGTTTAAATTAAACCTACGTATGGTCATATTATGTTTTTATTTGTACATTAATACTTCCACTGATTCGAAGTACGTAACATACAGGTACACAAGAAGTTGAATCATTCCTTTTTCTACCTTGGAAAGCGATTTTCCTCGAAATTAACGAGACAGCTAACGAGATCGTTAATTTCCGTGAAATTTTTCAGGAAACACGAGAGAATGGCCGCTCTTTCACTTCGACGGAGGCGCAAACAGAGTTGCCGATTCAGAATGGTCCAGAGGCGGTCGAGGATATGGACGTTCGAGGTGCACGTAGAAGGGAGAGACGGATGCGGAGACACCCTCGAGCCTTGAGATCATGTTCGATGCCACCAACTTATCCTGGAGCATCGCCAGGATGTCAGGCTAGCTCTACAGCACCCGGAGTACCGTTGGTTGCTCCTCCTAGGGGATTTTTACATCCTCCACCGCCTCATTTGGGTCTCAGGGGTCTTAGTCTTGGCCTACCGTTTCCGGTCTCTACCAGCGTCTCTGCTTTCGGCAGGTGAATACGTCCGCTTCGATTAATCGGACAGTGAAAATAAATGAGGCTGTAAAACTTCTGAGAATTATTTCTTGTTCATCAAACTTTATATAAAATATATAAACACATTTATATTAATTATATAAACAATATTGGTAAAATAAAATATGCATGTAAAAACTTGTTTCTTGCAGGACAGCTTCTCTGACTGAATATAATAAACTGCTGAAAGTAATAGTACGTTTTTAAATTACCGAGGAAAAGAAATACTTGGAGAAGATAAATAGATAAAAGTTTCTCGCTGACTCATTCAGTCTGATCTAGGAAACTAGTTCACTGACATTGGCTTTCATATGAACATCTTTTTTATAAAAACAAGTGATATTTCATAAAATAGCACTTACAGCCTTTCTTATTTTCACTCTTCGGTTGTACCTGTGATTATAAACCTTAATAACATTCATTACTACTTCGTCGCAACAGCTGGGATATTAAAATGGTAGTTGTTCAAGTTCATACAGATTACTCAACAAATTGTATAGTAGACATGATTCGTACTTCAAGAGTATATTGTAAGAGTATATGAAGAGTATAATTCTTCAGAAAGTATACTGAGTATATTGTAAAACATTGTGTTCTTTAAAAAAACATACTGCCCTTCGTCATATACTCTTGCAGATATGCAACAAGACACCATACAAGTCTTGCATTTTATCAAACATAATTTTATTCAAATTTCATTCAAGCACAAAAGTGCAAGTACTCTGAAGTAAATAACTTAATCCATAGTCATGCAGGCAGAGTTGACCGATGAGAAATAGTTTAGGTTCCGATAACGTGGCGTGAAACGAGACGATATTTGGGAAAGAAAAGTGTTTCTGGTAATAACCGTGTTGTTAACTGACTGTATTCTGTGGCCATAGTTGACCGTAAGTCGAGCGTAATACTGGATAAGCGTGTTCGAGCGACGCCAACTTACCGGGAGTACGTGTCAGTGGGTCATTCCAACGGTTAGCCGTTGTGTTGCAGGGACGCAGTGCCGAAGCAGTGTTGCGGCCTTAGTTCCCCTCCTGTACGTTGGTCCATACTGGGTGTCGGCGTAGTGGGTCTTGTTTGTGCGGGTGCTGGTGCTCTGCTGGGGGCTCTCAGGGCGTCCGGTCGCGATCACATTGCTGTGGCGCTTCTTATGATCGGTGAGAACATTTTTCTCCTCACTTTGTTCTTCATATTTCATCATATATAGGGTGTCTCAGTAACAGGTCCTTACTATGAGAAGTGACATGAAAGATACACTGAACAGCATATTATTAGGAAAATGAAGCGCTACAAGTACCTTTTGTTGCAATATGTATACTTAGAGGAACTTAAGTTCAAGATGCAGCTATGTGAAAGGTCGCTGTAATACACTGTTGAATTTTATTGCGCCTGAGAGTAACATTTCTAGTAGTTTACTGTGATGTTACCTTGCTTCAATTTGTAATCCTTAACTTGTGATTCAGAGATGTAATATACATAATGTACTTTATGTTCTTTAACGTTGTTTTGTCATTTTTATATGAACATATATCATTATGCAATTCTGAGTAAAGAAAATATAGGTTTAATCTGGTTCTGTTGTATAGTATCTCAGAGTTAAGAAAGGCATATAAAATTAATTTACAAATTATTGGAAGAAGTAGTGTATCATAATAAGGACATCTTAGGTAGATTCTCCATACTGCAACAAATGGAATATCCTTTCTTTTCGAGATGTTAAAGACCTGGATGACAGAATCGAAAAGAAACGTTAAAGGGACGAGGGGTATTGATGCAAGAAAGAAGTTATGAAATAGGGAACAGCAGCAGCAATGAGAAACGGCAAGAAGTTCGTTGGACGGCCAGATTGGTCGATCATGGCACTACGAAAAGAGGGGGACTGTGTTTGCAACGGTTACTTTCTAAACGTGGGCATGTAACCTGCGACCCGCATAGAATGCCTCTCACAATAGGAGAATGCTCTAACCTACAGGTACTGACGTCGTACGCCTACGCGTGAAAAGATCGCAAGATCCGGAGAGCAGAAAATTTGGAATTTTAGAGCCATTGACCTAGGCTAGTAATTAGGTCCCTTCACATATGTACAGTTACGTATTTATGAAACTTTTGCTGTTTCACATTGGATGCTGAATATTTTGTATCAACTTCATTGATTAGTTATTTTTGTGTAAAGGTCAGTTGTACCCATTGTAAAAGAAACCATTTTACACCCATTTGAGAAGAAACTTCATATAAAATGATATATTGAAAATTGACATTTATATGATTTGACAACAAAATTGCGTACCTAGATTTCTCACCGTGAAAGCGTTGAATCAATTTCACACGGTTCTGTCACATTATCGAAATGTTCACTTTCTTTGATTCTGTCACAGAGAATGGATGTAGTCGATAAATCATATTTTGAAATTTCGAATTACATCATTGTTTATACTACTTTATGTTACTCATAAATTTTATCGTAGCTGCAGTTGAATCGCGCATTAAAAACATGAACGATATGCAGGATTGAATTAATTAGATATGCTGAGTGAGTCAGTACTCAGTAGATTCAAGGACTAACATTATAACTTGATACACATTGATTGTGTTGAAGTGCGTTTTAAAGAAAATGTGTAGTATCTTAAGAAACTCAGATGCAGCGTGATCTTTTGTATCTTTTTTGAAATGGGTGGCCTTGAGATATTCCATCACTTTATGTTAATATTATAGCTGATGAAAAGACAAGTTCAATGAGCATACTTTAGGTTGACCATGAACTTAAACTGTGACAAAAGATTTAGTCTTCAAATATCCTAGAAAAATAAAATCTGTCGAAAAGTATTAGATATAATAACAAAGCTTTACTTTTAAGAAATGTGATTTATAATATAATGTTTCTTTCTATAATTATCTTTGGTTATACATTGTAATGAATGTAATTAAATTTTTGAGCAGTAATGTAATCAGTAAAATCAGAAACTGTAATAACTATTCTAGGCTATTAAATATTCACTCATAAAATTAATCTGATCAGATACATGTCTCGTATCGCGTGTATTACGCCATATTCTTTGAAAAGCATTTAAATAATTCCACACCGGATCTACGCATTTAAATAGTGATTTGTTATTAATGTAATATATATTCTGTATAAAAAAAGAGGTAAAAGAAAGGAAAGGGAAAAAGGAAATGAATAATTACGCAAATTGCTCCCTCGCGACACGCTTCGCATCCTAGTGAAAAGTTCTAGTCCATTATAATGAAGTAATGAAAGTAAAATAAAATTTAAAATGCAAATAGAAGGATCGAGTACGAGGTAAAGAATAAGTCGAGCGAGGCAAAAGAAGATTGTCGGGTTCGGTTAAGAAATTACGAAGATTAAAGCGAAAAGAGTGGAAAGATGTGGGAAAAGGAGGGAGGGATGAGAGGGAAGCGAGGATGGGTGTGGTGTATCGCGAAAGCTAGTTCGTTTCCTTGAAGGATGTTTTCTTAGCTCTCACTATTCTCACATACTGGAGTTCGTGAGAACCAGCGACAATGCTTAATAACGATTCCGTCATCTGTGCTTTAGCCGCCTGCCGCTGCATTTCACTTGGCTTTTCACTCGTTTATGTCGTTTCCAGCGCGAGTAACTGGAACATTCGATTTTCATTGCCTTTTCTGTACAAGATTTATTCTTGGAATAACCGATCAAATCTGTACTACAGAACTGAACATTTTTCTAATTATTATTCAATCTTAATTACATTTTGTCTTGTACAAACTTTTTATTATTTTTTTAAAAGAAACACAGAGGGATATTTCAAATTTATTTTGCAATTACAATTTAATTAAACAAGCTCTTGTATTTTTAAGTTTAGTAATGTTATTGATTTCTATATATTTTTTTTAATTACCAACCTTAATTTTATACTTTAAATTTTGTGATATAAGGTTACAGAAAAAGAGTATTTAATTTTTGAAAGGAGTTCACATTCTGACAAAACGTGTTGTGTTACAGGTATAGGAGTGGTTCTGGTAACTGTGAGCGCTGTAGCGTGGCGAGTGACCAGTCGAGAAAATTGCGGCAGTTTCTTTGGTTTCACAGGGATCTCGAGCAGGATTCCACCGGCGAGGCCAATTCATCCTTACGCTGCCATGATTTATCCGGAATTTCAATTTAGAACACCGCCACCTAGTTATCAGGTGACATTTCAGAAATGCAGAAATTACTGTCCATAACCCACATTTCTTTATGCAATGAAAGTTAAAAAGTACACCTTAAAACCAGAGTAAAAACTTTTTTCAAATTTTTCACTCTTTCCAGTGATAAATTCTAAGTTGTTTACTTTCAATATAACAGTCGAAAGTTACGTAAAGTTTATATAATATATCCTTGAATATTTGATTTGTTTTTTCTGTAGACTTAATGTATTCTAGTATATTATAAATTGAGAAATTATTAATGTTATTCTCTGAACTTTTCCAGGCAAGCATGCAAGAGTACAGATTGCGACTGTTACTTTTGGACCGCTTGCAGCCGACATCATCGCCTCCGCCAACGTACAGATCCAACGCCGGAAGTATCGTCACTCCCGGCACGACCAGAGAAAGCAGACCACCAAGTTACTGTGGCCGATCGTATGCCACGACGCATGCCAATGTTGCACCTTCGAAGAAAGATGCAAATTTGGTCAGAATCGTTCAGACCGAATCGGAGCCGGTGATTTTGAACGGTGATCAAACACCGCCTGTTGCTGCCGTTGAAGTACTCGCGCATCTCTGATTTTTTCCAATCATTTTCTTTCTATCGATGCGGAGACGCTTATCAGTCGATCGACAAGGTAACGTTTTATTTGATGATTTCGCGAGAAGAATCATCTGTCTGTAGTGCAATATAGTTGTATCGTTATGTCGTCGAACAATAGCTTCAGTTTATTTTTAACTCCGTAGATTTTCATGAATAATAACAATCGTTAGAAGTTATCTCCGATGGTTCTTTGAACACGTTTGGAAACGATGAATAAAAGTGCTTTACGGCTGATGTTGAAGTCGTGCCATTTGCAGTCGCTGGAAAGTTAGCGCTGTTTGCGATGGATGGAATATCATACAGAACCGTGATAACTGTGGTCATGGTTTAAATTAATGGATCCGTGATTGTATAATTGACAGGGGTATCGAATGTCTTGACCATTTGTTTCTTTTCTCCAACGGTCAGTATTGTCTGTCACCCTTTTATCTGCTTTCGTTTTATGGTCGTAGAAAAAGAGTGAAAGAACGACGCTAATGGGAAGAAACATGGTCGCGATTATTAACGTTTTATCGTAAAAAAACTATTTTCGCAGTTAGTGATGAAATTAGATGATATTGAGGGTTTTAAAATTAATGAAAGTTTCATTAAGTAGGTACATTCGAGAGCAAAGTTAGAATTCCTTTGGATAGGAATGAATGTAGAATGACACATCACAAATGTGTAAATTTAAAAATTTTTTAATATTCGAATTTGAAAATTTAAAAATTTACTTGAAAAATTTTCACATTGCTTATTCTGCGATTTTTCTCTATGGAAAGCTACATTTGCTTCCTGGTGTACCGTAGAAACTTCAAATTGCGAAACCATGTTACCTTATAACACGCGTATTTTGCATAAAGTTGTATCTAAAAAATAATGTCGTTGTCACGTTCATTCGTTTAAGGATTAACTTATTCTGTACAAGAGAGGCCAACTTTTCGGGGCATCGCTTTGTAAATATCAATGTTGAAATTTTAAACTTGTAATTTGTATTATAAAATAGTATGTTACAAAAGGGTGCGCGATGTGGAACGTGTTGACTATGTGTACATCATGCTGGTAGAAACTTTTAAGGTCTTCCTGTTGTTACAATTACTCATACCTAACTTCGAGAAACAGAAAGGTTACAAACGCCACAAATTTACATCACTGTACAATGATTGTAATATTTTGGAAATTATTTTTTAAAGTAAAAAAATTGCAACGTGTTATAAAATGGTTTTGCAATAATTATAAATTTTATTATGATTCGTCGACGCTGGTACTAATAGCAACAAAACCATTTTGATTATTATATATTTTTTTTTTTAATTAGACCGTGAGATTATTTTTTCGTTGAAAGCTGCATTAACTTGTTTTATTACATCGCCACAAAAGATGGTACTTTAGTGAATAAATAAATAATGCAGCTTTAAAATAACGATGCTGTCGTAAGCTTTAACGCCATACAGTAATATTTACTGCTCGCTTTATTATTACGACTTGCGACGACCACAATTTTATCGTCGAGAGTCGATAAAAAAACGAGAATCTCGTGTGTTGCGTACAATATATACATATTTTTGTAACTATTATTTGATGGTTAAAAACCCGAGTTACGCGCATTATTGTACTGTCGGTTTTTATATACAGTAATAAAATTTCTGTTTTACAACTTTACGGTACTTCAAAGTACTACGGAAAATTTTTGTAAATTTTTACAAATTTAAAAAATTTCGTTCGTCGATTAACATCGAAATATTTATTAACTACCTAATAGTTTTGTCATTTCTTTCTTCATTAGTATTAAGCAATCGTGATAAAAAATTTGAACTGCAAAATACTCAACGAATGACTTTAATATACTTCAAGTTTATACCTATAAGTATAAACTTCATTTTGATATCTTTTTATACAGTCATTTTTATTCTAAAGTTTCTTGTATTTACTGCTTTTTTTAATTATGATTTATCGAAAACACCTTTAAGGTAATTTGCATCACTCTGTGATTACTTCGTTATTGTTAAATTGGTGTAGGTAAATAACAGATACATATTTTATGCATTTTTAACACGTTACCAAGGGTAATAGAAGTTTCTCCATTTTTTAAATTTAACAGTTATGCGAATATACAATTAAAAAAATTAATAACACAAGATGAAAACAGAACCAACAATAAGAATTAGCTGCAACTATTGCGGAGCGATAATAGTTACTGCCTAACGACAAAATATAAATTGATGTGTATTTTTAGGCATCGATAAATTACATTCCATTCAGTACAAAGCGGACATAGAATTATTGTTTCTTTTAGTAATTGTACAATGTTAGATGCCTATATGTGTATTTTAATGATTGTATTTTGTCGAATGCTGTATATACAATACCGACAGAATTAACGATAGGTAGAGTTGTAAGAGTGGTAATTAATACAAGGGCGACAAATTTCGAAAGGCGGCCTTAACCAAACTCGCAATGATTCGTGATATGAGAATAGATCAACTATAAGTCATCGATCGAATGAGTATATTGTTCCTTCATATTATTGTAGAACAATTTGTATATATACGAGAACAAATATATTTATCTGACTTATTTGACCTTCCTCGTGATTCTATACTTCCATATTTTAACGATGAACATTATTTTCATTTAAAATTAAAAAATAAGGACTAGATACTTTTATATCTATTAACATGAAATTACGATCTATAACAAGGTAAATAATGTCTGTTAAATATAATTAAATATTTGTTTAAATTTATGTTATCGTTAGATTGTCTCCTTATAAAATACTATAAAACAATGTAAAAAATTGTTAATAACTGAAAAGCAATTTATTTCTATCACAATAATTTAAAACCGTATCATATTTAAAATAATATTCAATGGTTGAAGTAGTGAACTCTATTACAACTGCAAATTGTTTAATAATTTAATAAAAACTCGATAATGAGTTCAAATATTGTTTTTATAATATGCACGGTTTATATTTTTAATACAAATGTCCGGATATTACTCAAAAACATCCTGGACAAATTCTTTTAGTGCATCCTGCGCATAAAGGTTTTTTACATATTTCACAGTAGGTACCAGTTTTCCTATCACTTCCACGTGGACACGATTGACACCTTCTTCGTTTTCCTATCCAGTCAACAGGTTCATCTCGTGCTTCGTTACGCGGATTACAAACACCTGTTAATTTCACGATTGTATGTCTTAATTCGCGAGGTAGTTCCTTCTCTAAGCTTCTCCTTTTAAGTTCAGATTGGATTAAAGATTTGCCTAAGGATATAATAAAATCGCGTCTAGTGATTGATTCCGAATTTTCTTTGTTGGTTTGAAGTATGTAAGCATTGAACGCTGCAATGTCCATGATCGCGAAAAATATCACCATTGGCCACCACTTTGTACTTTGCACAGTGGAATATTTTGATATGTCCTGCTCCAATTTATCAACCGTATCTTTTGTCATGTTGTAAAAATGAAGTATTTCAGGTTTTCCACTTTCGTTATCGATGCTTTGCGTATGGTGCATGGTGGAGAGTAAGATTACCGACTTATTTTTTCTAGGAGTATAGGAAACAAGAGTGGTTTGTTCATTGAATCCAAACACGGATGACCCAATAACTTTTTTCTTTTGTGGAAGAAACTGTGGGGGAATCTGCTTCTTATCTTTTTTCATTGTTCCTACATATGTAATACCCCTATTTTTCAGTTCATCTGCTAGCTCTATGGATGAAAACCAATTATTTCCTGTTATGTTTCTATTTGTTTTTTCTACCGGATGTACAAGTTTCAGAGCATGTTGCATAGGCACAGAGAAATTCTTCTTTCTTTTTAAAACATCCTGCTTTCCTGTATATACATGGGCATTTATTAAATAATGCGTTTTTGCATCTGCTAAAACCATCATTCTAATACCATATTTGTTTAGCTTGGATGGTAAGTACATTTTAAATGGGCATTTGCCTTCGAATGCAATCAACATTTCATCGATTGTTAGGTACTCACTAGAACTATAATTTGTTTGACAATTAAGAATAAATTGTTCAAATAGTTCAGATATAGCAGCAAACTTATTTGTCCTTTTTCGTTCTTCTCGCGTTTTCTTATCATCGAATCTAAGGCAAGAAAGTAAAAATATCAACCGTTTTAAAGTCATTGTCGCTGGAAATATATCCCTTCCAGTACCATCGTTTGCATATAAATCTTCTAAACTTTCGTGTATAGTTTTGAAAACACCTGCTAAATATAAAAGTCCTAGGACTGCTCTTATCTCTTGATAATTAGTTTCACTCAAGAAAGAGGCTTCATTCGGGCATAAATATTTACCCTTTCTTCTGTTTATTTCTTGATTGGTATATTTCACAATAACATAAAGTATTTCATCCGTAAAGAGGCAACGCCAGGCAAGTTCTGGATTAAGAACAGTATGTTCTTTAGCAGGTCCACAAATTTCAGGCGAATAACTAATAGTATTATGTTTCAGAGTACATTCATCTTTAATGGGTTTATTATTCCACTTGTGTTTATTTTTACTAGACATAAACAGTGTGTCATTATCATTATCAATACTTTCTTCATCCGAACTAGCACTTTGTTCACTGTTAGTGTCATATTCACTTTCAATAGCAAATTCTTGGTCAACTTCGGTTTCATCTTCATCATCGCTTGATTCATACAAGATTTCAACAATTGGTTCTATGTTTAATTCTTCAAACATTTTACCTATAAACAAATTGAGACAATATCAGTGTAAGGTATGAAAATAATGGTAATAATTTAAACATATAGTCATTAATAATAAATCTAAACTTACTGAATATATGACAGTACTAAAACAAAAGGAAATATTAATATTATCTAAGAATACAATATATTGTATATTGTCAAAAAGTCATAACATGCACAGCTCTTGTTTAATAGCTGATATTATTAACAAATTTTCTAACTTGTAAGATTAAGCTGGGTCATTTTGACCCCACCCTACCATTTGAGTTGAAGTAAATCATTGGTGACCATGTATTATTAAAAAATATCCCTAGAATAATTGATTTACAAAAGAACTGCGGCACTTCAATATCGCACTCACGTCATGGAATAAAAATTCGCGATATAAAATAATATCACATATCACAAGTATATCGATGAGTTGCATTTAAATCATAACAAAATGTAAGATATCACTGTAGCAGGAATCAACGAAATAACACACGAGCAATGCAGAAATGATCAAACGATAACGTCATTATATTTAAATATATACAAAATATTACACCTAAAAGTGTCAACAAATTGTAAAAATTAACAATGATTTCATATAAACTCTCGAATGGTAAAGTCACTAAATTGTATAACATGTGAAGAGACTCGGGGAACTAGCGCCACGTGTAGAGCTAATTCATAAACTTTTGGCATTTGTTTTTCTAATGAGAATTGTAATTAGAAATCTGAGCGTAATTAAGATTTCTCTTTGGGGTGGGTCAGGTCTCTGACTCTTGGGAATTTAGGAATTGGAAAATTTGGGATTTTAGAAATTTAGAGATTGGGTGTTTGAAGACTTAGAAATTTGGAGCTATGAAAATTAAAAAATTTGAGAATGTAAGAAGTTGAAGATTTTTTTTTAAATTTGAAAATATAGAAATTTCAGAATGAGAGATAATTCTACTTTGATCTTCAATTATGCTAATAAGAAATATACAAATACTGACTGTTACTATAATTAAATATTAAAAAACATACACTTTGTATCACAACATAACGAGTATTTTAATATATTTTAAAATCATAAAAAATGAGACGATCGATCAGAAAAATGTCGGTAATAAAATACAGTTGATTAGAATCACTATAAAATTCAAAATTTCAAGTAACATGTTTAAAATCAAGCAATTCGAACCACAGGAAATTTCTCCAAAATTATGAACAGAAGTTTCCTTAGATTTTTAATTGATCAGTATGATTACATAAACGTTACTGATATTTGAGGCTATAGTGATCGAAGTGGTTTTTCCAATTTGACATTTTCCTACGATATGAACGCTTTCGCGGATAATCCATTTTTCTTTATCGTGGATAATATGCCGCCTATATCTTCTGTGAACGCGTCAAAGAATGCAAGAAGGATCGTCGAATTATCGGATACCGGTTGTGACGCTAGGTTATCGGTATCTACTCTTCTGCGGAACGCTACTCGTTATTATTCTTCGGAATCTGCTAAGATGAGATCGAAAGAATATTGGAAACCGCGTTGCGAAAAGAAGTATACGAATATACCGCTGGGGGAGAGGTTACGAAGACGGTATGAGCAGGATGTGATGGATGCTGAGGAATCGTATCTTGGACCTGCGGAGGATGGAAGTCAGGTTGGTGGGAGTAGTTATTTAGAATTTTTAAGAAATGCTGTAGTTCTTAATTTATCATATTTCAAAATTGTTAAATTACCAAATTCCCAAATTCCCAGTCTTCCTAGTTCCCACATTCCCCAATTCCCACTCTCCCCAATTTCCACTTTCCCCAATTTCCACTCTCCCCAATTCCCACATTCCCCAATTCCCACTCTTCCCAATTCCCACTCACTCCAATTCTCACATTCCCGAATTCCCAATCTCCCCAATTCCCACATCCCCCAATTTCCACATCCCCCAATTCCCACATCCCCCAATTCCCACTCTCCCCAATTCCCACATCCCCCAATTCCCACATCCCCCAATTCCCACATCCCCCAATTCCCACATCCCCCAATTCCCACATCCCCCAATTCCCACATCCCCCTCCCAATTCCCACTCACCCCAATTCTCACATTCCCGAATTCCCACTTTCCCCAATTCCCACTCTCCCCAATTCCCATATTCCCCAACTCCCACACTCCTCTATTCCCACATTCCCCAATTTCCACCCTCCCTAGTTTCCACATTCCCCAATTCCCACATTTCCAAATTCCCACTCTCCCCAATTCCCACATTCCCCAACTCCCACATTCCCCAATTCCCACTCTCCCTAGTTTCCACATCCCTCAATTCCCACTCTCTCCAATTCCCACACTCTCAAATTCCCAAGCTTGTACATTTCAATATTCCCAAACTTGTAAGTTTCCAACTCCCATTTTGGTCCTACCTCATATCACCTATCAACATCATTAAACCCAGAACATATATCCCACTTCAAACAAAAGTTCCAGTCACCACCATGCAATATATGCTTTATCTACAAACAATAATTCAACTTCAACTATTTTCACATGTCCAGAATTATTGGCAAGAATATTCCATGTACGACATCAACGAAGACGTTGAACACGGAAGAAAGTCAAGAATCGCATCTGAAAGAGTACCTCCTAGGATCCCCGAGTACAATGGTCGCTACGACCACAGTGTACCGCAACGAGTTCCAAATCTACCCAGAAGCAATTCCCCATTTCAACCTCCCTTTCCTAGATCAAAAATCACCGCAGATCGTCTGCAAACCCCCCGTTTTAGTTACCTAGCTTCAGAATTGAGTTCTTATGATCGGGGAAGAAGAAGATCCATGGAACAAGATTATGCTGAAGAATTCAAGGAACTGCGACATCCGAGAAGCCATAGAGAACATTGGCAGAGAAACAACGAAGAAGTCTTTGACGAGATCGCGCATCAGAGTCACAATTTTTCGAAATATTCTAGAAGGCCATCTTCAGCGAAGTCGAGCGACGTAAATGAAACAAATGGAGATAATATTCGATCTGCACCGCGTTCACCCATCACCGATCGTCGGAAGAGGACTCAACCCATCTCTAAAACGCTTTACCAAAATGCGGAGAGCCAGTATGACATTCAAGCTTCTCAAGATCATGAAAGTTTGAAGAATAATGAAGGAGTGGGTTCTAGTCGATCCAGTGAGAAATTAAAACGTTTCGTGGATCGCGCAGTGGACAAAGACAGTCTGTCCGACATTTTGAAGTCTGAGCGTCTTCCTAAAATGGTGGCCGAGCGTCCGGTAGTCAAGGAGGAAGCGAGAAGCAGTTTCTGGGAGTTTATTTCGCTGGAAGACGACGATGACAAGAAAAAGGCGCAAGAGAAGAAATCTGTGTGGCCTATGAAGAAACGTCAGACGCAAAATGCAAGTGTTACAGCAAAAATTAAGAAGAAAAGTGAACAGAAGAGTCCTGCTATTAAAACGATCGAGGAGGATGTAACAGAAAGGAATAATAATAAGAACTCTGACGAACAAACGAAGTTAAGCACAGATTTACCATCGAAAGAGGCTGAAAAGACAGGGATGAATTTTGTGGAGAAAACGGTAGCGTGTCTGAAAAGGAAGATCGAGAAACCGAGGGTTGAGGAAGCTTCGAACGATGCAGGTCAAAGTTGTACAGTAACGACGGAGAAGAAGATCAAGTCAGAAGGGTTCACTTATTCTAGACTGCCGATAAGAATTGGACGCCGTATGAAATTGAAAAATCCGATATCTACGAGGATGAGGAGTAATGCGGAGGGATGTATAGGTTCGAAGGAAGATTGTAAGGATGTAGGGGTAGAGCCTTCGGTTAGATCCAGGACTAAGCCGAAGGCGAAGTCGACTTTGTTGGATAATGTGGATGGGGATGCGGAAGCGGAGTATTCGAAATCCTTGGGAAATGTGCTGCAGGTTGCTGAAGTTAATAGTTACGAGCATAATGGGTACCGTTTAGTATATCTACTGGATATGTATAGTTTTTTTTTTCATTTTTATGCTTCTGAGTTTTTAAATATTTTATTTAGAATTTGTGAAGTTCTATATTTTTAATTTTTTAAATTTTGCAGTGTGAAATTTTCATAATTCCATATTTTCAATTTTCCAATTTTCAAATTTCCCGATTTTTCAATTTTCTTATTTTCCAAGTTCCAATTTTCTAATTTCCCGATTTTTCAATTTTCTAATCTTCCAGTTTTCCAATTTTCCAAGTTCCAATTTTCTAATTTTCCAGTTTTCCAATTTTCCAATTTTCTAATTTTGCAAGTTCCAATTTTCCAATTTTCTAGTTTTCCAGTTTTCCAATTTTTCAATGTTTTAATGTTTCAATGTTTCAATGTTTCAATGTTTCAATGTTTCAATGTTTCAATGTTTCAATGTTTCAATGTTTCAATGTTTCAATGTTTCAATGTTTCAATGTTTCAATGTTTCAATGTTTCAATGTTTCAATGTTTCAATGTTTCAATGTTTCAATGTTTCAATGTTTCAATGTTTCAATGTTTCAATGTTTCAATGTTTCAATGTTTCAATGTTTCAATGTTTCAATGTTTCAATGTTTCAATGTTTCAATGTTTCAATGTTTCAATGTTTCAATGTTTCAATGTTTCAATGTTTCAATGTTTCAATGTTTCAATGTTTCAATGTTTCAATGTTTCAATGTTTCAATGTTTCAATGTTTCAATGTTTCAATGTTTCAATGTTTCAATGTTTCAATGTTTCAATGTTTCAATGTTTCAATGTTTCAATGTTTCAATGTTTCAATCTTTCAATCTTTCAATCTTTCAATCTTTCAATCTTTCAATTTTTCAATTTCTATACCTTGTCACTTTGTCATTTATCAATTTTTCCATTTTTCCACTTTTCCACTTCTCAATTTTTCAATTTTCTAATCTTCCAAGTCCACCATACTAAAATCAACTCATTATTCATAGTAATTTAGATGGAAATCAAAAAGGAGACGAGAATATGCTGAAAAATAACGTACTCGATAAACCAATGTACCAACCTGATGAGAAGTTAACAAAAGAAGAAAAATTAGAAAGTACTACTAACAAAACACGAATTGGAAGTCCAAGACCATTAAACATGACCGGGGATCACAGAAAAAATGAAACCCTCAGTCCTCGAGGAAGGAAACTGACTCAAGGAAGTAGCCAGTCCAAAAGAATTGATATTACAAAAAATTGCTTAAAAGATAATTGTTTTCTACACGTGCACGACGAAGAAAATATAGTTTGTAACGGTTATTGTACTAAAGATTGCGGGAAATCACGTTGCTTTCAATCTAGAATACCTATAGCCATCAAATCTCGATTATAATTATTACGATCAAAATACTTAATTCAGTTGTAATTGTATTTGTAGAAAGGAAACGGGAAAAGAACGGAGAAGTGTAATTTTTATATAAAAATAAATGTTTCGACAACTGTAATTTATTATGTATTATCGAAATTTGATAAATTAGCAATTTGGCGTATAATTCTTTACTGTTCGTTTAAAAAGTAATTAAAATACTCTACAAGTTATAAAGATAACCTTGTGAGTCATCAGTAACAAACATTGTTTATAATTCATATTTTAAAGTTGATAAAGTGATTCAGTAAAATAAAAGTATTTTATATTTTATGTTTTTGAATCCCATTTGAATTCGCGCGCAAACGAGTGGCGCCATCTCTCCGGCGAACGGGGTGAACTACACACTTTTGAAACTCTACTTTAATTAGTTCCATTTTCTACCGCTAGACGGCGACACAGGTCGTCTCGAGACGCCACCTAGCGGTAGAAACGGGAACTAATTAAAGTAGAGTTTCAAAAGTGTGTAGTTCACCCCGTTCGCCGGAGAGATGGCGCCACTCGTTTGCGCGCGAATTCAAATGGGATTCAAAAACATAAAATCCTCAATTAACACTGATTTTATTGGATTAATTAACTTCATATGCATCAAATTACATTGGAATACAGGACCAATTAACTTAGGAACCAAACTATTATAAATTTTGAACCATTTTCAAGATAATCCTAATTACCCTAAGGGTTCCTGTATTGCGCGCCGCCATCTAGCGGTAGAAGACAGGAACTAATGAAAGTAGTGTCTCAAAAGTGTGTAGTTCACCCCGTTCGCCGGAGAGATGGCGCCACATGCTAAAAAAAAAAATAATTCCTAATTTTCATAATTAAAACGCTTAATTAATTAATATAACCATTATTGATGTTCCTTGTGGATTTCAAGAAAATTTTTAAGTCAGATCAAAGCGCAGAAATCATTTATTTTTGAGTACAACGTAATTATCTCTTTCGCTATTTGCACCCTTTACTATTAGATGACGACAGCAGCACAGTTTTAAATATTCTCATTGATATAAATGAATTACACAGAAATTTACACGAAATTTGCAACATATTTAATTATTTAGAATGAAATATTTTCTTCCGTTTTTTCATATTAAATAGTTGAAAGCTTTCGATTTTAATAGTATTGCAATTAATTTATATTTTCCCAAACACAAAAATAGCATAACATTTTATACATCATATTTACAACAGAGTGCAATAAAGCGTTAGACAGTCCTAAAAGAGTTTGAATACCTCACAAAGAAACATCCGTAGAACTTATAGTTCGTAGAAATTAATCAAATATTCATTCGCCGTTCTATTCAAAGAGGAAGTGGATGATTATTATGAAAGTAATAAAGCAGACGCGCGTTCGCGAGTAGAATAAGCCGAATTTCTAGATTTCATTTCGTCTCATCCACTGGCAAATAGAATGATTGGGTGTGCACGAGTTGAGAATATGAATCAGGATACGTTTCCATTATTTGCAAACTAGATGCATGTCTATCCGTTCGTGTTGCAGATCTTATACTAATTCCATACCCAAAATTAGAAGTCTACATTGTAGAATTTAACTAGAGTAGTAAAATTTAGCATCTGCAGATTTTATAGTCTATTTAAAATTATTTCATGTTTAAAGACTATCAAATTTTTGAAGACTTGTAAATCTTGAGGACTTGTAAATTTATAGATACTTGAATGTGAGAGCTGTAGAAAAACAGATCTGAATTTGTAACTCAGAATTTGATGATCTAGAAACGTGCAAACTCATTACCTTGCAAACTGAAAATTTCTTTCAAACAAAAAGTCTGAGTCATAAGACATCTGTTGACAACAAGTATCAGTTTCGTCAGAATAAAAATAATTCGACAGGAATAAAAATCGCCATTCTCCCCAGAAAGATTCCCGTTTTTCTTACAGAACGGTTTAACGTCCGTGCAAAACGTCCGCTAATGGGACACGGGTCCCGGACACCTTAACGTACGCTCATCTCGAAATTTGTTAGCTCGCATTCCGAGTTATCTCCAGCTTCTTTCCAGCCAAACAGTATGGCACCTACTCTCGAAATCTCGTGGCGAGATTGCGATTCGCCACGGCAGAGCCTCCCTTCGCGAACGCGGTTGTTGCGCCAACAAAATACGCGAGCCCGCTGCCTGAACGAGAAAAGAAATCAGGACCAGTCCGGTCCTCGAGCGCATTGTTACGGCTAGAAACCTCTCGTATATATATAACCGACGAGTTTAACAGTACAATGCACCATAAATCAGCGATCATCGCGTATCCTCGCGAGGCCGATTCACGCGGAACGCGTGGGCGCGTTGCCGCACGCGCGACCCCAATCGCCGAATCGCATACCTTATCGCCGATTTTCCGTTCCTCAGGGCTTGTCCAGATTCTGATTTAACGCGCTTATCGAAAAACTGACGAGATGTCGCGGTACAGCTTGTGCAACTACCCTTTCGAGGAAACCGTTCATCATAGGAACTCTTTTTATTCAAGCTACAGATTTCTAATAATACTTTGATTTTAGAGAAAAGTGACTTGTCTATTTTAGTCTATTTCACTTCTTTCTACAGTGAGATAGTATATGATATTCTCGTGAATAAATCAAAAGTAGTCTCATTATAAAATGTTGTATAACAATGCTTCTTATATGAGTGTTATACATCTACATATTTGTTCACATCCCAATTACACTTTTTCACAATAAAAAAGTACAATAACTAAGTCTAAACGCTTTAATTTATGTAGAGAAGTTCGCAAGTGACGCTAGAAAACCAATATGGCGGCAGTACTAGTGAAAGCTTTATGAAGAATCAATATGTTAATATTTCAATTTATTTCTAAATCCGTAAATATCTAACCACAAGAAATGTAACTACATCCCAAGAAATTAAAACGCAGAATCTTAATCGTCCATAAAACCTAGTCGTTATTCGCGTATTCAAAGACCCCGTAATCTTCCGTAAGTACTTGTACGAAAGGCGATCCAGAAAGACATAAAAAGCAGTTTACGAAGGAATAATTGCGAGCGGAATTAATTGAAGAGCACAGTGATCTCCATTTAAAAAAGAGAAACCACGGAAATTCGTGGTCTGATTGCGGAAAAAGGAGGCCCGGTGCGAGCTCGTGGGCGGATTTTTATGGTGGTTGATTGCTTGATTTATAATCTCGGACCGGCTTCTTGGAGGTAGGCCGCAATCATCAAGGGGTCGTCGCGACGTTCTGCTCGCTAATATCCGTGGATTTTTGCGTGGTTAGGTTGGGATGCTCTCGGCGATCAAAGTTTGATTAAGGAGCGCCGCCATGTTGAATGCTGCTGAATCGCGAACAAAAACTAGGGGACACTACCGTAAACACGCCTCCGTCGTTAAGGCAGGATCTTGAAATTTACTTCTTCGTTCTTCGACGATCTTCTTACCCCTACTGACCCTTTCGGCTAATCAGAGATCGTGGGTTTTACGAGCGTCGATGAGATCGTTAAAGGTTCACCGAAATGGCTGCCTCCATCTTGCGGAGATTACGCTCATCAGTGTCGAGGAAGCTTCTGCCACAGTTTGATTATGTTTACGAATTTTTAGATTTTTTAACTTCAGGACTTTGCAATTTTTTTGCTTTGAGGCTTTGCAATTTTTCTATTTTAGCACTTTGTTCGTTTTTAACCCTAGGAGATGACACTCGTCAACGTCGATGAAGCTTCTGAACCTGTCTGGTTTCGATAATGTTTAGGAATTTTACAATTTTTCAACTTCGGGACTTTGCAATTTTCCACTTTAAGGCTTTGCAATTTTTCTACTTTTGCACTTTGTCCGTTTTTCACCTTAGGAGGTTACACTCATCAGCATCGAGGTAGCTTCTGAGCTACAATTCAATAATGTTTGGGAATTTTGCAATTTTTTAACTTCAAGACATTGCAATTTTTCTACTTTAGCACTTCACCGATTTTTAACCTTAGGACTTCAGTTTAGAAGATTGAAATGTTATTATAGAATATGGAAATTTTTCCACCTACAACTTTTGAGGCAATAAACCTTTGAGACTCCCAGTTAATTTGACTATTAATTAGTTATTGTGGTTGTTCATTTTAGAGAATATTTCATAGACACGTCGTCAGAGACTGTTCCACATAAAGCAACATTCTGCCACACCGATTTTTGGTACCATGTTTGACTAATCGTGAGCAGTGTGCATGTTAGGTCGGAATCGGGTTAACTGGAAATCTATCATTTTTTCGAGAGGCGTGTCGAAGCACGTTTAAGGTCAGAATCTATCGATCGAAGCTGTGGCGAGCGTGGACCACCGCTGAGAACACTGGCGAACAATCTGCCAGTCACCCTCCGGTGATCTTAGCACATTCATCAACTTCGTAGCCTCGTAGCCTCGACCTGCGACGAGGGTATGTACCTTACGGTGTATTTTAACCCCTTCGGGTCTCATTGTACCTTTTTCTTAGAAAATGTGTGCAACTTATGTACTATGTTCCCGCATATTTCCTATCAAACAACAAATTCTGCAATTGAAGATTTTTTATTCGATAACAAATATATATAAAAAATAACAAATAAGTTTATACAAAGGTACATCTACAATTTAAAGTTACATAATTATTACTTATGTATTAACTTATGGAAAAGACTAGTTTAAAAAATTCGGCCGGAAGGACGGCTGGTCTCATTGGTGGTCCAATATCATCGGGCGTCGCATCGAAGATCTTAATCGTTTATTTACGTCGATGAATGTACGCCCGTATCGAGCTGTCGTTTCGTGCATTGTACTTGACTTCAGCCGAGAGCGGCGCTGCGAGACGCGTCACGACGTTACAAGTCGATTTTATTTCCTGTTCGTCGTCCCATTACATAATAACGCGCTGCCATCGGTTATCGCGATGGTAGATTATCGCGGATCGATAGACATCTACACCGACAACCGTTGCCTTTCTTCTTCTTCTTCTTCGGGACGTATCGAGCCGCGAGTGGTATCGTTTGGTC